CATCAAATATGTTCTTCACTTGCTTCCACTTTTGATTTACAGTGTCTTCCTCTTCATCAATGCTTTGCTCGTCTATGTTACTCAAGGCTTGGAACCTGTTTCTCAGCTGTAGGACAAAAGCATTCTTAGTCCTTTGGTCTTGTAATCTGCTGATGTCATATCTAGGAGTGCGTTGTTTGTTTGGTCCAGCTGCTCTCAGTTTCAATCTCACCTTTGCAGTCACAAGATGGTGATCGCTGCTTGCATCAGCCCCTCTTCTTACTCTTACGTCAAGCAGGGAGCGGCGCCACATGCTGTTAACCATTAGGTGGTCTATTTGGTTTTGATCCCGCCCATTTGGGGATGTCCAGGTGAGTTTGTGAATGTTGCGATGCGGGAATAAGGTTCCACCGATGATCATGTTATTAAATGCACACCATTCTATCAGCCTCTCTCCATTGTCATTCTGCACTCCACATCCTTCTCTTCCCATGACTCTTTCAAAATTCAAGTTGTCTGAGCCCACCTTGGCGTTAAGATCACCCATCACCAGCAGGAGGTCTCTACAATGGACGTTCTCAAATGTTGCTTGCAGCTGCTGATAGAAAGTCTCTTTATCTCTGTCGTTGCTGTCATTTGTAGGTGCATAGCACTGTATGATGGATAAGTTAGTCTGCCTGCCCTTTAATCGTGCTTGAATAATCCTGCTGTTTACTGGTTTCCACTCCATTAAGTACTTTTCCATCCCTTTCTTCATAATGATTGCAACCCCCTCATGATGTAAATCATCCTCTCTCCCAGAGTAGAGAACTGTCTCTCCTGTTGTTGTCTTCATTCTCCCAGATTTTGTCCATCTACTCTCACTTACGCCTAAGATATCAAGTTTGTAACGCTTCATTTCAGCAATGACCTGCGCCACCCTACCTTGCTCATACATTGTTCGCACATTCCAAAAGCCAATCAGTGTAGTTGTTTTTGCGATGACGGCTCCCGTTGTCATGACAGCGGCTTCCTTTCGGCTTTGGCCACTGTCAGTCATTCGAATCCAATTACCTGCAGAGTTTCTGGTGTTTTCACTCTCGGCATTCACTGTTGCCCATGGCATGGATTCCGGAGGCTCTTTCTGCACAGATGATTCTTGTAAGTTGCACGTTGCTGTTTCCGTAACAGAAGCTTTTTACATGATAGGGTCGTTAGCCCTATGCAAAACCCCCAAACTTGGAGGGCCGGTAGATTGCTCTTTGTCTGGCCCCTAACCTTTGACCTGTCTGGCATGGGTGTCCCTACCAGGACCTCGAGAGGTCCAGCCAGCATAGCTCTCGGGCTCGTTGGAGCGCACAAGCACCCCCACCACGTCAAGGTGGCAATCTTCGGGCGTGATAGTCTAGTATAATACGCAGAAATCATGGCAAAGATCACCATGCACGCGCAACTGAAATCAAGAGATGTCTGGTGGAATTCAAGAACCGGATGTTTTACCGCCAGAAAACATCTCAGAAGTCATTTAAATGTATTTTAACACATCATAATTTTTACACTATAGCGGATTAAATAATTCAGTTCGAAAATACTCTTTTGTAAATAAACCACGTGCATTTCAAAAATTTCAATGTAGTTTCAATAATTAGTTTTTAAAAGTTTACAAAATTTTTTCACGGGAAATTTAGTTAAAATAGTAATACTAGTTTGACTTGAGAACAAAAGCAAATTTAAAAAAGGATAGTACTGCTACTTCGATGTAAAAATAAGGTGTAAGGTGGAAGACCTATGCAAGACAGAATTAAGGAGCACGATCGAGACATTCGACTCGCCCGTACCGAGACCTCCGCCGTTTCAGAGCATGCCCACAACACCGAACATAAGCCACTCTAGAACGAAGTAAAGTTTATTAATCGTGACCCTTATTACTACACACGCAAGGTCAAAGAGGCAATTCATATAAGACTTCACCCTAACAACATCAACAGGGATAGTGGAATAGAAATTCCAGAAGCGTGGATGCCCACGATCAAAAAACACAACAACAGGAGAGCCGTGTGACAGCGGACCGCCGGGGGAGCAAATACCTGAGTGTACAGCAAGGATCGAAATGCACCAATCAGAGCTGTTGAATAACAACTAATCAAAGCAGAGCATCATGCTTTATAAGATCACGCATGACCAGTCGACCTCATCGCCTGAAGAAGACTAGCAGTATGCAGTCGAAACGTTGCGATCTACATCACACGTGACTACATCGTGAGACAAACGGAAAACTTAGCTTTTATTGTTATTCACCACGATGAATAACCACAACCTTTTCTACAACATTATTGTACTTACCTCAATTGGTAAGAATGGCGCGTAAACTGAATATGCTGCGTATAGGACGAAGTAAACCAGGCACATCGAAAAAAGGAGGACTATGTCACGCGAAGTCCAGGTTTCGTTGTTTGTCTCCGGGGGGGTTTCACCGAAGCTATCAGCTGGGAGAGTCTTGGAACTGCTATTCTTCATGGTGAAATCTCTGCCAATATGCACCGATATGCTATGAACGCTGACTTACTTGCAAGTAGTACGTGGGATCATCACGCGTGCGAGTGGCAGGGTTTATAGGGCGAGTCTCAGTCTCCATGTTTCGGCTGATATTTTTCGGAAAAATTAGTTTGCAACAGTTTGCATATAACTTACGAAATTGTTACAGGCATGTTAAGACGAGGTCGGAGGGCTTTCTGACCCTTGTGTGTAGATATCTGGTTAGCAAAACTTCCTTTCATGATAATTTTGATCAAATTATGTCTCTACTGACGACGGCAATTAGCTACCAAGGGCAGACTAATAAAAAAGATTGTGCGATATTTCTGAAGGCAATAGGGATGAGCAAAGAGCTTTTTACGTTCTTATCCAAAGATGGAATACCGATATGAAGAAGTTAGAGACGTCATGAGTTTCTAAAGTTAATGTTTCGAGCCGGTTAGCCCTTCGTCAGAGGATTTTTGGGTAGTGTTTCGTTTATTTACATAAGCACGGAGCTAAGCTGTTGGTAGGAACATGGTAACGCGAAGAAAAAGAATGAGTTAGTTGAATCGAAAGTGTTTCTTAATACTGTGGGATTAGGGATGTCCATTTGAAGGTTTTTTTTTGTTGTTGTTCTAGAGTTTTGCGGCTTTCTGAGCTGTCCAGATGTAGCGAAAGGCCACAGACTGCCATATCGTGCTTAGAATGATTTGGAAGATAAATTGTCTAGCGACTGATTTGAATGTGTCTTTTCCAATCCTTATTACGTCACGAAAGTGTTCTCGGAATCAGTCGCCAAATCATCTTCCTGTTTCACCAATGTCTAGCTTTGAGATAAGTGTAAGATAAGAAATAGATAACCTTTGCTTGGATACAGGAGAAGTGAGGGGTGATTACTACACCTGCAAAAATCTAAATATCACTTACTGTTTTATCTGCTATAAAATGGTAAGTGATATATATACCCTCCACATATACTGCTATATGAGGCGTTAATACTGGCAAATATGAAGAACACACGACCAGTCGGTGTGGGATTTTGACCCAACTTTAAGGAAAACAGATAAAGATTTAGAAAATTTATGAACGTAGTATATTAGCATCCAAAGGAATTTCAGACATTTGTTGAGGAAGACTTCGACTTGAGCTCTAACGCGATTATGGACGCTATTACTGTCTCAAATGAAATGACAAGGATAATATTGACGCGTTCCACAAGCTTCTGTATGCGCATCTGATCTAAATAAGAACTGAATCACCGGCCAGTTCGGTGTTAAAAGACATTTTAAAAAAATAATATTCCAAATATATCATTCTAGCTTATTTAGGGGTTGGGAATTTAAGGGAGACATACATTTTCATCACAAGTTTACCCGACTCTTTTAAGGTAAAAGATTGTATAAAGATCAAACTGCTACGAGAAAATAGTTCTTCGAGATTACAAATTAAAGCTCTTGTTTAGATTCCGTGGTAACTGGCTCTTTCCGTAAGTAATGCTCCAATTGAACTCTTAAGAAAACAATATAATGGCTTTTGTTAAAGTTGATCTCTGCACAGGAACGTCCTGGAAATTAACCTATTCATAATATCTATCATTTCTTGAACTCCCTTATGTTTTGTTTGGGCGCAACTAATTTCCTCTCTTTTAAGGTTGTAGGAATAAACAATTTCTACTTTTCATCTCTGCACTGATTGTACAACCAGTAAACTTCCTCGAAAAGCACGTAACTTGGGTACGCCCTTTATTCTTGATCTTTTCTGTTTAAAAATTATATTTCCTGAAAATATGTCGTGCTCACGCAATAAATAATGTATTCAGTGGACCAGCAAATCCTCGCGGTTGCGCAATTCTTTTTAGATTTTGCGAATTTGTTTGAATTTCGGGCAATTTTCAGGTTCCAAATGATACAAATCACTTTTAATGCTTTGTAAAAGCTAAAAAAAGGCTTTAAAATGTTTGTGCCAGGCAAGGACTCAAAAGCATTTCATTTTGTCAGCTGTGCATTTCTCAAGATATGAATCACTTAGAAAGTTTAAAGAGCGCTTAAGAAGCTAGTGTTGAACGCGGCTGCGCCTCAAGCATCTCCTACGCATCTTATGCGATCCCCAAACTTTCCACGTGCTGCATATCTCATTGAACGCACTCCGACTTATGAAACAAAAATTCGAAATCCTACATAACTTTAACATAACTTTCTCTCTGATTGCCCGAAAATCTATCGTTTATTGTGCCGCTAAAGCACTAAAACTCTTCGGCCTTGAGTCATGTTTTGATGTCATATCTTATGCGGAGGCAACTCTAATAGATTAACTCTCAGAAAAAAAAACATGAATTTGACCTCCCTTTTTCAACTTTAAAGTCCTTTAAGTCATTGAAAATCCATGGACATCAAATATCGGAACGGAAATTGTCGTGCTATTCACAACCCCTGCGTCAATGTGTCAAGCTCGATGGTGCAGAAAGTCAAACCCAGTTCTAACGCGGTCCAACCCTCTTTCCTTTTTTTTATGAATTTTTATAACATGCTGTTGTTGAGAGTTACAATAAGTTTTCGACATTTTGGTCAAAGTACTATCCATCCAAACTGAAAATGACTATTACCTGTAGTTCAGAAATTCGATCCGATGATGATAGGGAAAGCTTGATAATTGACAGCCTTCAACTCGGCGAGAAAGAGGAAAAGTGCTCGTCTGGAGATGATTCACCTACGCTTCTTCACCACATAGCTCTCTGCGCCAGCAACGGTTTTTGCAGCTTTATGGCGTTTGTAACATGCTCTTTGTTTTCACCATTCTTTCCTCAAGAGGTTAGCACTTATATTTATTTATTAATGATATATCACAACAAATGAGGCCTACATTGGAAAATAAATGTAATTCCTAGTATAATAAGTGACTAGTTGTCCTCATATAATGATTTCAAACTCTAAATCAACCCATAATTTATCAGAAGTGTCTAAAAGCATAACAGTTTCAGTAGAGACCGTAGTGAAAAAGGTGAGGATGTGATAATATTTGTCATTGATAGTTTCGTAATCAGGGTATTTTGACTTTGACTTCAATTAGAATTTTAATCTCCTGATTGTAGCTATTGATATTCTTAAACTACTGTTACCAATTCTAATGGAAAATGTCTGAGGTCAAAATCAGATTTGATTCTCTAATTAAAGGAAGGGCTCGTTAAAGAACAGCCTTCAGTCCAATAGGAGAGTGCAGTACTCGAGCTCAGATTTCTCTTGAGTTAGTTGACTTTGGACTCTTCGAAGCATAGTTATTATCATTCCTATCATTATTGTCTACTTTGTGGTTTTTTAGGCACGTTCTGTAAATCATTCACTATTCTTTCCCAGTGAGGGTAGCACCTAGCACTTCCAATCGCTCTGACGAAGGGCTAACGCTCGAAACGTCAGCTTTTTTACTTTTGACGGCGACCAATTTACGTTTTCAACTCAGTTGTTAACACTAAATTACCTACTAGCTCTTACATTTTTTGATGAATACTAATATACTTCTGTCTAGGACGCCCACGTTTGCCAATTTTTACACTCTATTAAATTTAACCAGTATGTTATGTGTTAACGATCCTCATTCCTAAATGTCATTTTTTCCCTTGAAATTACGGAAGGGCTCGTTAAACAACAGCCTTCAATCCAACAGAAGAGTGCAGTACTCGAGCTCAGATTTCTCTTGAGTTAGTTGACTTTGGACTCTTCGAAGCATAGTTATTATCATCCCCATCAGTATTGTCTACTTTGTGGTTTTTTTTAGGCACGTTCTGTAAATTCACTATTCTTTCCCAGTGAGGGTAGCTAGGAACCTCTGCGATATTTCAATTGGTTTGTCACGCATTTCTCTCGATAACTTTTGCGTTTAGCGGCTATTCGAGATCAGTGGAGGCGCGTAATTGCCGCTCAGATCGAAGAGAAACTGGAACCCAAATAGGTCAAATCGGAGAAATCGAAAACCGCATCGGATATCAAATCCGAAAACTGCATCGGATATCAAATCCGAAAACCCGCTGGTACTTTTCGCGAAAACCGAAAACCAGATGCTGAAAATAGGTATATCCGCAAACCGCAATGAACACCAAAACCGAAAAACCGAAGTTTTTTGGTACAAAAACCAAAAAACCGATCTAAAAAATAGCTGAAACCGTAAAACCGAAAATCCCAATGCCCCCCTCGTTTTGGTCTCGGTCCGCATTTTTGTCAACAGAATTAACACACCGTTAAAAAAGATGATAATATGAACCACGTGTAAAGCTGTCAATTGTTTCTCGAATGTTGCGCGTGTTAAATATTCAGTAGTAACATCTCATTAACATCTACATCTACATCTACTTCTATTAAATTGGTAAAATCTGTACAGACATCACACCAACCAACTCGCGCGCAAAGTGAGAAGACTATATGAAGGCTTGAAATTATATTAAGATCGATTTTGATCAAGAAATGGGCCAGAAGTATTCCACAATAATGCAAATAATCGTGAAAGCTGATCGCGGAAAAGCGATTGCGTGACGCTCGGTAAGTTGTAAGATGACATGTTATCACACGCCAGACGAAAAAACTCTTTAGATTCTTAGTATGCATTTTGTACCCAGTCTGCAGTCTGCAGTCTACATTTTATACCTAGTCTACATTAAAGAAATACTCTGTACACTCATGGCAAAAGGCTCATCACAATTACCTTGAAAAGTACAGAGATAGAAGGTTTGAGGGGAGAGGGGTGGGGCAAAGGGCTAAACTGGCAGAAGTAGGAGCTTAATGAGGGTCTAGGGATGGTTGTTGTGCATAGTTTCCAATCAATAATGCCTCTTTTATGGTTTCTTTTATAAGTTTTGCGATTTATCATTCAATTTTTCTTCTTCTTTTTTGTTGACTTAAAGGCAAGGGATAAAGGCGTGTCTGGAACTATAGTGGGTTTGATCTTTGGAACTTATTCGTTTGTGATGTTCATCTTTTCGCCATTTTGTGGAGTTCTTGTAAGTATTTGACTCTGAAGGATATTCATAATAGTTGAAATATTTGAACCATTTGTTTGTATATTTATCATTATTCCCTTTTTCAGCCGATTAAATACTCCACCATACTTATTTAAGTATTCATTTTTTGCGATAAATAGCTTAATCACATTCACATCAAAGTAGACTCAACAACAGTTTTTGTTTCCATATTTTCTTGAATATTAGCGCCCGAGCGATTTTTTAAAATTTCGGCTGAAAGGAGAGGCGCTTATTGGAAAGAGGGCGTTTAATCAAGGGCAAGGGGAGGGGGGAAGGGGCGTGCTTATCAAGTTAGCACAGCAATAGGATGAAAACCAAAGAACAGATAACACACATGAGTGATATCAGTACCACATGGAGATAAAAATAACTGAAACAGAAAAGAAACTCTGAACTGATTTTGCGGTAGTTGAAGTTTGTAAAAAATATAAATAAAGTGGCAATAGGAACAGGTTTTTCTTGTACGCCTACCTCTTAAGAAAGTAAGGGAGGAAGTGGGGTACTTGTTTGAGATTATGGGGATGGGCGCATATTCGGGAGAGGAAGCTTACCGGTATTTGAGCCTGGACGCTTATTCGAGGAAATACGATATTTTAGAGTTACTTCTTAAGATAACAAACTTCATCCCCTTCAGATCAAAGTGGGCTTAACGAGGCAGAAACTGAAACAGTTTATAAAAATAGTGCATTATGACAAATCTATATCTGGCATCCTCAACCCTTTAAATTCTAATAGTGACAAGCATCTTATTCCTCCTTACAATAATACTGATGAGTCATTCATTAAGATAATGAGAATAAAGGAAATTATCTCCATCCAGAGAAGCTTTGATAGATAAGTGAATTCTCCTTGTCTGTACCAAAGAAATGTACAGAAAAGAGTATAGAGAATTTAGATACTGACATTTGGGCGTAAAGGGATAATATGATGATTTATGAGAACCACATGGCCACAACTCAGTTATATGTAGTTTTCTTCTTGGATCAACAATTGAATTCCAAGCTTTTTCATAATCATTTACTGAGGAGTAATTTGTATCACTTGCAGATACCAAAATATGGCCCTAGGTTTGTTCTCTACTCAGGGCTTGTTCTCTGTGGGGGATCATTGGTTTTATTTGGGTGAGCTAAAATATTGAATTAAATGATTTCTGTATTATGATTTCTGTATTATGATTTCTGTATTATGATTTCTGTATTATGATTTCTGTATTTAATCAAACAAAGAATCCCTTGGTTGCCATCTTTTCTTCTCCTCATCACTTTTCTGCCTAAAATTGTATGGGTATTATAAAGAGAAATTTCTCTCAGGTCAATCTTGGAATCGGAAAAAGGCTAGCTCTCAAATGCAGCATTTTTCAATGGCTTGATCAGCTGGGAAAGACTTGAGCAAGTAAATATGCTGAGCACTGTTAAAAAAAAGCTCTGTTATAAAGTTTAAACGGTCTTGGAAATGAAGTGTGAAAAGCACTAAAGGGAAAAACTAAGAGGTTAAAAAGATCTAACTTGCCCCTTTACTGCTTTAAACAAAGATACACTATGTATGGCTTTTGTATCTTTCAGATTTTGTGACATGATTGTAGATCGGAATGTGTTCATAGCTGTTTGCTTTGTGTTAAGAGCAACATGTGCCATTGGAGGGGCTGCAACTGAAACCTCAACAGTGTCCATTTTACTGACACAATTTCCTGATAATGTTGGAATGGTTTCAGTATGTGGGATTTTTTTTCTTGAATTCAAACTAAATCAGTTTTGTAATAAATGTATTGTGTGTCTTAAAATGTGAAGATTACAGTAATGATGTACTTTGATATGCACGATGAATTAGAGGTTCTAGTCGGTTTAAAATGATATGAAAGAAATGTGCAGTTATCATATGACGTAGCATAGTGACTGATGAATGAATGCTTATTTTTAGTTATAATGATTAAGGTGGCTCTATCAAACTCGCTGAGAAAAGGCATCACTCAGTAGCCACTGTATAAAGCTTGTCATGACATTTCCTGAGTAATTCTCTTTTTCTTTAAACGTCATTTTCTAGGGCGTATTGGAGACAGCTGCTGGAGCCGGAAATGCCTTTGGTCCAGCTATTGGAGGATTTCTTTACACAGTATGTACAAGGCATGATCTTTATCTGATACATTATCTGGTTTAAATTTGTAGGTAATATATCAGGCAAATATGATCTGGTAAGCATCCTTAAATTGACGAAATTGAACAAGGAAGTCATGTCGATCGACGTTACATTCAAAAACGTTACTGGTTTTCTTTTTTTCTTTGAATACCTATGCTCCTTTCAGCCAGGTTTCAGTACTCGTGTTGTCTAAGAGACGCTACCTCACCCCCCACCCCTCCCCTACATCATAGTGAGGTTGAACACTTAGTTATCTCAGCTTTTTCGTCCACAGAGCATATCGAGGAAATAAACAAAGATATTAGTAACTAGGTAATTAAAGCTGCAGTGAAATGCTGTCATCAATGTTCATTCATCTTAAATGATCTCACTTCTAGGTTGGTGGTTTTAAACTTCCATTTTTTGTCACGGGTGGCACTTTGATTAGTGTAATTCCAATTATAGCATTGGCACTTGGCAAAGGTTTGATTTTGAGATTTTTTTTGATCATCTAGTTTATCTTACTGGTTAAATAACAACAAAGAGTCCACGAAAGCTTTGTTTTAAGCTGAAGTAATAAAAATAAATTACAAACAGGTTCAAGAAAAATAGTTTACCGCGAGTAAACAAAATAGCGGAACGGCGTTTGAGTCAGTGCATATGCACGGCTCGATGTTGTTGTCTTTCGATTTTGCTCCAATAATGTAAGGACATTGAAAGTTAAGTCATCATAATGGAAATAAATTTCACCAGCAAAAATTCCAATTTTTATTCTACCTTTATTTCACTAAAAATTATCCAGAAAATATTAAAACTGCCTCCAAGGCTTGCAAACTTTCAACAAAAACTTCCGTAAAAATTATCAGATCGCAATCGCAGAGGTAGCCAATTCTGGCCACAAAAATGGCATTTTAGCCATCTAAATTGAAGTATTCTTCAGAAGCACGTCATAGTTTGTGCCCTCATCTTGCATATGGCCATTTCTCTTCAGTTTTCTTTTTAATCTCTGCTCGAGTTCTCGGTGCCATTGTGTTCATTCATTGAGAAATTAGTTTTACTCTTTGTTCTTCTGACCGGCAGGTCATTCAGTTTCAGGCTCTCTGATTGGTTTAATGGCACTTTTTGAAGGTTTTCATGAGAATCAGTGATTTGATCACAAAATAGAAATAAATTTATCATTCTATCTTGTAAGCTTCTCGGCTGCGCCTCGTGGTTTGTAAACTTTTCACGTGTTCTCCCAATATTACGCCGTAAACCGATAGAAAAAGGGGTTTATTGCTTAAATAAATGTTTAAAAGGCGCTGAGATTCAAAGATCCGTCAATATGATTGGGGAATGAGTAAGCAAAAACGTCAGTCTATAAACAATCTTTCAGTTCACCCTTGAGTCGTTGTTGTTATGTATGTCTCCTTTTTTATGATGTACGATACATAGACATAAACTAGCTTTGAAATTGTTTCAAGGTAATATGTACCATTACTCTTTAACAAACACTTTGGTAACCAAATATCATGTTAGCCACCAACATGAAAATGCAGGGTAGATTGGTGATTGTGTCAGTATACCGATGCATTTGTTCGCGGATTGGCTGCGCCCCAGGTTTTTCATTAGTTTTTGGAAAGTGTCGAAACGCTTGTACCTGCGTATAAGACGCACCCCTAACATAAGTTCCATTCTTTGGCTGTGGCTAATCTGTGAGTAAAAACAGTATATCAAGCCCATCCTTTAGGATCGTGTGGGTAAAAAGCATTTAACTGAAAGGAAATTCAGCCCTAGGGCCGCATATTTTTTTTGCTGATCACCTCTAACTCAGGCTATGGGAATAAAACGAGAAACAGGAGTTCCTCCACTGCATTTAGTGTAGTTTTGAGCCATATTAGCCCGTCCCTGAGAAGTTTCTATCTAATATTACATTGTTTTAATTTAAAAACTACAAAGCAGGAGAAGAAGAGAAGAAAGACGAGGACAAGGAATCAATATCCATGTTAAAAGTGCTTAAAATTCCATCTGCACTCATGTTATGTAAGTACATGAGTACTCTTAACATTTAACCTATTATTTCTGACAATGGATGATGGAGAGTTAATATTACTGGATAATGTGATTGCTGATGCACCCTGGGTTGAGGGTAGCCAGAATACTTCTTTTGGCAGAACATTTATGTGGATACCACGCCTATCTCAAAACAATACCTCTGAAAATAAGTCAGGATCAGCGATTGAAAAGAGCAGAGGTCTTTTATTTTAGCTACATGTGTTAATGAGTTAGAGCTGTTACAATTGTAAAGAGAAATGAGATTGGTCTCTGATAAATTTTTCTGCCATTATATTCCAGCTCTCTGCTTTGTCGTCTGTGGTTTTTCATTTCCTTACTTTGCGCCTGTCTTAGGGCCGCATTTAGAGCAGGTACACCACGACTTTTACTTTAATATTATGACAGGTGTTTTTGACTTAACATATAATGCTTTAGACTGTCACAGAGCATGCTACGTCAACTGTATGGTTTTATCAAATTTGACTTGTCTTCGAGAGGAAAACCTGGGCACCAAGATCTTTTAACGCGAACATTCGAAAATACTCCAGGATTTCGTTAGTTTTGTTTAACCTCCCTTTTGTGATTCACCAAACTCGCGCCAAAAATAAAAGTGATCACGAATGGGTCACTTGCATTTTATTGTGCATCACGTAGATTCCTTCTTTGTACTTAATTTGAGTTCCTTATAAGCTCTGTGGGATGTTTTTCTATTTTCTGAGTAGACATTGTCACTACTTCGGTTTCCAGTGTTAGACACTAAGTCGACAGGCTCTCATTATTATTAACGCTGCAGGACGCGCTTTTCTCCGCACGTTGGAAGGTTCGAGACGAGTCGGGAAGAGGTTTGCTGGAATCTGGCAGAGCCCAAACAGACCGCTGGCCGGCTTGCTTTTCTGAAGAACTCAGGCTTCCTCGCAGGCAAAGAAACGCTCGTGTTGCAGCGCTCATGATGAGTGTCTGCTTGAAGGCTTAATAGAAATGCCTGTTTCTAGTTACTAAGATGCTTCACCTAAAATTCAGTTCGCCAAAATTTTAGAGCCGTCTGTCTTCCAAGCTGAGCTCAATTGTCCAATTTTTTAAGGTTCTCAAACGATGGTATCTATTCACTTCACAGATGGGTCAAAATACAACACAGATTTATCTCGTTTTTCTTTATTGGTCTGGCACGTACACTCTGTTAGCGCCAATAGTGGGCTACATAGGAGATAAAACGGTAAGTTTTCGCTTTAGCATAGCAACAATTAACTTTGCATCAGGATCTGACATTATCACAATTTCCAAATCTACGGTTCAAGAAATTTCATCAAAAAGACAAGCGATTACCATCAAAGGAAACTAAGACTTCTTCATGTGAGTTTTTTTTTCTTTTATGTGGAATTGTAAGGGAAGGGGCGGGGTTCCCAGTGCATTATGGAATCCGTAATGGCATGTTCAAACTGAATTTCACGATGACCAACAAGGTCCATTCCTTCCCAATCAAGAGTGTCTTTCTCAGAGGGCGGGGATTGGGTTGCGTTGAAATAAAATGGATTATAAAAAGCAAAAAGTGCTGTGGAAAAATGGCGAGTTTTGGCGACGTCTTGCTGTAGAGAGTTTTCCCAAATATTGTCTATTTGGATTTCTGTAGGTTCTCTAGGGAGAACACTTACCGTTACCTCCGATTTACTGTTGATTCAGTTGTCAACTCGAGGCGTCACTTCAGAGAAAAACTCATATACCCGCAATCTGGGTTCGCTTGTTAAAACCTCATGTTGACGCCTCTTCCTCGTGTGTGATTTAGTGTGACTTAAAAATAAATGCATGATTTTTATACGATTCCATTCTTCTCTATTAATTTCTTCTCAGAACTGTTATCGATCGATGATTATAGTAGGTTTTATTGGACTCTTCATTGGATTTCTGTTCATGGGACCTGCTTCATTTCTCACGTTCTTACCACCTAAGTATGTGTACTAATCATTTTGCATACTCTTGAAATGTTAATGCTTTAACTCCCACGGGATCTGATTGTTATTTTCTATTTTGGCTACAAATTTCCTTGAAAATTGGTAACGAGAATTTGGTGCTAGATCACGAAAAGACTTCTACTTGATAAGATCGATTATTCTCATTACCTGTTTGCTGGACAATGTATGGAAATTATAGTGATAGTTTACAGGTTTATAACTTCTGGGAGTCATAAGGTGAAGAAAAAGTACACCTTAACAAATAATACTCACAGATAAGCTGCAATTTAAGCAATTGCAGAAAAAAGCCTTTAAAAGTTCAGCTTTCAATAGGATTCGAACGAGCGCTTCTAACCACTGAGCCGCAGAGCCACATTTAGTGAGCAAGGCAAATTTAAGTGGGGCCTTTATTTGCCTTAAAATAATTAAAAATGAAATGAAGTAAATGATATATTGGCTGGTCAGAGGAGAGTGTACAATCCTTACATTCCTCCACACTAACCTTAAACGTATTGGAAATGTGCCAACAAATATACTGAGAACATTTTGGTGAATGATCGAAACTTTTCAAAATTGATCTGTGTTTTGAGCGATTGGTACATGTTCAAACAAGTCAGAGGTCACCAGCGTGCAATCCCACGCAGATTTGTAGCTGCAATTATCAACTTTCAAGCCTATTTCTAAATCAATCGAAAACTGAAGTTCAGTCACCTGAAAAAACCTTATCTTGATGGTAAACTACTCATTGGATCCCGCTATTCTTGCAGGACGATTTGGCTGGTTATTTTTGCAATAACCATCCAAGGAATTGCTGGTGGTTTTGCTTTTGTACCCATCATGTCTGACCTTATTAAAAATTTAAGGTGAGTAGCAATGTTTTCGTAAGGCTCGTTTCTTTTCTTTAGCAAGGATAAAGTTTCAGTCAGTGAATGGCAGAGTCCAGGAAATCCAGTTGGGAAGAGTTTAAGTTACTGGAAGACAACCTAATTGATTTATTTATAGATATGTTTTTGTGTCAATGATTTTGGGCTTGCTTTTGTTACCTCTTTTCCTCTTGCAGGGCAAATGGAATGCCCGATAATTCCTCCACAAACGCGCTTGTGTCGAGTATTTACGGTTTTATGTTCTATTTAGGGTATGTGCTCTTTTTTCACCGATTCTTTATCTTTTTTGTGTTAGTTGCTGAAACGGTAACGATATGAGGGAGGGCAGACGCTAACATCCACTCTTAAAATGGATCATGTACATTTTTTCAATTCCTTTTTTACAGAGGAACAATTGGACCCAGTCTGGCTGGAGTATTAGATGATCATTTTGGATTTGAGTGGGCCATGAGTGTAAGTGCTGTTTTCATCATTCGAGGCATTTGATCTACGCTACGAAACTTAATATTATGAAGAGTTTGGGGATAAGTCAGTATTTATCGAACGGCGGTGGTGGGGTGGGGGAGTGAAGGATTTTGGTAAGGATCACATGGTTTTCAAGGGAAACAGATGGGGGATCACTCCGTTCAGCCGTCGCAACAGAGTATAAGGGGAAACTATAGAAAATTAACTGTTAATTACCTGTCAGTGAGAGGGGACAAGAGATGATGAGGCGGATTTTGGTTATGTCAAGATAGAATTTAGTTCCAACAAACTCCCCACCCCACCCCCCCTCCTTCCTGATTGTTAAATAATGACCCGAGTGTCCTTAACAGAAATAAAGATGGACTTGTAACAAGTATTTATTCTCGGTTTCCTACTTTTGCAGGTAGCAGCTTTCATCTGCCTTTTCCATGTGGGTACACTGATAATTTCGCTTCCGCATGATTATTTTACTCTATTTTTGGTGTTTCGTTCTTTCATATTTCATTTTAAAGAGAAAGATTTTTCTCGAAAAGAAATCTTGTTATTATTTTTGCTATTGTTGTTCTTTTTACGTAAAGGTTTTGTAGTTTAAGTTTTATGAATATCTTCTGTCACTATCTTCGAGTTTCTTTGTTTTTTCAGACCCTGGTGATTTGTTTATTCACGATGAGTGAAAAGATCTCTTTAAGGTTGGTAGATAGTTCAATGACGTTAGTAACAGTTGTTCTTTTTTTGCTAAAAGTACTTTACTAGTAGCTAGAACCCCTTTTTGGAGTAATCAGGAAGGAACGTAACTGAATTTGACCAGTCCTGATTTAAAATAATTTGTAATTTTTTTGTTACATTGACCCTTTTGGAAGGAATTGCGCGCATGAAGAAATAAAAAAATAACTTCAGATAAGCCTTGTCTTACGGTCAAAGTGAAACTGAATTAACACGTTGCACGACTACTAGTGCTCTTACGAACGGAACGTTGATTTACAATTTCTCAGGCCGAGCTTTGCAAAACCCTTTGGGTATTAATCATAGTCAACTTCTTGAAAAATAACCATATGTTGCCGAGGTAATTAAAAATGTTTTTGTGCAAACCAACCAACTGAACACAACGACCCAACTTTACTGACGCATCAGGACTGACCAATCACAATTAAGGTGATTCCATCGAAAAAGAAGGTGTAATGGCATTTCTTTTTTACTTTGCACAGTTGTTAACTACTCTAAGCTAATCCAAAACATAAAACAAAAAGTTGGGGTTACCTTCCTCATTCTCGAGTTTTAGGGCTGTTATAAAAACTACTCTGGTTAAGAATATATGAAAGTCATATATTTGAACTGCGGATAAAGACATGACACACCGGTTCTGCACCGGTATCGCAGAGGTCATGGGTTCAAATCCCGTACAGGCCTGAATTTTTTTCAGGCCTTATTTCCACTACTGCCTAAGTAGTACACATTACTGAGAGGATCACTTTCATTCAAAAAACTACTCTGTTAGCTTGTGATACCAGAATTGAAAATCCTATCCTAGAGTGTAAAGTACCCGCTATTTCCAGAAAGTAGTCAATGAATACGAAAAGAATGTTTTGCTCTTATCATCCCACAACAATGTTGTGGTAAACCATTTAAACGTTTTCAAAAACATCAAAGTGGTGAATAATAGGCCCGCCGATCAGTACTCCCTCTCTCGGACAAAACACCTAACATCACATCGCAACAATTATTCGAAAAGAATATTTGAATATCAACGAATGAAAAAATCTTCAAAGTTGGATATATCATGGAGGATGGCATTTTCTCTCGATGCGTGGAATAAAACTGGGGGTCATCATGCCCGTTTTTCCGCAATTGTTCGGTGAAAGTGACAAATTCACTTCTGCTGTGCATTTTTCCGAGAGGGCACTGGAACGAGTTTCTTCCCATACTCCAGTCTCGCTTACTGAAGTTTCGAAATTTTGACTTTTATAAGCTAGAAGCCTATTTTTCATGATATCTGATACACATTTTTCTACGCTTTAGCGTTTTGTTGTTGCAAAACCGGCCTGTGTTGTCTTTTTTTATGATACCAGCTTTAAAAGCGGCCGCTATCTTGGATGTCTCAATGTTTTGCGCAGTAGAGGTGCGCAATGCAAAACCAGGGAATCACCTTAAGCTATTGAGTCTTCCAGCCATAGCATCTCATTGAAGTAATAAACCAATCGGTTTTCAGAAACTGTCGTAAATCATTCGACTGAAAATAACTGTTTGGTTGACTGATGACTTTTGTTTGTGTTGTCAAAATGGAGTACCTTTACTTGAACTAGTTAACTGCACGACTGTACTATTATTTATTTATTTATTTTTTAAATTTAGGGGAAATTCTGACCCATCAGAAAGGGAACCTCTCACTGTTAACAGCAGGAAGAGGACAACAATTGAATGAAATGTTGACAAGTGTTTAAAATGTAAAGTTGGATTTAACATGTAGAAACATGTCACGATGACTCTTCGCCGAGAAGTTGAACTTCGTAACCGGAAATATAAAGGCTTGTTATTTAATGCTCAATAAATTATTTTGTGTCTTAATAGGGTTACAACATTCTGTGTTCGGCTCCATAGTATATACAAAACCAGCCTCCCGTCCGGGGAAGGGAGACTTTCACACAGTCAAGGGTGCTGATCCCAGATTTCCTAACCCGTTCCCAGTCGTCTTTAGCACTAACACAACAAAGGGGACGATAGGGGATGATGTTCTCTTCTTTTTTTTTCTTTCCCATCCTCCCCACGTGCACCTCTCGCATAAAGGTAGAAAGACTGACTGGGGATGAGTGAGACAGACTCTCCTTGGATTCAAGGGGCGACACTCCTATATTTTCGGCTGTCAAGGTATATATCAGGTTTATAAGCGATGGAACAGTAAAAAAGTGCTTTCATAGAGTTTAAAGGAAGGATATAGTGACGTCTGTAATACAATGACGAGGACCTTCTTTGTTCGGTGCTTAAAAGAGGTGTATCTTAAGAGGTGAAAAAGATGGTAATCCACGGCTAGCTTGGTACCACTTAGCGGTTACTGCCACTTTCAATAACATGCGAACTCAAGGGCACAACTCGCTATTTCGTTTCATGCTGCAGTCGGTGTTTCTTGTGACTGACATCTAAAGGAAATGCAATCAAAATGGATCAAAATAGCTGAATCACAACTCAAGAACATGACTGTGGCGACCTTTTCACACATCGCACAGGAGATGTAGGTTCAATAAGAGTCCGGAAGTCTTTCAAAGAACCTTTCGTAGCCCTGGACAGTAGAAGCTACTAACTTCCCTATCTTAAGACTGAACGCTAACTCCGTAAAAATCCTTTTATTTCTCCGAAAACAAAGGAGTCAATTTCAGACTTATATTCGATTATTCCGTTAGTTAGTTTCTCTCCCTTCAGCTAATAACATCATATAGGGAAATTCCATAACTGCAGGCTGAATACGCCCTTATAACGCTTTAACCTTTCTTGAGACACGTTCTGTCCCAAAATGCGTGCGAAGTGTTTCCAGTGATGGACAAGACACCCGTCTATGTTTTAAGTGCCCAGACAAAAGTACATCAACTCAACTACAGCTCTATAAGTAACAGCGGTTTTCAATTAAGTGTAGCAAAAACCAAAACCAAATTAATCACTAAGCCTAATCAGGAGAAAGGAAAATATCTCAAAAGCCAATATGCACTCAAGATAAAAACCAGTAAACTGCTTGACGAGCGTGGTAAACGCGGCTGAATGAGCCGTGATTGGTTTTAGTTTGCATCTGACTGATTGACAGGTTGGTGCGAGTTTTCTGAACCAATCACAAAGCAAAGTGAAGAAGAACCAAATAAATCCCGGATAACTGTTGATAATATCCTCTCGAGCTCAACGTTACCGTAATTACCACCAACGTTTCGCTTTTTTCTACGGGAAAAACAGTTAGCATGAAATATGTAATAAATTAAGCTACGAACAAAAAAAAGCTACCGTGTTATTAAAAGTAACAAGTCCCTTCCTAAACGAAATAATATCCCTCCTACGATATTTAATATTCAGGCGTTGAACAAAACACCTCAGTGCTAATACAAATTAGGAATACATTATTAAATAAATTGTTTGGTTTATTGTTTTGAGCCTTAGAGTTCCTTAATTCCTTTTAAACGAAGTTTAAAATGTTGATGTTGAGCTACCTGAGTAGAGTACAAAAGCATACAATTTCAATACAAGGAGACTAATTCCAAATAATCTACTTTTTTTTAGACAAATGCACTAGAAAATCAATTGAAAACGCTTCAAATGCAAAAACACAACATACAACAATTGTAAATGGACGAGCAACCTACACCGCTTTAAGACTTCACTGATGAACTTAAGAAATCTGTAGTGAGGCACTATAAATGCCTGGACATTTCGGGAACCACTTGAATGTTACCAATCAACCTAAACAGCCCCTTTCAGAATACTTGACGTTGTCTCCATAACCGACTCGAGATAATTTCTGCCTCCTGACCCTGAAGGCAACTTGGTCGCAGCCAAAGTGTTTAATCATATTTTCTACTGACTTATGTAAATGGGAATTAATTTAAATTTTTTATTTATTCTTCGATTCAAAGGCGTTTCTACTTCGTCGCTTTTTTCAGACGAAATTTGCCAACAATTTCTCTTCCTCGTCCTCAAAGAACTGTCATTCAACAATCAAACAAATTCTTCTGTGGATTTTTGGAAAGTTAAATATCGTCCTACTTAAGTGCTAGTATCTGTCCATGCCTCTTGATCAACATAACAAATAATACCACCATCTGGACGCTGTGCAGTAGCAGGCAATTGACTGACAACTTCTTTTTTAAAAAATATCGATTTCTTTGATCACCTCAAATTCACTCAACCAACCTAACCCCTACTCAACATACAAAATCTAGTCTAACCTGTCTGAAAGAATTTTATTGGTGACCAGTATCATGTTCATTCCGTGTTTGTAAAGCTACCGCACTTTCTACCATTCCTACTAATTACACTTAGCTAAACAGTTCTAGATATGTTAGTGGCACTTTTCCTTTTTGACTTCCCCTCTCGCCAATCATCCAATCGGGGTCCAATCCAGGTGCGCTGTAAACCGTGATCACCTGGGAACGAGAGACATTAAACACTTGGTCAACCTCACTACAGTAACTGGATCTTCCTTAACACACCTCATGGTCAAGGACAGGATATCAAACGAACAAAACGGGTCTTGCAGGTTTAACTACATTTTGTCCTTGTGCTAATCTACTATTCCTATGGCTACTAATGTCCTGCAACTGTCATGCAGAACCAGTACATGAAAAAAACCCTCTCATCTCCTAATTCATCAAAAGGAAAAAAAATATAAACAGTCTGAACCAAAATCTTAGGGGCAAACGTTGCAGGTAAGTTTTCGTATAGGTCAATTTTCCCATTGCTCTTTTTAACATCTAGTGAGGTGAAGTAGGAAGAAGTAAGTAACTTAAAAACATCTCTTTCCTTCCTTGATTTAAATACAGACATAAAGAGACAAGTGGGGTGGACTAATGCATGCCACGTGTTACTGTTGGAATTTCTGAGGACTGGAAGGCAACCGAAATTCCATTGGCAGAACAAATGAATTCAAATAAAAGAGGGTCACATGTAGAAAGAAGAGTAGAAAAGAAAACTATTTGAATTCACTGATGTGGTTCCTAAGCTGAAAGAGACATAGCTTTTAACCCTCTTTCACTCTCCTCAACTGAATGGATCTGAATAAGTGACAGATTAAAGAACGTGTGTGGTAATTATTTACTACTCTTTCCTGAGATCTAAAAGCTGTGAAAAGCGTATGGCAAGTACGGAAGTTGAAATAAGGAAAAATGAATGACAGATTCTGAATAGAAAGATCAGTAACAACAGTAAATCTGCCCCACCAAGAGTCTTTGGTACCAGAACAATAGCATCAGTAGTGTTTATTCTTTTACATCCAGGAATGTCCAAAAGGAATCTCTTTGCAGTATTTCATACAGTTTCAGAGAAAAAGTTATGAAAAAGACATGTGTAGCTTTGCAAATAAATGATCATTTAGAAATTGGGAGTGAAAGTGTTATGCTAAAGCCATATCACTGACCTCATCAGCAAGCAAGGAGAGCTCATTCTTGTCTGCTGCATCATAATCATACAATACTTTGGCCTTTTGGGTTAGGGATGGCCGAGGAACAGTGTTCAGGTCCAACCCACCAGAGGTGTCAGAAAAGGAAGGTGCAGAGGGAGGAACAAAAGATAAAGCTGCATCACCTGGAGGACTGAAAGAAATTTTCAAATCAGGCTTTGTGTTTTCTTGCGAGATATATTAACTCTTTGTATCACCCTTTACTTTTTCTGTTTCTTCGTTTCTTTTTCTTTTCCACAGGAGGTAAAAGATTCTTCACTGATTTTCTATCAATTCTCTACTTTCATTCAATGACAATAACCTTAAATCAGAATTTGCTTGATTTTCAACAGAACGGCAAGGTTGGATAACATTTTCAAAAAAAATTTTTTCAAACATAGCAATTGCAGAAAAGCTTGCAAAGAAAGAGAACAAACGGTGTTGGTAATTGAGTGCTCACCAAACATCATGACAAATGACCAAACAAGACACAAGAACCTTTGGAATAACCTCAGCATCAAATAAAGAGATGTGCTGGACTATTTTTCTATCCACTGAAAGATTCACTGCCAAGAATTTTGAAACTCTTCACCTCTAAGCCTGTTATGATGCAAACTATTTTCAGTTGAAATAGTCACACAAGTGTCCAGACTTTGTGAAAATACTTTGTTTTAATGGCTTACCTCCATAAAAGCATTTTAATTCTAAAACATATTGTACCTTGCCAGTTGCTTCTGCAGCTCTGTCATGTATGCATGGCACTGTGCATAATACTGTGCCTGAGCCTCAACAAAATTCATCAGTGCCCTGTGATGGTTGGCCTAAAATATATCCAGAATTTCACCTAAAAAATCTGCTACTATCTGTTATTTTGAGTGGCAGTTTCCAGTAAATGTTTTAAGGAAACCTCAGCTCTGTTCTTTTTCTACTCTGCCAATTATAATTTTGTGGTAATTCCATTGTAAAACTGCAAATAATAAAGCACAGAGGGAGTCCATCATCTAAAATTCTCAAAGTTTCTCATGTGATTCCTTCCTATATTTAACAGTTCACTAAGTTATTGAATCCATAGTGAATGAAAAATCTTGAAACTTGAATTCTGTTATACTGCTAGGTAGAAAAGAATTATGAGACAATTAGACAGATGCAACAAAGTTAGGTAAAGTATGAGTTCAACTAACCCCCTCCCTTGTACTTAACTGAGAATAACGGGGGGAAGTTTGCTATTTGGCAAAGTCATGGGCAGATACAAAACACAAATGCACCATTCAACAAAATTATTGAATCTAGCACAGTAATAAAGGTAATACTTACATGAGCTGTGCTGATTCCATCCAGCAGTAACTTTGTCACTTCATACTGTCTGTCAAACTCTCCTTGACATACTCTTAAATCTGCCTCTGCCTACAAAAAGGACTACTACATCAGTGAGGTTCTTTACTTGTCTGCCTCAAGTGGCTGACAGCTTCAGATTTCTCTCTCTTTCTCTTGTTGGACAAAACCACACAATTATGTACCTGTCCAGTACTATTGTAGCTTATGTACACTGTAGTTGGCTCTCTATAGTGTAGTAAGAGTTGAGAACACCAGAGACACAAAAGGAATGGGAAAGAAAAGGTTTGATTTTTATTCACACCCCAGTCAACTGTGCTACCTTCATCATTTTCATCAGTGGCCCAAAAAAAACTGACAGTCATGTTGTGCAACCTCAACTGGAAGCATGGAATTAAAACCTCAGTGTCATTAGCATGATCATTGATCCCATGGTCAATGCCATTTGCAGTATGAGAAACTTCAGAGCTACATGTATTTGTAAAATTTTATTATAAGAATTAAACTGCTCTTCAAACATCTGGCTAATTAATAAAATCAGCGCTTTAAATGGTAATACTTTTTCATGAAGATGCAATCCACATGGGTCCATAAAACAGAAGCCCCTGGTCATTCACTATTGAGTGCAGAATGACCTGGTCAAAGAAAAGTGTTTGTGTTCTGTTGGGTAACGTTGGGTTCTATCACTCTAAGGAAAATATGATAGATTTTGCATAAACCAATCATGCAAATTCTGAAGATGTCACATCAACGTCAAGAAGACCATTCATGCAGCAAGAGTATTAGGGAGATGACAAACTTCAAAAGCCTTTGGAGACAAATAGCCACCCAGTACTTGACAAGCGGGAGACTCACCTCATCCAACTCAGTGATTACAACCATGTTCCGTGAAGAATACATCTAGAGTCAAGCAAGAGTCATGACGGACATAAAAGGAGGAAGAAGACAGAAGGAAAGAACTAGCTTGAGGATTTCCATTAGTACATTAACTTTAGCTTTAATTTACATTTACAAATTCAAGAAAAAAAATAAATGCTTTAATTTGAAGTGTTTAAAGCAGAATGAAATTCATTAAATGTTAGAGGAGTCTAGCTATTGAGAAAAAATTTTTCATTCTTTTCCCAATTTTACACAAAAATTTTCATTTAAGGATTTAAAAATAGTTTTTAACCTCAAGTTAGGATGCATTATGATACACAAATCACTGCACAAGTGCTGAAATGTAAACTACAACCCTGATATATTCCAAAAATTGTGGAAATGTATTATTATACTAGAGAAAGATTTTTTTTCTTAGTTAATAAAAGTTGTGTTTTAGGTTTGAAGGTTCCTTTCAGTGAAAATGGACAACATCTGGATTCACATTGTAATCAAGGTTTAAGTGTTTTCAGGTAAAATTTTACAAGACTCCCTATTGGGCAACTTTCATAATCTACTGTGTAAGTCAATGATTCATTACTCCAATGGCAAGAATGGACAAGCCTGAATGATAAGTAGCACTGTTAGTGTCAATTGTTATATCATAAGTAATTATATATCATTTTGTTGACCATAGACTAGTGATAAACGATTCCTTTAATCATTGCAAGTAACAAGAAAATCAACACCTATTCCTAAATCTAACTTTAAAGTGACAGTGATATTGTACACAGTGGTACTTGATGGGGCACCTACTTTTAATCAGTATTACTGATATCTCAAACAGCTGGTTTGAAAGAGTCAACTGACTGCTATTAATTTACCTTTTAATATACAAGTGCACAAATAGCAATGAGAGATATTAGATTTGAAATATAAGTGCATTTAGTACATACATTTACAGTTTAATATGGAATAAAAATTAGCAGCAATATGACAGAAAAAGTAATGTAGCCTCAAATGTCTCAAATAAAATTAGAAATTATTAGGAGTAAAAATGTGGTGAGTTACAGTTCAGATTGCAGGAAAATACTGACACTTGCAGTGTACATATTACTTCAAAGAAGTGGAGTGATAGATAAGCTTCAAGTGCATGAATAACGTGACCAAAAGAATGAATACACATGTCACCTTTTCTGCTTTATCATCAGGAAGAAAGAGACCTTTAGTCAAGCATTTGAATGTGACCTGTTCAGACAAGAACTCAAGACATTATGGACGGCAATGATTGTTGCTCTTTTTGTGATTGAAGAAAACAAATTTGTCAGTATCATCATTGCATAGTGATGATTTACATGAAATACAAGAGAAATGTTTACAGTGAGATACATGTAGAAAAAAAATCCTACTACCTCCAGAATAAACTCGCATGCACTGCGAGTTGAACTCACTTGTTGTATTTTCTCAGGACTCTGGGCCTTTTTCACTTTAGCTTTGCAAGCATCCAGGTCTAATCTCTTGGCAAGTAGGGTTCTTTTCTCTTTCTGCAAAGTTAACATAAAAAAATGGCACCCTTAATTTTGTATGAGCCAAAACAAAATCAAAAGGTGAATGTATAAGAATTAATTCTGTCCTTGGTGATGAGGGTAACATAAAACAAAACTTAGAGCTATTTAGAGAAAAACTTTAGAACGTGTAACTGAAGAGAATCAATAATAAAATTATGTCAGGAACCATAAAATACAATGTATTTGCAGACATATACATGCACCATCTTGTAATTTGAATCTCAAAGTAGAGCACTTTCTCAACAGTTTTGGTGTGTTTTATTAAAGCTAAATGTACACAACACTCAGCAGAGCAGATCCAACAAAACAATTATCATCCATGTGGCTTATTGGTTAAAATCTAATGCACTTCCTTACTGCAATTGTCTTCATGTCCCCTTCCAAAAATGTCTTCAGCTGATGAAGAAAATTGGACATGGACTTGGTTTTTAAATCACGCTCTGCCTGGCCAAGCTTTTTTTCTGTTGCTCCACATTTCACCAATGCACTACCTAACATGATAGAATCATAAAATCTTGTGAGCTTCTTTTGTTTACATGTATGATTTAAGTTGAACTCTCATCACTCTTTCTGCTTTACTTCCTATCTCTCTTACTCTGTTTCAGTATGCTTCCAACAGTGAGGATCCAAGCAGTATATAACCTACAGAGTACTGTATTTACAGCCTAGCTAACTAACAAGTTCTGTGTAGTTTAGTTAATCAGCCTCCAACAAAGAAATGTAAATTTGCTTAAATTTGAATCATCGTGTGGGACTTGGATGTCTCTCTCATGATTTGAATTGACCAACCAAGTTGAAAAAGAGAACTAGCCAACATTTAGAGTGTTTCTAAGGCTGATGTTTCAAGGGATAGCCCTTCAATATAGAGATGTTTCTTTGTCCAAAATACAGCACTGATCTCAAATTTGTGGTTATTTGTTTGTTTGCTTTTTTTTTTTTTTTTTTTTTTAAGTAAAACACCAAAGGCCATGTAACGTACCATAGCTAGTTCCAGGACCAAAGTCGTTTCCAGCCTCAATCATAGACTGGCCTAATGCTTCACTCTCTGTCAGACGAGGAGGTTTAGGTTTGTCCAACTTTTGATACACAAACTCTTCAGCTCTGAAACCTTCAAAGTACATTTATTTCAGAAAAAGAGTTACACCCAGTCAAGAACTGGTGCATAATGTTAACGTTTAGAAAATAGTTTGCTTTATTGCTGGTAAGTTTAAAACCAAGAAACTACAATGTGAACTAGGGAAACGCATTATAATATCTATACATTCCTACAAGAGAAATGTTGAGTCAGCAGTGCTTACTAACAAGAGTCACAACTTAGATGAATACCATAAATAATTCTTGTATTTGTAATGGACTGTTTTAGAAGAGGGGGATAAGTTTCTTTAGAAACTATGGTGATGAATCAATGGGGGTATTACAGCATAATTTGGTTTTATAAACTGAGTTTATAATGTAAATTGGCCACAGTAAAGACTTTTAAAGCATTTTCTAGCATTTAGGCCCTTTGTCAGAGTGATACACAATCAAAACTCCTTACAGTGGTCAAGTTACTTAATCAACTCAGTTGACAAAACCAAATGTTCAGGAAGAGCCATGGTTATCTAGGGCATGCAAATAATATCACTCTGTGAATGACATTCATCCAGAGAAAATTTTGTTCATTTTTTCAAGTGGTCTCTGTCTCTGGGGAAACACATTAAGCAACTGAAAGGAGAAACAAACACATCACCAGACTCAACTTTTTTTACTTTCCATAGTTTTCTTAAGATTTGATTGTTGAACTAAGAAAAACAAGTACTTCAATGTAATATTTTTTAAATGCAGTTTAGGTCTTCATGTGCAAAAGGGAAAATCCAATAATTGTTTTTCAGAAGCAAAATGTAATACTGTTTGGCTAACAACTGCTTTGACAACTAAACTGTATTCAGTTATTCTTAAAAAAAGCAAAAGATAATAAAAATAGATCTAGAAAAAGTGTTTATATTGCACAACATAGGATTCTGTTTGACAAATAAAGCTGAATAAACCACAATGCGCCTATACCCGAAATAACGTTTGTAAGCAAAGCACGATAGACAGAATTGGCTGTATATATCTATCGTCTTGTTCTACTTTCACTTTCTTCAAGTCGGAAAAACAGCGACTTAATGTACTTGGAGAAAAAAATTTCAAAGGAAGCGCTGGCACTTAAGTTTCTTTCCGTGATTTAAATCAAACATTAAATACCTGTATACATACATTAGCGTATTAGCATAACTCTAGCAGTTTCTAAGTTAATGAAATTTACTTTAAAAATGCGTTTTACGAATCTCTCAAAAGTTAAGGCACTAGCAACTTAAATTATATTACTAATATAAACGGAAGTCACTAAAAGCTGGGAAGTCCACCGAAATTTAGAGACAACGGTATCAATAAGTCTAATAGCCTTTCCCACATGAAGATTTCATGCCATAAATATATTCATCATATGCCAGCAATTTCTACCACGAATATAAACTGTGCAAATTAGAGGAGGATTTCCTTGGAAAATAGACGATTTCGAAGAGATTTGAAATCCAGCCCATCTTGATTCTTAATTTGTACATTAAAAACGCGGTCAGGAAATAAATTAGGGGACAAACCTGGGTTAGGTTGAAGCAGTGCCTCCGTTTGCCGCAGTAAGCGTTCTGTCCAATATTTAGTACGATCTGCTTTCTCAACTAGGGACTCAAATCGGGCATCAAATATTGTCTTCTCCGACGTGCCAAGTTGTTCCTCTGTGTACTAAAGAACGAAAGATTTAGTGAAAAAACTGACTTTACAGTGATAGCCTTTAGGGTATGAAGTTTCGAACCTGCTTTGCTCTTGAGAAGAAGGTTGCCGTTTGGGCACCAAATTTTTTCATTGAATCTGCCATGTTGTTGACGTTTACTGAGCGAAAGTAATCCATATTGAAATCTGTGCGCAATGAAGGCGTGAATCGCACCACTTCTGCGCATCACAAACGCCTTCTACCGACACCAGACCTCTTCCAAAATAATATTTTTATTATTTTTCAACCTTTTTCTCCTGAAAGATTATTATTTGAAATTTTCTCGAGAAAAACCTTCATCAACGAGAAAAGAACAGTATTCTTTTCGCAGTCCCTTCCTAAGAATTCATTACCAGCTCTAGTATCAATCGCCTAACGTATCATGTGCCGGTTCGCTAAAGAGTACCTGTCCTTGTGATCTACGGGAAGTTTTTTCCCATCGGCCTGTTTTTCAAAAGCTCAGAGTCTAAAGGAAAAACGTTTTTCTTTTTTTACTTTTTGCGTGAAGTTAAAAGTGCAAAACACACCTACCCTAAAAGAGCGTAAGTACTGGAAGAAATCTGGAGAACGAAAGCGAGGCTAGTAGATTTCAAAGGCTCCCGACCAATCAGCTTCCACGTTTGGCGTCTGGGCTGTGAAGCAACGGCTTGGCTTTGTGGAGAGTTTGTAGTATGTTGTTTTGATCTTTAATCCACCTCTTCTCTAAGACATTGAGCCTTAAGGTCTTCTAATGACGATGTTTGCCTTAAATTTTTCGTGAAAAGGTATGTGTTCTTTGAGTTATCTCATTCGTCTTGTTACCACCTAGACGAAGTCCTAGTTTCGGCGCCAAATTCGAGTGTCACGACACGACAGCGATATCTAGCGCCCACTCAGATAAAGGATGTTCATTTCAAGTTGAAGATTTTTCCGGTTTTACCGCACTAATACGTTGTAGATGGCTCAAAAAGTTAAAAGATACATTGGATTCCATCAGGATGTAGTATTATGATGCAGTAATTTCATTGTAACTACTAAGAGAATACCTTTGTAATTTGTACACTCAATGGGTTATGTGTTATTTACACGAGGGGATTCCACAACTTCTTATTGAAGTTGGATTGTGCGATTGTTGGACTCTAGACTTTTCAGTAATTTTCTGTACGTATGTGTCACTGTCATTGTATTAACTGATTTTATATTTATATTCTACCGATAACTTGCCGTGAGCTTTCTTTGTTAAACTCTTTGAGGTAATCCCTAAAGATGATTAATTGCCCAAAGAGGGGATCTGATTTTGTCGTTTATGTTGCTGGTTTATTTGTACGAGCTGCTTAGTGCCCAACTTGATGAAATCTGTCTTTCATTTTCTTTCTCTGTTTTCATTTTCTGGTAAAAAAAAAAATAGCACTTAATCATGCACACAATGTGTACACTTGCAAATTCATCAGCACAAATCGAAGTGAACTTTTCCTCATATCTTGCACCGGTTCTTTTGAAAATTTCAATTTAATTTTGATTTGTTTTACTTCCACCCTCACGTTTCATTTCATGGTAGTAACAGTGACAAAGCTCAGCTGTTTGAGCATTACCCCAAATTTGCAAGTGCACACGTTCAAATCCTGTTTTCTTAATTTTTAAAGCTCCTTTTTGCAACTGCTTGACATATAATACACCACTGTCCAGGATCATTGCATTATCTCAACATTTTCATTGCAAAAGAGGAGCATTAAAAGTAAAGGATATGTCAAGACTAAAAATAGTGGTGCAATCCACTCTGGGAGTAATTTTCATTGCCTTATTTTTTATTTGATTATTGAGGATCAAGTGTTTATTAAGCAGAATAAATCTGGTTTGCCTAAGGATTATTCTTATATATTATACCAGATGATGACAGGAGATGGACGCAAGTCTCCTGTCCACGTCCATGTGGACAGAGAGACTCCCGTACATGTACACCTCAAGAAGAAGAAAAAAGGAAAACCTGGGGTCCCAACAGCAGTTGAGGTAAAGTGAGTCTTCATTCAGTTGAGCCTTCTTGTGTGAATTTTCTTGTTTAAGTGTCCATCTCTTGAGAGTCACCACAATGGTAGAACAGAGCAATATGCTGTGTACGGGGACTCGTACAGTACATTTTAAAAGTTAAAGACAGAGAATGGTAAAAGAAGCAAAAGCTGCCTTGATAATCAGAACAATGGCTCTGTCGTGGTCTAAATTTTTCAAATCAGTTTAGTCTTTGAACAAACCTTTTGATTATAGATCAAGGGGATAAATGTCTGTATTTGAGCACATGTGTACCTACCCCTCCCCTAACTTAATCTTATCCCTAACTTGTTATCAGTTGACTGTTGATGGGTAAGGAGAGGAGTAAGTGCACAGTTTTGCTGATACTGTCATTGAACTTATCCTGGTAAATGTGTATTAACCCTTTAACTCCCAGACCTGATTAGCATCTAACTTCTCCCCATAACATTCATACATTGTCCAACAAACAGGTAATGAGAATAACAAACTTATCAAGTTGAAGTTGTTGTCTTGATCCAACACCAAATTCCTGTAACTAATTAACAAGAAAATGTGTACCAGCAAGAGGGGAGAATTAACAATCAGATCTTGGGAGTTAAAGGGTTAAAACTGCTTTTATTTTACTTTTTACTTTTACTTACCAACATTTGCATAATTATTAGAATGTGAATGTAATTGTCAACCTTTCATATTTATGTTTTAAAGTGAATGTTGCCTTTTAATTTTTTACTGAAGCCACCATGTCATTTGCAAGATTTACAGCATAAGTATAGTATGCAAGTGCAATTTTCCTACTCAGTGGCAGTCATCACTGCTGAAGCTTCTTATTTGTTAAGTTTGTTTGGTACTTAATTCTTTTAGCAAAGGCTGCGAACGAAAAGACAAAGTGGTTTGACAAGATCTACTGTGAGTAAAAACACTTTCTGATTCATGTTGTGGTCACAATTTTTCCTGGTTTTAAAATTTTCAAAGAAGTTTTACTTAAAGAAAGATGTTTTCCATCTTGTTATGACCTGTGGCAGACAGCGAGAAAAATTAGCAATTAAGTTTTCGGAGTGAAAGGGTTAACTCAGTTTGAGTTAACTTTGCTTTGCTTTGTATTTACCATCACAATTTGAAACAGGGTGACATAAATCTCACCTAAATGTAACTTGAAAAATGTTTTCCCTGAAAAAATTTGAGTCATAATGTATTGGAAGAAAGATGTTTAATTTAGGTCTAAAAAGACTCGCTATGACTGGAATTACCACAAAGATAAATGGCAAACTCATTTATCACAACTACTTGTGCTACTGTTTTCTTGACGAGGATTCAAACAAATGCAACTTTAAGATGATCCAGATACCATTAACCTGATTAGAATTTTTTCCATATATATCCCAGGGTCAGAGAAAAGCCATCAAATCATCTTCTCCACCTTTTGTGCCTCCTCCAGGGAAGACGTCAAAGAGAACATTTGCATGGGAGGTTGGGCATTACATGTAGAAACTACTTTTTAGCAATGCTTTGCGAGTGAGAGCTGATAAATAGAGCTAAAACATCAAGAAGTTTAATGATTCAAGCAGATATTCAATGGTGGCATGAGCCCTAAAGCAGATTACAATAGAGATATCAAATATTTTGAATGGAGATATTTTGAATAATTTGAAATAAGGAACCTTCAGTTTCATTTTGTAAGTTTGCCTTTGACACCTGTTCATTTAGGGTCCTTCACATCGCTTAGAAGTCAGCCCTCCCCATGGAGGTGGAACACTGAGAATGGAGGATCTTTCTACTTCTGAGGTATTTTCTTTTTTTCCCTTCCCCCCTCTTTTCTTTTCCTCCTTTTCTCCTTTTCCTTCCAACCTTCATGCTTGCTGCATGTTTACCCATCCATCCAGTATTTGTGAATTTGTTCGTTAGGTAGGCAAAAATTTTACAACCCACCCCCCTTACTTTATCTCATGCCGTAGCTATCCGTGATTTGTAGTACCTTCTACTTACCTATCTGAAATAATGTACCCAGCCCCACCAGCAATCTTGACAAACAAACACCTCACACAAGGAAATACTGTCAGCACAGTTGTATGAATTTAAAAACTGAATTTATTGAAAAGTGCAGTCTAGAAAATATATGATAGAAAAGTGAAGAAAATATACATTGTTTGAGGAACAACTGAAACTTACTAGTGGAAAACATTATGTTGCAATCAAATGATGATTTATTTTTAAAATAGGAAGATGAAGTACATGGAAAGATAAGATCATATGAGAAAAAGATTGGCAGTTTGATGTCAGAAGTTGGAAGTCTGAAAACCGAGGTATTTCTTGCAGCAAAGGACATGTCATGTACTTATTGTTAGTTGTGATTGGAATGAATCTCTGTTTCAATAATTTTTGTTCTGTTTTGTAGAGGGAAATGCAAAGAGCTAGACAAGCTGTAGAGAAGAAAGATGAACAACTTGATGCCTCTAGAAGAATTCTTGAAGCACAGGAAGATGAGCTCTTTGTAAGCTTGATCAAATTTTCTTTACACAACAAACAGCTGTATAAATAAGTTTCCACACACCATTTCCCTGTTTTACTGATTTTAAAATTAAATGCGCCTTATTTTTTTTCCAGGGTTATAAGCAGGAGCTAAAAGCAACTGTGAAGGAAAATGAAGCTCTGCGTCATTCAATAGAGAAATGGAAGGAAGATGCTAATGTGACAAGGTAAATGATCTGTACAGCAGTATGCCTCTTAAAAGTGATTGGTATACATGTATGTACCTAAGAGGTATTGTTGATCATTTAGACTGATTGTACTCGTTAAAGTAAAACTGTAGTCTTAAAAGTATTTTTTTTTAACAGCTGAGTTGATAAAGTGAATTTTCCACTGCAAAGAGTTTCTAAAGCTGACATTTTTGAGGGAGGGGAGCATTTGCCCTTTGTCAGAGCTGGGAGAGGAATTGTAGTTTGTGTGTGGTCTATATACAAATAGAGTTCCAACAACTCAAATTTGTTATGCATTCCCAATGCTATGCAGGTCAGAGGTGGGAAAGTTAGCTGGAGAAAGAGCAGCTGTGTTGAAGAAACTAGTAGAAGTGGAAATGGATGGAAAAGCCGCTGGAGAACAGCTAATTAAACTTAGAGACACTATCAGGAAGCTGAAGGAGGTACATTAATTTTGTAAAATTTCATTTTAACTAGTAACTTAGTTTTACTCTACAAAGCTATAGCATAGTTTGAGGGGGAGATCCTAGCCACAGGGTTGTATGTACCCATCACGTTTTTTCATGAAAAGCGTTATTATTAACAAGTTGTCAACCTAGTATCCTCCCCCCCCCACCCCCAAATTCTGGTAACTGGCCTCCTTCCCCCTACCCTTACCCTTTACTGAAAAATTTCGCCAAGACCGACCGGTTTAAATAAGGAATGTTAAAGCTAAAAAGAGAATCTCCATGCAAAAGGGAAAAACAAAACAAGGGATGGAAGTCAAGTTATTTTACACTAATTGTTGTACTTTAGGATCTTTGATTGAGCAGTCTTTTAGATATTTCGATTGAACAATTTCCCAGGACAAACGAATGTCTGCTGCGGACACGACGTTACTGACCAGACAAAGAGAGATGTTGTTACAAAAGTTGGACGAGTTTGAAAGGACTAATAAAGCATTGCGGAGGCTGCTTAGAGAACAACAAGCCACAGAGGTGTGCACTAAATGTTTTTTCTTATTACTACAAAATAGCTTGCCTTGTAATGTGAACACACGGGAGCATTTTAAAGCATTTGGTTAGCGACACTACTAGCGTTTTGGTTTCGATACCAGGAGCAAAAGTCGCCTTCAAACTTAAGTTTGTTGGAACAATCATATTAATTTCACAGAAAAAAAGTTCAATACTAACAAAAAATTTATACTGTTTGATTTTCAGTTGCTTTTCGTACTTTGGTGTTTGAGGAAACTCGTCAATCGCTATTGCTAAATTTCGTAATCAACTTAATAGGCATCACCTCGAAGTAGGAACGAGTTTCTTCGTTGGTTTAAAGAGAAAAGAAAATAAGAAGTCGGAAAAATTGTTATATTGGATAAACTTCGATCCTAAGAAATAAGAGTCAACGCCCCTGTTACTGGTCGTTTTTGTTCACTACTCGCCAAATACTTTTGTTCTATGATAAAACTAGTGTTGTGTATGTTTTATTTTCTGGCTGTTAAGGAAGAACACGATCACCTAAGAAAACAACAGGAAGTTTTGCTGAAGAGACTCACACAGTCCGACACAACGAACGAGGTAAAAAGAATGTTATGCAGCTTTACTTTACATGACAAACTTTATTATTACAGTAAAATTATCTTAATTTGTCCTCTCGTGGCGCTCGACCAAAGAAAGGAGATTTGCCATACAAACATCTCAAAATGTTTCCCGATCTCTTAGAAAGATCAACTATGATTTTTTAATTACCATTTTTGTTTTCCAGTCGAGACTCAGTCACTGTGTTTAGATTTTAAAAACCTAACCGGTTTGTTGATTTCGTCCTGTTTTTTTTCCAAGCGATTGCAAGTCGAGTTAACAGAAAGAGACAGACAGATAGAAACTTTATTAGCTCAAGTTGAAGCCGATAAGGTTGGTGTTATTTGTGTTGCTTTCAATCCAGATTATTTTATACAACCTTTTTCCCATAATATGGTGTTTAATGACAACCTTTAAAAACTCTTTTTTCGAATTCTTCCAACTTAGGAAAGGGCTACACTGTCACTTGAGCTCCTTGAAAAATTTAGTAACATATACCTCTTTTTCTCTGCTAACCATTTGCAATCCATGTCAATGTGCTTCATTCGCCACCATCCCTGATAACTTTCAGTTTATCCGTACTTCCTCTGTTTGTTTACCCAGAGAAAATAATTATGATATTATAGAATTCCTTGCAATTAATGACAATTTTCAAGAACCTCCAAAAACAGCTCCTTGAAAATAGTCGTTTCGGTTTCGTGTGGTTCTTAGACGTACTAACTTCTTTGTGATTTCAGGACCAAGCGGTCGCATTTGAAGAATTAAAAAAGACCATGGAAACAACGCGGGCTCATCTTCAAAACCAGTTGCGCTCCAAGGAAATGGAGTGTGGTCGACTGTCAGTGCAGATAAGAGTAAGGAGACTGTAATTCTTGATATTCCTCTTCATTCAAGAGGTGGATTTTTTTGTCCTGAGTATAACTGAAATGAGCCCACTAGGCCAAAAGATTCTTGGTAGTTATAGTTATTTCTAGGTAAAGGTGAGGAATTTTGAGAAAAGTCATTTAAATGAAGTTTTCTCCTGAATCTAGAGCCTTGAGGATCAGTATGAACAAGGACGAATCGAATTAGAACACATGCAAGGATTGATCGCCGCGCACAGGGTATGGCGTTCGTAATTCACGATCTCTTGCAATGTTTTAAATGAAAGGAATAGTAAAGTTTGCTATCTTTGTTTGTTTGTTTTTGTTGTAAAAGCAGAAGGATTAGATCTAACGCAAATCGAGTGCATTTGCTACTCACGCTATTTCGAGGAAGCATTATACTTTTTACTTGTCACTCGTCACCAAACTTTTAAGAGTTCGTTCATCCTTAATGACCCCAACTATTGGTCATTTTTTTTTCAGGACAAGAATAGCAGAGAAAAAGAAGCTCTCAAAAAGGCGGCAAGGTAACATTCCATAAATAGTTGACCTGCAGAAAAATATTTTCCAAAAGGCATTGGTAAGTAATGCGAAGGACGAATCTTTCTTTTAGGCACAGAAAGGAAATCTTTAATCTCAAAAGCTGGTTCAGACCTAGCCGACTTTTTTCCCAGCCTTACCAACTTTTCTTTTTCCGTTTTCGGTAGACCAATTTAAATTGTTTCCTTAATTTTTGCTCTAAAAATAGTCGCCAAGGCCAGAATGGAAAGTAGCACCTCAGTCTTGCCCGAATTCATCATCGCCTCTGATGGACGGGGCTCCGAGCCTCCCACATCCTACTCCATGAATCCGTCAATGAGATGGTGAATGTTTTGTTAATGAGCTTAAACGTTTTTAAATGTTTTAGAATACAAAAAGATCGCGTCAGTGAGAGGGACAAGGATTTGGAAGTCCTACAGGAAAAGCTTGCCGAAAAAGTGAGTGAAGTGAACCGTAATGAAATATGCGCAGCGCAACTGCTGAAAAAACATTGCAAATATATATTGATATTAAGTAATCCCTATGATTAATTATGAATTTTTAATTTCCATCGTTATCATAAGTATAAGTATAATCATTGCGAGATTAATTTGTTTCTAATTTTTCATTTGTGCAGGATCTCGCGCTAAGTGAAACAAAGAGAGCTGAAGCAAGTTTAAAAGAAGAAAAAAGCGACGCCGAGATTGAAATAAAAACACTAAAAAAGTAAGAGTAGTTTCTCCTTTTCCTTTCATGTGGAGTATTGAATTATTTCAAACGACTAACTTATGAAACCGTTGGATACATCCGAATGATCCATAGTGTGAATGATGCTTTACTCCGCTTTGTCTGTTTTTGACGGAAAAGGAAAGTTAATAACATAATAGTGTTTCTGTCACTGTGTCCTTCATCGCTATTGTTTCTAATTTTTTTTTTCAGTCGGTTGAAAGAGATGCACGAGTTAGTGGATACCACAGAAAAGGCAGCCCAGGTGAATAATTTACTTTATCAGCCTCGCTCGCTGGTTTAAAGTACCCACATTGGTTATATACCCCTTCCCCCTCGTGCCGAAGCGCTAATGTTTAAGGCCTGCTCTCAGGCTACTAGATAGTAAGTAGGAAAATATTGATGTTGTCAGTCTTGTTATCCATTGCAGAGTAACAGCGACAGTCTCACCACTAAACTGAGCACTAGAACTCAGGAAGTGAACACCCTTAGATTGGAGAACGAACAACTCAAGGTAGAATCTCTGTTTTTCTTTACACCGCTCTTTAGCTTGAAAACCTGCACCTCTCTCTCAACTGGTTAAAAAATTATATAATCTCTTGTCGAGTTTTCCCGCGCCTTAGGCTAGTTTCTTGTATTTAATTTTCAGTCTTATTGGTTCTTTTTGGTATTTTTGTTTTGTTCTAATCGGTCGGCGATTGTGATCACTTTCGTTTTAGTGAGAATTAATCAAATTACGCTTGGAGATGTTACAGTATGTCCTGTAAATCCTGAACAGTTTTGATTTTAATGACGATCAGGCGTTAATGCATAGATTGATTAGTTGAATGAGAGTCCTTAGTTAATAAATTGTTTGATGTATTCATGCATCATCAGTATCTGTGTTTACTTCAATAGAAAAAGTCCATCATCCACTATAAAAGTATGCTCACAGCTTGCAATACTCCAATTAGCCATGACAAAAGGCTTACGCTCTAAACATCAGCTTTGCAAAATCAATGTAGATGTTTACCTACCTTCAACAACTAACAGTTGATTGTCTGCTGGCGCAAATCAACAGTTCTTTGGTAATCAATAACCTCCGTAGTTTATTTTGACTGGTTAAGAGTAACAACACAAGTTTGTTTCGTTTTGTGTCAGGCCGACATCGCTGCATTAGAGGAACGCCTCCACGAGGAAGAACAAAGGGCCGCTAATAAGGTAAGAATAATAAGAACGATGGAAAATTTGAGAATTGGCCAGTGAAAGCCCGAGGAAACACTGGCATGGGCCTTGAGCGCGAGAAAGCGACAAAGTTTTGCTCGTTCCAGGCTACGGGTCGCTGGAAGTGAGAGGAAGAAACGGTAACGGAACGGAAAGCCCCGCCCGCCGTTTTTTGTCTACTCTTTCGCTCGTTTCCGCAGACCATAGCCCTGGCAAAAGCTAGAAAAAGTCAGATTGGTTGAACTCTTTCGTGTGTTTGGTTGAGAAAGTAGCGCGACTTTTCAAAGCCAATTTGGGGTGTGTAGTGAAGTAAAACCACATTACATCCAAGGCATACTTTGATTCGACACTCCACTGAAATTGTTCTTTACCAATGAAGGAAGTATATGACCAAGTTTAAAGAAGGCATTGAAAATAGTGAAGCAGCTCTGTAGCTGAATTAGCATATCACCCAACAAGGTCTCCGTGAACCAGAACTTAAGCACAAGGAGAGCATTGGTCCTGAAAGTTCTCTGCAAGGATCCTCACACCACAACCAGGCAAAATGTAACCACTAACACTGGTTCAGTAGAATGAGAGAGTAGCCATGTTAGGAACATACTGTAGTTAGAATGAGATAGTTGTATTTTAGGTCAATGAAGCAGAATCAACGATAAAGCAGCACAAGAGAAAAATGGAGGACTGCAAAATAAAGGTATTTTCAGGTGCTCTTGTTGTTTACAGTTTTTCAACTGTTGATTGTGGCGGCTTAGTTCTTCAACACTACTTATGAGCCCTGTCGTCTTAATTGGGTAAACGATGCATTTTGTGTGTGTGCTTTTTTTGGTGATTTAAGAAAATTCTTGCTCCGGATTATCATTTCCTCTGATGGAATCTGTTGCTCTGTGTCGCACAAGTGCAGCACGTAGTCTTAGGCACAGCGAAGAGGTCACTTATCAACTTGAAGTTGGTAGGGGTGTTAAACCGCGTAGAAAATATCTTAAGAACGTTAGTCCCTCAGCGGAGGCAATTGGGGGATTGGCAAACGGCAAAAAATGAACTTCTTGTGGTCCGATTTCACACGATTTGGCACTTTAGCTGAGCATTTTTTGGCATTTACATCGAACAAGGGATTTATTCAATTTAGTTCCCGATTGATTAGAGGAATTTGAATAAAACCAGAGATCACTTTTGCCGTTTACCGTACTAGGGAGTAGGAGAACACAATTCTTTCTGATAGCAGGGAGCCCATAGTAAACTTCAAGGTTGTGTTATAGTTGTTTTAACATCTTGCCATTAACTGTTCCGGCTCATCAGGTGAATTCGTCAAAAAAAGAACTTGATCATCTTCATGGTAATGTCAGTGAGTACCAGACAAAGATAGATCAGTTAAAAAGCCAGGTAGGGTCATAGCTAGAGCTCATTAGCCCAGATAAATTTATATTAGAGTTTAGAAAGGCACCGCGCGTGACCAAGAATCACGCCAGGAAACACGAAAATTCCTCGTGCGTTTTCGCCTTGATACGCACCTCCTGAGCGGTAAAAACTCTTATGCCATACTTCTCACCTCAGTAGAGGATATTATTTGTGACTCTTTGTCTGCTCGTTTGCGCAGTTTATCGTGAAATGTCCCCCTTTAGCATGTGTAGGGTAAAGAATTAATGAGATAGCTGGCAATAGTTTCGTGGAAGTTCACGTGACATTTTAGGACTAACGAAAGAGAAAGGAACACATTTTTTACAAGACAACGACGGAACATTAATTATGTTTCATCCAGATGAATGATATTTTCTTCTCGCCATGGCGGATAAAACAAAAGGTTTTACTAGATTAAAGCACCTCATTAAAAAAAATATGCTAATTGTACTTTCTGTTTCACTCACAATTTTTTTCTTCACGACAAATTCCTTTTTGTGTCTAACAACAGCACAAAGCTAACAAAAGCGAGATAAGAAAACTCCAGGCCTTGACTGCAGAATATGAGAGCATGCTGGGCGAGTACAAGAATCAGGTAGATAGGGAATGATAAGGAATCCCAGGTTAAGTTTGTATGAAAATAGTATTGAATAGCGCGTATAACAGCGGAAACGGGGTACTCTGCTAGGAATGTATCTAGGAATGTAGATGGCTACCAGTAAGTTGTCAGGAAAACTTTACTATACTTCCACTGGCTTCAGGTTACGGATATGGAGTCAAATTCCGACAGTAAAAGTGCAGGAGGCGGTTAAGGCAAAACTTTTAATGATGACCTATCTATGTCAGGTAGTGACTGCGCAGATCAACCAGGGAACTTACACAGATTTTATTCGCTTTCCTGATAGACAGTTACTTACGAAGCAGAAATAAATGATTTAAAAGCCAGCTTCAAACAGACCAGTTTTCTGTTGGACGATCACCGAGCCAGGGTAGGACAAGCAGTGACACAGTAGTCGAAATTTAGTCTACGTTAATCTATGTTTTCTGAGTCTATCTCTAAGTACTGAGCTTTAATTAGATTGAGCCAATTGCCTTGAAAATGTTCGCGGTAAACGAAGGAGTATCTACTTAAAACTCAGGACACTTTTCATTTTCTACGCCATTACGGACAAAACAGAATCAGCTGGTTCACCATCAAACACTGATCTTACACTGAATTCTTTTCCTGAGTTTATATGCATTGAATGAATTGCACTAAGGAGAATTTTGATGCTTATGAAGATTATGCTATCCTAATACAGTGTACCTCTGACCTGAATGAAATAAATCAACTGAGAACAGTCATTAAAGAATATGAAGAGCTTGTTGGGGAGTACAAAGTGCAGGTAGAGTAGAAAGGAAGATAGTAAACAGCTTCCTAAAGATAGTTTTGAGGTAGAAAACGCTGTCAGTGTTTCAGCAGTGAGAGTAGATAAGAGTGTCCAGCCACTTCTCCTTTTCTTGTGTAATCTTTTTCTCTCTAAACCAAATGACATGTTAGGCTTTGACTTTCTTCTGCGATCCACATCGGTTTGCTACAAGAGCTGTGACTACCGTTCAGTTGGTTCCTTTCATCTCTGGACAAACGGTTTCCTCTTTGGATCGCAAAAGGAACTTATTGGATCTTCACGGATTGAGTGATTTTCTTCGTTCGACACTCGTGACGATTCATTTTTTAGGATATCTTTTTTTGTCCCCGATGTGCTTGCCTGAATGTTTTATAAACTAAGTTTTAGTGTATAGAATGAGGTGTTTTTGAAATGAAATTTTATACTTGAAAAATAAAATGAGGAAAATCAGCAGCCATTTTGTTTGAGTCACCTCAATCAATCTCGTCTCAAAATCTCCTGCGGCTACAGAGCTCAAGTATAATCTGGGTACGAGTTTAACCAGCATAATCTGCCTTAATCCGTGACTAAAATCAAATTTCTTTCTCTTTTAACCTTTCATCAACAGATTGACAAATATCGGAGAGAAGCCGAAGACTCGAAGAACAGATTGTATGAATACGAGGCTGAAGCACAGAAAATGCATCAGGAAAGTGCACTGGAAAATGAGAAGGTAATACAAATAAGACCGCTGTACAAGTCAGTGACGTAGAACCTCCCCCAAATTCTTAACAACGTCTAATCAGAACACAGGAACACAGAGAATATATAACATAGCGGGAAACCAACGAGAAAGAAAAGCGAAAACATGGTAACAACTTCAAGCGCGGGAAAATGTAATTGAACTAGTAGTGATTGGTTTAAATTTTGGATCTTATTGGTTCTTAAGCTAGCGCGGGTTTCCTTAACAAATCATTGACCATGGTTAAGCAAAAGCGATGCAATCCCGAATTATTTCCAACAGTCAAGTGAAGATTAAGATAAGTCTGAATCTAAGCCCCCCTAGCGGAACTTATCTCAATAGTTTTGGTTTACTTTGAAAAATGAAGAATCTTACCCAAAGTCAACCTGGCAGGGCTGGAGTCCGTACCGCTCGGTCTTGAGTCCAGCATGATCTTTAGTCCTTTAGAACAAGTTTTTGAGCTGATCGAGACAGGTGAAGGAAGATGAAACGATTTAACCCGTTAATCTTTTCTTTTATGAAGGTTAAAATTAAAATGCAGAAGAGGCTTTCTGAGCTGGAACCACTCGCGGACCTGCTTAAGGTAACAACTGTGAACAATTGAGAGATGATTTTTCTCTCAAGAGATACAATTTGTTCCAGTTTTAAACTGATAACCAACTTTATCCGTAGTCCTCAGACGCCCGTTTGCAGGATTCTCAAGAGAGGATTTTGGCTTACGAAAGGAGATCGAACGAACACGCAAAACTCATATCTGAACTGACACAGAAGGTGAGAAGAACGAGAACGTGCTTAGCAGCCTTAGTGGCCTTCAGGTGTGCGATCCTCTATGGTCAGCGCTCGGCTCGTATTGTTGCCTCAGTCTTTACTTTTTTCCTCTTTTTTTAATAAGAATTTTTGCAAAATATGCCTGTGGTGTAAATGAAATGTTGAATGGGTTATGAAGTCTTATTTTCGAAATGAGAAATATTTTAAATGACCTTAAATCTTATATATCAACCCATGTCTTAAACTGGTGAGTAGATGTCGTTTTAACAGTCAGGGCTGTTTGCTTTAGTAGAAAAATATGCTCGCCATAAAAAACGCTCTCCATGAAAGGGGTTTCTGTATCTCGGTATTTTATATAATGCTTTTATTTCCTCTTTAAAGGTGGAAACGCAAACAGATCAATTAGAACATCTGCGCGAGAAATTGAGGATGGCACAGGATGAGACAAGAAGCATGCAAGCCAAGCACGAAGTCTTAGAAAGGTTTGTGGAGACTCGACCATAGCCTGTGAAATAGTAGAGTTGTTGTCTCACAACGAATGCAAGAAAATTAAACATCTTGTCCTGTTTTTCAGCTCGTTGTATAATGATTGATTAAAACAACAGTATTTGATCCGTCTTGGGTAAACGATTGATCTTTTTCTACAGGAAATTAGCCGATTCTGATCAACAAAACAGAGAACTTATCGGAGTCATCAGCAAGAAAGAGGAATCTTTGTATCAGTCACAGGTTGGTGCCACCTTTTGAATCATTGTCTTATTCATCTCCGAGATGAACCAGACGATGATTCGACAAATACAGGTCGCTTGATTATAGTCCTCAACTGATTATTTTACATACTAACTTATCTACCAAAGAGCGCAGTAAGTTTTAAGTCTCGCGTGTAATTCCTGATATTTCACCTTAGAGATTTTCATCCCCTCTCAGAGATTTTCTCAGTATTCAGATTTAAAATTTACAATAGGATAAAATTACAACATAACGTAAACAAAGAAGTGGGTAATGTAGTGGGCTTTCTGAAATGACGCGCTAGAGGCAGTTATCTCCATCGCTTACGCACGTGCGGTGTGTGAAGTGCTGTCAGTATAGTGATTGTCTGTTTGTGTGGTTTTATCTGAAAGCAAAGACAAGAGGACCTCCGAGCGGAAAATATTCGACTAAACCAGCAGCTAGAGTCGTCTGTTCTAGACGCCAGAAGACAGGTGGATAGTCAAAAGGAGAAGGCTCTTGTCAAGGTTGGTTGGGTGGGGAGGGTGGGGATCTTGTAGACAATAAAAATCCACTGAACTCCTCTAATTCCAACACTCGAAACAATTGAAGAGATTCTAAATCCAGTTCAAAAGTTGCATAATGGCCTCAGCAGGTTTCAATTTCTAAATGAAGTTTCATTATTTTAATTTTGACAGGAGCGTGCTGCGCATGCACGTATCTCAGATTTGGAAGCTCAGCTGAGCCGAGCGACCGTGTCCATGGCAGAGCTTAAGAGAAGTAAAGATGAGGTATCCAAGCACTATTTTTAATGGTTCCATGTGTATTCATGGAGAAGACGTACTAATTCTAATTTCTGCAGAAACTTCAACAGCAACAAAAAAAAAATTGATTTGTACTTTAACTTGCACTTTAGAACCATTCACGCGTGCGCGTGCGTGACGCGAAGTAGTCTTCCTATATCCAGCTTACTAGACTAGTTTGCATGTTCTCTTATATCATAGCTAACCCATTGTTTTTTGTTTGTTTGTTTGTTGTAAATTCAGACTGAGAGGCGTTACAACTCCAAACTGTTTGACATGAGGGATCGGCTTGAACAAGCCAACAGCACAACACGGAGTATGCAGAATTACGTCTCCTTCCTAAAATCATCATACTCTAATGTATTTGATGAACTTGAATCACCAAGATGACCTACATATCGTTAGCTACCTTAAAATATTTCCTTAGTAAGACTTACTTTTAATCAAAAATAATTTTTTAAACATCAAAACACACCTAACGCTTTTTACTCGCCTTCCTAAAATTCGCTTTGTTATCTGTATATATTGCTGATTACACCTGGAAAACATCTAAACTTAACTTTTTGTCTCTAAATTCAGCATTTTAACTTGGTCATTTCTATTTACATTTTAGTAAATATTTATTATGACTTTTATACACACCCAAACATCCCCTATATAAGAACGGATGTAAACATTTTATATTGTTTTGCATTTGTATAAAAGTTATGTCCCGTCGAGAAAGGTCTAGGGCAAGAAATATGTATCTTTTATTTTGGTCCATTTTTTTATTCAAACAAGCCTATGTTTTAAATATTCTTCTTGTCGATATTAAAGGGGGTTTTTATTACTGAATGTTCCTGCACTTAATGTCCCATATGAAAGACACAATACTGACAACCCTTGCGTTTACATTACGCCGGATTTTTTTAGAAACGTAGCGTTATTTCAATGGTTATGCCAACGTACTGTACACGCTAATTCGAATGAACTCTCCCATGAAACAAGACTTTTCGATAACGCTTTTCAAAGTGAATGAATTTAAAACGCGGGCTTTAGACATAACAAAGTCGTGGAAATAAAACTTTTCGAAAAAGCTGACGCACCTGCTCTCTTGTCTTTTTTTATTTTTTTTTCGGCGTAATGCACACGCTTCAGGGTACATTTAAGCGTTCGTGTCACCAGTAATCGTAGTGTGAACACACAATATTAAATCTGTTAACCAGTCTGGACGAACAGCAAGTGCTGCGTTTTCAGGTTGAAGACGCCCTTTTCATGTTTATCCGGCTTAGTGTGAACGGGATCATGGGAATCGCTTTCCTCTTTAAAAATATAAACCCAAGTACCTGACAACTGGAAAAATGGTAGTCACGAGTGTAAAAACGTTAATTAGGGACTGTCAGCGTATAGTTTTCATATGGAACATGCAGATAGAAAAGGAATAAAATGGGTATAACTGACCTACGGCTCATAGGCTTCTTGAAAAGGGCAAATACATCAAAGGAAAAACGTTTTTGATGGTGGTGTTTGTGTTTTTTGGAAGTTTTATGTGGATGTCTCCTGATTAGAGACCAAGGAGATCTGTTGAGATGTATCAATGAAAAATTTTGAAGTATTTCTTGAGTTTTCATCCGCCAGATTTTCGCAGTTCTTTAAGCCGTCCAGCTCAGCGACAAGCCCTTGCGGCCGTGTAGGCGCCGTTTTCTCAGGTCCGGTCTTCGAACCACCTGAAAAGGCTGGGAAGGAGGGGAAGAACGAGTGCAGGCTCATTTTCCCGAACAGCGGCTAGTAATCTACCCTGTAACAGAGACGAAAATAAGTTCAACTTGCAGACGTGTTAACCTTAAAAGAACTCCTGTGTGGGATACAGACGCTGCGATAACGAAAGGTTTGGCCTATTTCACACCCGGTTAGTGAAAACGAACGAGAGAGCGTGAACAAGAAACGGTGGACTGGTGCTACCGCGGTTTTTCTTGCGCTCCCATAGTCTCGTTTCCTCGGTGCACATAATTTCCGGTTCATGCAACTTCCGGTTCGAACTAACTTCTAATCCTTCCCTTAGACGGATAGCAGCTTACGGCCATATCATGATCTGATATTTGGTTTGCGCCTGTATCACAAGATAAATACGTGATATCCAATGCATGTCACTCTGATATGCAGGTTGCTTTGGAGACACTGACGTGTGGTCATAACTCACTGATCACTACAACACAACCGCGCTTTTCACGTCAGCTAGCCTTCGCTCTTTTTACTGAGAAACAGTTCTGTAGGAAACCCCGAGTTAGGTCATCAGTGACTACACTTTCTACTCTGAATTCACAATTTAAAAATGAAACAGGACATAATGGTGAAATTTAAACAAATCTGTCGGTGGTACTTGTATGTTAATTTTTAGTGACCCGGTAAATGTTCAACCATTAATCTTAAGTAACGCGCGCTCTGTTTTGATCACACAATAGGGCTGCGTGTAAGCAGTGATAGAATCTGCTCGTCGCGATGAAAATAATTTTGGATTTTCTAACTCGTCTGTGGATTACTGTCATGAATTATTTATTTCCCAAAAAGATAAAGGAGAGAAAACGAACGCTGTCGGTTGAGGAAACTATTATTTCAGAGCAAGCCGCTTTTCTGTGTCAGAAATACATCGAAGCAAGATTCACGCGATCAAATTTGTGCTACTACAACCCGAAGAGCCGGAAGAGAGACGGAGAGCCCACAACTGCATGTCCCGAGGATGTAGTCAACACATTGAACGAAATGGGCGCTTTGCTTGAGAAAAGCTACCCAAAACTCTATAACAACGTTTTGGATCAACTAAACTGGCGGATAAACCTTGCTATCCTCGTTTGTAACATGTTCAATCGCGTCTCCGAGGAAATTATAGCTTCTGGCGTGAACTGGGCTCGGATTATCGCTGTTTACGCTTTCGCCGGCGCACTAGCCTACGATTTAACACAGACAGGAGACACAAGATTCATCCGATGTCTGTCGAGGTGGATGGGTCATTTCTCCGCTAGACGTTTGAGTCCGTGGATCAGACAGAATGGAGGATGGGTAAGTTTGATTTGCTTTTAATTTTTTTTTCGCCTTCGTATCTGGTTGTTACCTTTTGTGTGAGGACTCCACGAGATATTGTTTGCTTCTCTTATGGTAGCATATCATCATTTGCATATATCCGTGTTTCAAGAATATCGAATGAAAATAACGAAGCGGCATCGTGTTGGTTTACATTTTCTGAAATCTGATATTTGACCCTTGATTTTAATCCTTTGAAATAATGTTAGTTAATGGATTCCTCTTATCAAGGCATGTCACCACAGATGCAGTAGTCTACGCGTGTTAGCGTTACCCTTTTAAGCTGGTTATATCAACAGCGTGTCGTCAACATACTTTCAAATCCCATAATCACTTCATTTTGTTTGTGGAAGCTCGTCGCCAAGTGGTAATTAGTTTCGGTTGGATGGAAGCCAGAAGCTAGATGCCGACTCACGCTCGTCCCACCACGATCGTCGTGTAACTTCGGTACCAGTCTTTCGGGATGTAGTTCTTTGATCAATACAGAAACGAACGAGGGCGATCGTCACTCATGGTTTTCCGACTACAAGTTATGAGCAGATTTCTGTAAAATTGAGAAACTTTGAGACTCCGACGACTTAAGTGGATGTGTGGGAAGAATAGTTGTGTCGAAAGATTAGCTGTGTGGGAAGAATAATTCATGTCATGTCTCCTAACATTGACCACTACTTCACAAGGCGTATATTTTTTTGTAAAATTTTACCCCGATTTTCTCTTTCATGCAAGGATAGAAAGGAGGAGGAATTCACCAAATTTAGTTTGTGACCAAGATCGTGCTGAGTATATAACAGGAAAACTCGAAAAGATTTTTACTGCGAGAGTTTTTCTTGGTAACAGCCGTAAGGGGCTTGGTGAGGGTCGGGAGTACCAAAGCAGAAGCCACCTACTAGCAACCGTTCACCAGTACACGAAAATCAGCTGAAAATAAGAACACCTACTCGCTCGCCATTCCCTCATCCCTCCTTCACGCTTTCCCCGCTTTTCCTCCCCTCCCCCCCCCCGGCCCCCCCGCCTCAAAAGGTGTGCGTATAGTTTCACCGAGTACATACAGTTTGCTTGCCAACTCAATTTTATTCAGTTTTTGTTCTCTTAAATCAACAGAAAGGCCTTGTGACACATTTCAAGGAAGAGGAACAGTCAGTAATGGGCTCGTTAAGTAGATGGCTTTCAGGGAGTCAACCAAGAAAGGAGCAACCCGAGTCTGAAACAGTCTCTTCGAGACGTTCATGACACGAATACAGTACGGGAAGGAGGCCAAAAAACTTAGTTCAGTTTTAGTGCAAGTCAGTGGCAACTTCAAAATGAACCTCTAAATGCATGGAGCGCGAATTTTCAAAGACGAGTGTCACTTGCACCAATTGAATGGCACGGTGATATCAATCAAGTTTTGAGGTCAGCGGTGGATATGAGTCGCCAGCACAGGGAATTTTACCAGTTTACGTGGTTAAGTAACGGAAATGCAAGCTATCAGATATCAGATATTCCCATTTTGGCGTTTGTTTCCCGACTTGAGATTCTTCTGCCAAGGGCGGGTAGTAATTACTCATACAAACTTAGTACACCTAATTTTCATTGACGTCTGGAAAATTTTAAAAAAAATAAACCAAAAAGGGAGGCTTCGAGTCAGTGGACTGGCGTTAACTTATCTTCTCGATTTGGCACATGAAGTTTGTTTTTCTTTCTCTAGCGCAAACCGCTTGATTCAGTCTCGAAAGAACTCCCACGATGGGCCACCAGGCACTGTAATTATGGGCTACTAAATTAAGTTTGGTTAGCTTTGCAAACAACGAATTTCTTATGTTTCAAGTCATTACTACAAGTCTTTTTCATACCTTTGTCAAATCACAGCATTTCTTGACATTGAAAGGTTCTTTAACCAGCTTTGTTTGCGAACCATATGTTAATATTTTCCATGTTTCTTACATGACATTTCAAATCAAAAGAAAAAAGACATTTGCTGCCCTTATCGAGAACTCACTCATACTGGATTGATAACAATATAAAAGTAGGCGTTCGAGTTGAATCCAGTTGCAAAAACTCATTCGACGCTATCAGTCTTTCTCAAGCCTCCGTCCGTTACCCGTCTCCAGAAGAATGAACGCTTCTCAAGGGAACCACGATTCCGTAGCACTTCCCGTCCCGCTCGCGCTTCGCTCTCTAGGAAAGCCCTGAAATGCTGGGGAGACACTTGGCGATTTTATTCGCCGATCGCGGCGTAAATTGTCGATATTTGACACGCCAAATATCGGCGTCTAAAATCGCTAGGTATGTCGCCGGCTCATGAAAGTCCCGCTTGACACTTAGAAGGCGGTTTTGGGGCGTTCCATGAGAAAATTCGGCCAACAGACGCGCGCTCATCTTTCCCCGAGATGACTTCATAGGAAAGTGAACCAAGGAACAAATACTCGCAACAAAAATCAAAGGAAACAACTTTAGAGTTTCCCACATTTTATTATTTGCATCATACAACAACCCAAAAAACCCAACGTAAACAACCCATGTAACCAAGGTTTAGGTTCAACAGAACGCAAATACTATGCAAATTAACATACAATTAGCAGAAAATTAAACAATGTTTAGATTAAAAAAAAACTAAGAGATCGAGTGACTGTACCTCATTCTGTTAACTTCAACTATCAATCACAGCTCACCTACTTTGGGACGAAGATTGGAAGGTTTACTTAGTTCAAAAAGTAACGATGCTTGGTAAGAGGCCAACCGTGCTGTAAACGCGTCATTTCATTTTATTATCCAGAATTTAGTTGTAAAAGGTTATCAGTTTATTTTGAAATCAGGAAAAGCCTGTTCCAGGAGTTCAGTTAGCAAAACTTAGCGAAATATCAAACGGCGCGATAGTAGCGGAAGAATGAAAAAACCGAGGGAGAATTGGGTCCGGCCGGGTTCAATATGCGACCCGACCTTGACACCCTGCGCTTTTTTCACTCCTCCGCAACAAAAGCGCAGTTCACTATTGCGCTTCGTTTTACAAAATTAATGCCAAGAACAGGCTAAAATAGGAATTGATAATACGTTCCCAACTTTAGAATCGGAAGGGTAACAAAAGTAACAACATTTACGTAGTGAAATAAAACGAATAGACACAGAAACGCAAAAAATATAGAGAGATTAAACGTTCCTAATCAAGCACTATGAAATACTCAAGCGCACCTCTGACCAGGATGGACTGCACAAGCAGCAAAGCCCACACCAGTGGACCCGTTTCTTGTTAACTCTGTAAACAGTGTAAACTATCAACTAACAAAAATCACCCACAAGTTAAAGACAATAAATTGTTCCCCAAAAGGAGTTTCCTCTCCTCCATAAAAAGTCATGCAAACGGGAAAAACGATTCACTGGCTTACTGTTGTTCAAAACGTGCTCCTTGTTTCTCGCCTCTAACTGGCCAAACAGTTTTTCCACCCTCAGAAGTAACAATTACTTCACCCTCGTTTTAATTCAATTCTTTAAATACTTCGCGATATTGCTGACACTGGAAGGCAAGACTTTTCTTTCCTCAAACAATTACCACAATAAAAAGCCACTAAAAACAATTAGTTTCAACGGTTTAACATAAAGGAAATAATGAAGAGATAAACAAAAAATTTGCAGAAAGCTTACTTTTGAGGAAGCAGGCTCTTGCCGATGCTAAATTAGTCTGTAAAAGAACACTACTCATTCACAAAAATGAATACAACAAATCAATCACATGCTGTAAGGAAACACAGAAGAGCTGAAGTTCCAGAACTAACCAACAAACGTTTACAAAACTCGATATGAACACGAGATACAAAATGAGGATGAAGCAGATCAAGATATGCCTAGAAAGAAATCTTTCTGTTGATTTACTGACAAAATAACCACCACGGGTTAATGGAAGAACAAGGGAAAAGCTGTAAAAGAAACTATAGACACTGCAGTAGGGAGAATGGAAACCACAGGGGCGACATAATAAGACAACAGTACGAACACTATATGAGGCTGTAGCAATAAAATATAATCATATTTATGAATATCTATCGCTCAAAGCTTACTCATGGCGACTGAAGAGCGCGTTTAATTACCAATTTACCAATGCTTTAGTTCATTCTGCAAAATAGCAATATTAGTTTACAAGTGTGTACGCGATTTTGTTACATAGAAACCAACACAGCAGAAAATTCAAGTTTAAACAGTTCAAATATTATTCTGAATGACAACAAGGTTATCGAAAAATATTGAAGCTGGGAAAATGAAGACACTATGATTTTAACACTAATAAATTAGCAATTATCCACCGAACTGGTGGATACGTCAAACCAGATCCTTTGATTCCTTCCTAAGACAAGGGTTGCTGTGCTTGTCATCTGCTTTCAAAGCTTACTGTTGGAGAGAATATGCTCTGGCCAACACTTTTCACTCAATGAATGCAAGTATTAATGTCATAACTGAAATATATGCTACAAAGTTTAAGATGTCAAATTCAAACAACAAATTGATCATAGCTTATCGCATTATATCGTGAAAAAGAATAAAAAAGATGAATAAAAGTCTTGAAGCTACCAGCATGCCTGTAGTGGACGTCAGAGTTAACATTTCAGCAAAAATTACTCTAGTAATATGCAATGTATCTAAAAGGAGCATCCAACCCCAGTTGAAAACAAAGGGGACTGGATTCTAAAGCATGCACATTCCATCAATGATCAGTAATGTAATTGTAATAAAAATATCATAGAGATTGACAGAGGTATCAACAACTCAAAGCTTACTGAGCTTGGAGAGGCATACTCTTTGCCAATGCTTGCGTAGGTCTGGAAAATAACACTATTCATTCAAGAAAACACAACGTTTGAAGAAACAGTTCAGAACTCCAACAAGAAAAAATTTAGCTGAACGACGAAAGTCAGAAAGATCTAATAGTAAAATAGGAAATGATGCTGATATCACAATGAAGTTATAGAATCAACACAACAAAGACATGGCAAACCAGAGAATACAATAACATTGTTTTCAAGAAAAAATCAAACTCTGTTATCAAAGAATCACTTCATACAACAAGCTTACTGTTGAGATGAACAGTTGCTCTGCCTCTGAAAAACAACTTTGTTGTCAGAGCAAATAGCAATTCAAGTAGCTAGCTACAAACAAAAATGAAAAACACCAGAAAAAAAACTAAAGATAAAACTTTAAAGAATCAGCAAGAGACTATCAGAGCCAGCTATGAACTCCACCGTCTCCACTGACTTTACAACAAATGTACAAATTTTCCCCGAACGTTGTTTTAGTCTGAAAAGCAACATGGTTATTCAACCGAAGCATACAAGAGCACGACAACCTGAAAAGACTCATTGTCTTCCATAATTTTAACAGGAAATGTATATCAATGCTTAATAGCAACCTCTAACAGAACACTAACAATAACCATGATAATGATTAACTGTTGATCTTCTGGACCACATCAAAAATAGCTCCTCTTTGAAAAGACACAGGCCATCCTGTGTTTTGCGTTGTGATTACGCCAGCCCTTGGTAGCCTTGTCAAGATGACCACAGCAGATCAATTTGTGACAATACAAATTTAAGCATTTACGAAAGTGCAACACATTTTATAATTAACAACAATGCATGGAAATAATTAATAAAACTGGCCCTTTTTAATATAAGCTTAAAAATTACGTGGGAGGACGAGGTAGGTCAATAGTTTGCTAACCTAAGGTCAACTGAGACTAAGAAAGACACGATAAAGAACGTCCGTCGCTGCTTCTGTAGAATGTAAAGTGTAACATGTACCACATGCAAACAATACATAAAAACACTGCAATTCGATCAATTTCATTATCAATGCATCAACAATACAAAATTAACAAAACATTGCAAGTTTGAATACAAGACTAACTCTAACGAGCACGCATTGGCAACAGTGTATCAGTTAACATTTCAATGACTTTTAAAGCAATGAAGACAAGAATCAAACCAGAGGAAACCTTCAAATGTAACAGCTTTACTAAGAAATAATGCTATTGATAATAATATTTGATGTCCCAGACTACTTTTTTAACCCTATAAATCAATCACAGGTCTGTACAACTAGGAAAGTAAAAGCTTCATCCAACACCAAACCTGCAGATTTATTTCAGTGAAGTCAAAAATAGCAATAGTAGAATTACAACAAAATGCACACAAGAAATAAAATGTATCCTTTAATACCACGCCCATTTGGTTTACTTCGCGTCCTATCCTGTAAATTCATACATGTTTACAAACTCAGAGCATATTTGATAGCTGACTACAAATGCAAATCATATTAAAAATCAAAATGTCTATAAGATAGGCTAATAGGAAATCAATGCTAAGAGTAGAACACCAAAATCCTTTGTAAAAAAAAGAGATCTTCCTTGCAAAAACAGCTTTCTTGAAGACACCTCTACCTCTCTTCCTAGAAAGAAATGTATGATAGAAATGGTATCATTTAGAATAGCACTTACCATAATTTCTAAAACAACTTTAAAATTTGCTGGTAGGACTCAATAATTCACAGTGACATTTGTATGCACCATTTCAGCCCAGTAAAAATAAATAATTCCCGATATAATTCAAATAACAAAGGAGATATTGGAAATGAATAACAGCCACTTTGCTAAATATTATCATAAAAATTTAAAGATCAAACTCAATCATGACAGAATGTGCATTATTTCACCAGCTGACCTGACTGCAATTCTCTGACTTTAGCCTTGTCCTTCTGGCTACATTTTAGTGGTTTACTACATAATTTTAATCTCATAATCATCATTAGTAAATGACAACAATGATGGAAAGATTGATGCTTTCAAACTGCAATGTTATTGAAGGCCAAGCAGAGAACAAGCTCATGTATATTTAAAATTTAAATACATGTACATCACTGGCACAAAGGTTAAAAAACAGAAAAGTAACAGTTCAATTGAATAACTAAAAAAAATTGTCTGCCAAAGAGAAAAATACAAACTCGTGCTAGAACAATTCATTTGAAATAAAAACAAAGGGCAAATGGACAAACAAAACAAAAAATCAACTGATATGAAGCAAACAGGAAACTTTTAAGAACTACCAGTACATATCAAGTTACACAGTCTCTTTCTCTCCCTTTCTTCTCTCTCTTTCAGTATAAGTAAAAACCTACCTTTACAACTTATGTTCCTGCTACTGGCCCTGTTGTCCCCCAGGGGGTCCAGGTGGAGGTCCCCCCGGCTGTCCCCCAGAGGGTCCTTGCTGTGGTGGTTGTTGTTGCTGCTGCTGTGGCTGTTGTCCAGGTACTCCTGGTTGCTGAGGCTGTCCAGCTTGTTGGTAGGGGTAGTAGTAACCTTGCTGTCTGTAGAACTCTGCCCATGCTTGTGTGTAATCAGGCTGCCCCCCCTGTCCTGCTGGTTGACCTGTATGGATTGAAAAACAGAATTAAAGGCAACTTCCATCACTGGCAATCTTGGCTAACTACCCAGCTCTAGCTAGTTGGTGAGTAATGCTGATATCCAAGTAACTTGCAATCAAGTGCAAAGAAAATCTTGTTTTGTGTGTTATGTTTTGCAAAATTGAAAATTCATTTATGTAGACAGTATTTAGCTCTTGTTTGATGTTTACTGTTCTGGGAAAAATTTACATTATTCTTATACCTGGTGCTTGTCCTGCTGCCATTACTGCCTGTTGTTGGTAGAGTTGTTGATAGTATGCTGCCCATGCTGCAGAATAATCTGCCTGGCCTTGAGCTGTAATAATAAACACAACATTATTCTTGTACATAAACAGAAGCAACAGCAAACTCCACAGATTTACAGGGTTAGTATGCTAAAAATGCAAAATGTTTCCTCAAAATAAGTCATTTAGAGATCAAAATTAACTAAATAATTAAAATTCCAGACACAGCTAACTCTTTAAAACAGCATGAAATTTCCAAGAGTTTTTCCTTCCACTCATAATTTAAAAACATTATTTTTGTTCTTTACTGATAATGGTGATAATACTGTTGTGCTGCATCGACACCGAAACCCCAAAATTTTAACACATCACAGGCATGTAAATGTTGCCACTTTAAGAGAAGGCTGTGTTACTATGCATATGTATTGCATAATCATGTGCAGCTGAAAATCAAGGAAAATATTCTTACCCTGACCAGGTTGCTGGCCTTGCTGTTGGCCCTGCAAAACAAACAGTTATTTAGTACAGAACAACTTTTTCTTTGCTTCCTTTTAAAACCTTTTTATCAATTGTAAGACTTAGAGTACAGTCAAGCTCAGAAATCCACAAATAACAGAATTATTTTGAAATGAGGAAAGCATGTTGACAAATCACATCAGAAAACAGGCCTCATAAGCCAACCAATAATACTTGCTATTTTTATTTTATAAAGCAGAAACTTAAAACCTCAGAACTGATTGTCTAATCAAGCACTAGTAACCACTGCAGCTTTTTACAATATGGTCCATGGTCTGGAATTTTTTTCACTACATTAGAGAGCAAAGTGGCAAAAAGGAAACCAGCACAAAGAGCTTGGGTGTGTTTTCCCGTACAGATCTCCAGCCCAGTAAATAACATAATATGTACTTTTAACAATTTGGTTCTCTCATTTCAGACTGGCTTGTTCTTCTTGACACTTCAATCCAGAAATTTTTCTGGTGTTATTGGTTTTTTAAGGTTCAAACATAAACAAGTCACTAACTTGTTGCTGCGGTGGTTGCTGACCATACTGCTGTTGCTGTTGGCCGTACGGCTGCCCTGGTTGTTGTTGAGGTTGCTGTCCATATTGCTGTTGTTGCCCATACTGACCATACTGTGACCAGCCCTGCTGTTGCTGCTGATGTGGTTGCTGCTGTTGTTGGTTCCAGCCAGGCTGGTTCCAGTTTTGTCCTTGATTGTAATTTCCTCCCCCACCTCGTTCACTTTCTATTTTCTCCCTGATCATTTGTTGGGCGTGTTGTATCTGCTGCTCCGTACCTTATGAACAAATAAACAGCTCTGATTATACTTTTTCTTGATCTTTCTTTTCACATCTAAGAAACTCTTATTGTGAACCACCATGTGTGCAAAATGTGTAAAGTGGATGAAATCAAACAATGGAAGCCTTAAACAATTTTAGAATGTATAACATAGAACACAATATTGCCTCAATACCTCGGATTATAAAGCTCTTTGTTGGAGAGCTTTCAGGAATAGTTCTGTTTAATTCTACATGTGCACCAGTCATGTTTATAATCCCTCGTATAGTTTCTCCTCCTACAAAGAATACAGAGAAGAAACAGGTTGACAATTCTTTACTGGCTTCCATCTACAACAATCATCATTATTAATACAGTCAAACCTCCTGTAAGCGACCACCTGAAATGTCAATTCTTGGTGGTTGCTTACAGGAGGTCAGGCCACAGGGGTCCATATTTTGGGTTATTTGCATGACATTACTGGAACCTTTTGCCAGTGCTTATCAAAACCTTTTGTACTAACTTTTAGCAGCTTGTTCACAGAAAAAAATATTAGGACCTAAGGTGATTGGGAGGTTCAACTAACTAACTACATTTCCCTGTCAGTCTTTTCCCATGCAGTAAAAGGCAGGAATCAGGCCAACATGAGACTGCACCTACATGTCAAATACCACAGAGATAGTGTAAGGACAGCTTTTGCATAAGAAATAGACAATTTCCAAGTAAAAACATGTCTACATATACCACAAATTCCCACATCCATGAGGAATGCTGAATATTTGATTTCTTTTCAATCTTTTTCTCTACTGTGCTCTACTGTGCTCTACTTAGAGGTGAAGTTTTTTTCATAATTACCTTTTTTAATCAACCAACAAAAATTAAAGTACAAAAATTACACAAAGTAGTAATGACCAATAAGAAAAGGACAGTGACTCTTTCTATACTGCTACAGTGTAATGGTTCACAGGACAGAAGTCCTGAATAGGACTCTTGTTAGTAACAGATATTTCTGTAACCATTGTTTAAATTTTTTAAAGCCTTTAAAGTCAACAGAAACATTACTTATCAAAAAAACACAACAATCACACTATACACAACCTCCTGTAACTCCAGTTGTCATCACAAACGTACCTTTTCCGATGATCAGGCCACATTTATTTCCTGGTACTGGGTATTCAACTGAGGTAACTCCAGGCATATTTGCTGGGGCACCTCTAGGGGGTGGACCTCCTCGCTGTCGAGACTGAACATCAAATCAAAACAGCTTGTTGAAACTAAAGTACTTTCCATGGTTAAATGCTTTTTATATACACATGTATATTGACACAAAAAAATGAAACATGTCGCAATTTGACCAGCAATTGAGATACAAATGAAGAAATGAACTTCAAGGTGAACTGCAATTCAAGAAATTGCAAAAAAGAAGCAAGAAAAATTTAAGCTTTGGTGGGATCCAGATCTGTGAAATTTCTGCAATTCCTTTATTTTCAACTCATCTGCCAGGAGCATGTCTTATATCTGGTCACATCTCCCTTGGACAACACCTTGGTATCTAGGAGAGTTAACTGTAGCCTCCAAATGCCCATTTTAAGGAATTCCCAACTTATCAATCTCCATTAAATGCAAGAGTCAACTCTGCATTTGCTCTTTCGTCAAGGCTGTTTCACATTTACTTCAACATGATTTCAATACTATTCACCTGTTCTACTATGTCTTGAATCATAGCCTGGACTTTTTGCACCTGCTCTGGTGTTCCTTGGACAGTTGCCATTCGTTCAGGAGCATTAGAGTTGTCCTCTGTAATTACAAATAAAGTCATTCGACAGAGCACAAAGCATGTGCAAACATTTTAAATGTACCAAAGCAAACAGACTTTTGTGTACTTTTTCAAATATCTCAGAGCTCATGGTAGTTCCATCATGGTTTTTGTCAACACTTTTCCCCTCATGTTCAAAATGACTAATGTCTTCTTTCATACATGGTATGTGGGTAGAAAAATAGAAACGATTTCATACTTCCAATCTATACAAATGAATCTAATTTGTTACCACAATCTATTCCTTAGTTGAAATAAACTCATCAAAGGTCCCTATAGCAGGGCGTGAAATTAACTTTTTTTTCTGATAGCCACTTGGCTCCAAAATTCTTCAAAGTGGTAGCCAATTCAAAAAAAGTTGGTCGCCATTTTCAAAGACAAACAAAATCTTTCTTTACGCTGTCAGCGTTCTAGATAGACCCTCCAAAATTATGTTGGGGAAAAGATCTGTAACGTGCTACAAAGTGGACACTACGATGGATGATATACAACGTTCAGGCTCATCTAAATCCAAGATGGCGTCTAGTTATCGATCGAGATGCATGTGCTACGTTTTAGAAACAAACTTAGCGAGGAAGTTTGCCGCGGATTTATCTTTGAAAATCTTTTTAATTCACTATATCTCTTGGTAAGGTTATGATGAAACGTTCTAGTTGCCAATTTGGCGACTAACTTTCAGGATTTGGTCGCCAAAGTGAAAAATTTAGGCGCATTGGCGCCTGTATTAGGCGCAATTTAACGCCCTGTATAGAAGTCTTTTCAAAGCTTCTGGAATTCAATTCAGTCCAAATCACAAAGAATGCATAAAACAACATACTCATATTGAATTGCACTTTTGCTCTGGTTTCAGCTTGTATTCTTTTGATGGTTTCCCCATTCTTTCCAATAACAAAACCAACAATCTCTCGAGGAACAGGAACCTGCCACAGAAAATTATTATTCTGTAATTAAAACCTAATGTTCCATAGCAAAGCTTGCTGTACAATATATCTATTTTCATATAAAAGAAAGAAAGAAAGAAAAGGATTATAGCACAGAAGTAGGTAGTTTTATTTTGTGGCCAAAGTGGCTGATTTTGTATCAGAGCAACTTCTCTGCAAAGGAGCCACCTGAGATCACAGAGTAATACCACATTTACACCAAAGCTAAAACATGTTTTCAAGCTGTTTTGCCAAACCTGGTGTATCTAAAAATGTTTTGCTGGTGTGAATTTGGTATACATAACATTTCATCAACCACTTCAACTACTTTGGACAAGTCTGAAGTCTAGAGGAAACCTTTATATTGCACATGTGTCCAGACTTGCGGCAACTATATGGTAGAAATGCTGTGGTCTAGTGTGAACTTCACTGGTTAAAGATCAAAATGACAGGGTTCAACTTCAAGCCCTTGTGTTGTGCTCTTGGGATTGACACTGGTGCCTTTTTCCATTCAAGTGTTAAAATGGAGAATGTTCATAAATTGTTGGGGAATACCTGTGATGGACTAGCATCATCTCTCTAATTAAACCAGGACAAGCCCTAGCAGAAGGGGGCATGTAAGCTTGTAAGACTGTACCTATGCTATAGAATGTGTTTGTGGACGATATTTAAAGTTTTACATACCTCTATCTGTTGCATGCCAGGCTGATTTCTGTCCATCTGATGTCTGTTTCCTTTATAGTCCAATCCAGGCATGTTTTGCTAAGATTCAACAAAAATTATCCATAAACATCACAATTTGTGTAAAGTTTTAATCCAAACTTTGGCAGGCCAAAACATTTGTTGTCTTGCCTGCTAAATGAGCATGTGCAAGGTATTCATTCTGTCGGTAATTGTGAAGAAGAGCTCCCCAAAAAACCTGTCGGCCGACTGTCGGTCAACTGTCGGCCGACAGGTTACCGACAGTCTACCGACAGCTAACCAACAGGTTACCGACAGGTTAAGAAAAAAGGAAAATTGTGTTAAAAACGAACAGTTAACGTGACATAGCAACCGTAATGGTGATGTATGACTCGACAGACTTCACCTACTTACCGATCGACGGCAAAGTTGAAAGTATGTAAAGATATAGATAAAGGTATATCAGATGTGTATAGAATATATCACTTGCGTAATTTAAAACACACCAAACAATCTAAGAATCGCATTGGAAGATAATTTAATCGAAAACTCGGCCAAAAACTCTGAAAACCATAAGCTACGTGTCAATACAAACACTTTCGTTCAAATCGCCCAACAATGCAACGCGGCCTCTTATGGTGTTTTATGTATGTATCAATGATGTTTACCTTGTGCATTTGTGTTGCTAACATCGTCCTCTATCTTGCAGGTTTGGGATGAATTGCTATTTCCAATTTCAAGTTTAATAAATGATACAACTGTGAATCTTTTTACTCGTTAATTAGACTTGGATGCTTGATGCGATAATTGATTTGGGTGCGCACCGCTAAAATCACGATTCTACAAGTGAAGTATCTTGTATATTTCACCACTCACAAAATGGCTTCTTTAGGAGCCACCAAATCTATGAAAGGCTATTCTTGTCAATGTATTACACATGTTGGATGTTGTATCAAGCGAAAACTGAGAGAAAACATTAAGGTTTGTGTTAACGTTTTACCGACAAGCTACCGACAGGTTACCGACACATTACCAACAGTCGGCCGACTGTCGGCCAACTGTCGGCCGACAGGTAGCCAATATTTTGGGCAAAACCTGTCGGCCGACAGTTGACCGACAGGTTTTTTGGGGAGCTCTTATTCACAATTACCCATTCTGTCACATATCAAAAAAGAGAAGGTTCTACTTCCAGTGTGGACACTTATTTCTGGTACACAACATGACTACTGTACCAAGGATGATACAAAAACAGTGTTGTCTATGTATTAACTTAGCCTCAAACTAAATTTTTTTTTAATTTGCCATTGATTCGGCTACCTAATATCATAAAATGGTTGCCAGAAATGAGATTTCAGTCACTAGAAGAACACAGAAGGGGAAATCCTGGGGAATACTACATGAGCTTTTGTACAAATGTTTATCTCATTATAACTTTTTATAAGTTTGTAGAAACATTCTAGCTTGCTATACAACCACCAAACTTACCTGTAGGTTGCCAAATTGACCAAAATTCCTCTATTGGCCATAGCAACCTAAAATGTTGCAGCTCATCATGCTACTTAAGTTACCTTCCTCAGTGTTTCATTACTTACAGAAATGCCTATAATTCTCTTATCATACAAATTATCAATAATACTTAGAAAAGACCACTATGTTCTGCATGAAAAGTAACATCTCAATCACAAAGCCCAATTAACATGAAGTGCTTGGTTTCAAAAACACCACCAGTGAGACTCAACAACTTTTTATAGTAAATAAACATATTGGTCTGACTGTGAATTCCAGTAAATCCCTCTTCGACCTGTCATCACCTGCCAATTCCTGTTTGTCCCTTGCCCACTGACCTCAAGCTCTTTCTCAGTAAGTAAATCTTGTACAAGATCCTTTCCTCTTTGTGTTCTCATGGCATCTCCCATGATTCTCAGAGGTTTCTCTGGTGCATTTAAATATGGCCCATCTTGTATCATCATCATTCGACACTGTGCTCTCTCCTACACATTTACAAGGAAAGTTACTTTCTAATATAATTCAAAACTCCAACAACAGGTAAAACACAAATTTTAAATTGTCTCTTAGATCAGATAATGGTAGATTCCATACTAAATTGATTTAACCAAATCTTTAGTTCCATCCAGCTATCAGAGAAGCTAATTGCTTCATTAATAACAATGGCCTCAGGTTAAGCAGATATATTCAACAAAACCTAGTGAGATCATGGTCTGACCAAAGTACACTGTAGTGTCCTTACATGGAGGAAAATCTTCAGGTAAACAGAGGAACTGCATTAGAGAAATTTTCAGTTTCTCTCTTCTGCAGTTACTCAATAAAATCAAATGAGAGAACAACAAACCTGTAAAGCCTTGATGGTCTCTCCTCCTTTCCCTGTAACAAAAAGAGAATTGAAAAAGGATCAGCAAGATTTCTGTAACAAAGAGGTGTTCTAAAAGGAGCCCTTAAGTACACTGTAAATCCAAGAGAATCTTTCTGGCTTACTACCTTAGCAGAATATAGCATATAGAGCAAAGGATATTGTTTTTCTTTGAAATATTGAGGACTAAGGGTTATCTTTACTCCAAGCTAAGCTGGTAGTTTTTTGCTCATCCTTTATTTTTAAGAAATACCTCCACCCCTTGAAAAAATAAACATGTAAAGTAGCTTATCAGTTTAAGAGACATCTCTGGTATCTTTTAAACTCACCAATAATCAGTCCCACTTTACTAGCAGGTATCATCATTTCAATAACTTGTTCACCTGGGGCAACAACTGGTGATGACATCTGGAACACAACAATAACACTCTACATTTACTCCTTTACACATCACATATCTAGTGTGGCTTAACCCTTTAACTCCCAGAAGTGATAAACATATAATTTCCCCCAATAACATCCCCACATTATCCACCATACAGGTTGTAAGAATACTCAAACTTATCAGGTACAAGTTCTTACCTTGATCTAACACCAAATTCTCATAACTAATTTACAAGGAAATTTGTATCAGCCAGTGGGGAGGATTAACAATAAGATCTTGGGAGTTGACAGTCAACATACCAAAAATTCTAACTGTTTCACATGCTGATAACTATCAGACACACATGTGCAACATTAGTTGTCTCAAAGTTAGCTCCTCTTTGTTGATAATGATCAAGGTTAAAACACATCCTTTTATAATAAAACAATCCTCACCAAAGATTCTGGAATCTTTCCATCCTCACATATTTTGTTTAACAAATTCCTTGCCTTCCTGTTTTGACAAAGAAGGGAACAGCAATAAAATAGGGTCAAAAGGAGACTCCTGCACTAAAATTCACCTTGATCTATAAATATTCCTATGGTGCTTAGACTTGCATTCCTATCCTGAGAAAATTGAACCTTCAATTATTCTATTGCTAAAAAAGGGTGAATTCTTGCTACAGACCCTCAGTGAAGCAAATGAGATAAAATAACACACATTAAAGTACCAGTAACTAAAAATCAAATACATATATCCTCTCTTTTGACGTAAAAGCTAGTCTATAAAAAGAGTAACATTTGTAGTTAGGAAGAAACTGCCATTAAACCAAGAAATTGGTGAAGAATCTTTGGTACAATGCAGCCTATACTGTAGAAGACAAACTTACTCTACAGCTTCTCGTGTTCCATTTATGGAGACATGACGATCTGGAGGTGGCATCTGACCAGGAGGAGGATCTATAACAAACAACATGATCAGTTCCCTTGTATATTGCAAGTTTCTAGATAAGAATAAGCCATCATCCCCAGGTGCACTTATATTACATTTAAAATAATGTGAGGATTTCCTGTACAAAAGTTTAGGAGTGCCAGTCACACCTACAACTTGTACAACCTAGTTCTGAGATAATTGAATATGGTCTTGCTGAACTCTGTTAGAGTTCTTTGGACAGTTTACATGTGTTTTCCAGGGGTTTCAAAATGTTTTGAAGTAGGCATCGTACTTGGCAAAAGTAGGAGACAGTGGAAAGTTCATTAAGGGCCAAAAGGTAATTATTTTGACCAGAGTGTCTGGTGAAATGTTATAAAGTAGCCAGCAGAACTCTTGTGGTCACCGGCTTCTTACGAAATCCCTGGTTTTATAAGTTCAAATTTAACCCTGCACTTTCACTTCAATGGAAAATAACACTGCCTTTACCTGGAGCAACTTGTATTTTGGCACCAGTTTCTGACTGCAATTTATTAATCTGTTCTCCACCACGTCCAATAACTGAAAGAGGTGAGAATCAATGAGTAACTGAAATTGTTCTGGATTAAACTCAACTATAACTCATAAATCTGAGAAATTATCTCTTTGCACTTACTTAATCCAACAAATCTGTTTGGGATTTTCATTTCCTCCGCTACTAATGACCCTAGACCAGCTCTGTTAAAAAAAAAAAAAAAAAGAAAAAAAAGGGCCTTGTTACTCTCAGAGAAAAGGACACCATTATTCGGGGTGGTTACATACAGAAATTGATAAACTGATAACATTTGCTCCATGTTATTTTATGATCAAATTGCAGTAATGGTGGTTCACTGAATAAGTTTGCTCTTCATCAGGAGAAAAAGTTACATTTACATCTGAGAGAAGACACTTACTCTAACCTCATCCCAAATATTAAATATAAAAGCTATCCTCACAGTTATGAATACTACAGAACTAGTAGTGAAAATAAGGCCTGAAAAAAAATTCAGGCCCATACAGGATTTGAACCCATGACCCCTGCAATATCAGTGCAGTGCTCTACCAACTGAGCTAACAAGCCAACTAGGAGCTAGTATTGCAGAGGTCATGGTTCAAATCTCATACAAGCCTGAATTTTTTTCAGGCCTTATTTCACTACTAGTTCAGTAGTATTCATAACTGTGAGGATTGCTTCTATATTTGTTTCTTCAACCACAGTACATATACATTATTTTCATATAATTACAATCATGTATTAAATATAGGTTACTTCTTTTGTACTCAAATTTCGAAATATGTCTTAAACATATGAGCATGCACAACTTAATATTACCTTTGTGCTAAACTTGCAGCCACTTGCATAGCTATTGATTTTGGATCTTTTCCATCCATGGGAGCTGGAAGCCAAATTTCTATACGTCAACCAACTTAATATTCTTAATCATTGAAAAGGATGCCACTTTACTTACATTAACAAATACATGACCCCACTGAGGACTTTTTGTGCAACTCACTTGTTATACACCAAAAGTAGAATAAAATAGCTTAAAATTTTTATGAATACAGTTCTCCCAACAGTATCACCCAAAGTCAAACAATTTAGTCACAAGAATAAAGGAAATGATCACAATCTAAAGAAGCTCTTGATTATTGGCCAAATTCTTCTTAAAAGTACCTTAAGAAATTTATGGAAAATAGTATGGAGGTATGCATACTGATGTTAAGATGTTAACAGTTCATAGAAAAGCACAGAAGTCCAACAGGTTGACTTGACAGCTAACAGATAAATGTCTTCAACTGGCAAAATGGTTACCTGCAATATGTTGCTTTCTTCTTCACAAAACAACATACCGCAAATAATCATATTACCATTGGCACAACTATGAAGCTAAATACATTAGACGATTCGAGAAAAGTTTTTTAAAGTTTTTTTTTTTAAAGTTCAAAAGCAAGTAGTCAGTTTCTGATTCATCTAACTAAGGTAAAAAACGTCACAACCGTCTTAAACTAAATGATCCAACTGAGCTAATTCAAAGTCGAAATCCACCATAAACAAGCCCTTTCGACAATGTTCAGCTTATCTTAAATTTATCGTTTGTTAATTTTTACAAAATAGATCCCACCTTCCATCGCTGGTTTTTTCATGGGGATTTCTTCATTACCACCTGGAAAAAATCAGACAACATATGACTTCGCGAGAATTTATACAACAAGGGAAAAAGCATGAAGATCTCGAGCTTTTATTAACGATTGATTTCGCTCCCATTTGCAAAACTCACCGTCAAACTCGAATGGTCTTTTCTTGCCGATTTCTGCCCATAAGAGACAAAAACAAACAATAATTAAAGTTTGAATTCCTTTTAGAATTTACAATAATTTCTTTAACGTAATAAGACGGATAATTTCAGGCCGAATCAAAACATTTACACACCTTGCTCTGCCGAACTTTCTGCAGCCGCGGCGCTACTTGATCCCATCCGAGCGGCGATCTAATTAATAAATTTCCTGTTAAACCGGCTCAGAAGAACACTTACAACCCCTTAGAAGCAACCTTACCTCTTTAGCTCTTTTCAATGCGTCGGCAAACGCTGAAGTTGGATCTACCGGATTTCCCGAAGGCGGTGGAACGTTATTGAAAGAGACTGCGTCCGCCATTTTCGAGCACGTGAAGAAGAGTAATGCCTAAAAGGGGGCCGAAAGGCCTGATGGGTCCCGCTGCTTCAAAGCCTTTACGAGCGAGACCGCCGATAGGAATTAAGGGAGTTGGACTGTTGAATAACAACATTTTAAGAAACCGAGCCTACATGCAATTGAATTACAATTACGCTTACCCCTAAATTTTTTTCAGTAATGATAATAGCAATACTACTAATAACAATAATAGCACATCTTAGGACGCATTTCACAAGTCTCCCCATGTGTTTGATAATTAAATCAAATAAATTGGAAATAGACATAGAAAATAAACACAAACACCCCAACTGCAGCCATGGAGGTCAACTCGGGGCAACTGAAAACAAAACCAGTGAGTAGTAAGGTGGAGGGCTTGAAACGGGGACCATCATATTTTGTCAAAATTTTTTTCTATTCTTCTTTTTCCTTCATTTTTTTTTCCTTCCACATATTTTTTTAGATCTACCAGAACGCAATCAATGTTTCACTCAAACACTTGAACTCCAACTTATTTTATTAAATCCAAGAGGGGTAGATTTACAATTCATATTCATACAGCCCCTGAAACTCACGATTGGTGAAACTGACCAGCCAGTACAGTGAATTTTCATTGTGTTTGAATGAAGAACGTTTAAAGTACGCCCAGGAAAACTGATAACTTTCGCTGATAGGTATCACTTACAATGAAGTATTCAGATTATACCGGCTGGAAAATTGAGAGATGCTGCGGCACATCATTACATGTAAGAAAGCATGGAAGGAATCTGTTATGTACCTTTTCATCTCATCTTGGTTCTTTTAAATACAGTTAGGATGAGAGCTATAATGAGGCCAAGCCTTGGGGTGAAGAGCCAGCTAGTTAACATCGACTACCTTTAATTCACGAGTAGAAAAAGCGCTAGCCAACTTCAAGATTTAAAATTCAGCCTCGCGGTAAGAACATATCTGCAACCATCCACTTGTTCCTCTAAGACATTTTATGAGATTTAAGGGCGAATTTCTAATGTTTACCTTAGACACTTTAAATCAAAGGACTCGATCAGAAGTAGAAAGTCCGCATATTTGAATCTGATAACAACGCTCAACGCATATTCGAGGGTAATCCGAGCAAATTTGGTTAATTGATCGTCATGTTTTTTGTAGACATGTGGAATGTTTCTTCGTGCTGAATAAAAAGTTTTTTTACCACACGCGGTGTTGTCTCTGCACTTTGGCAGCGCTTTCGTAGAAAATCACATGAGGAAAAATGTTACTCTGCGCTTTTAGTAGAATGAAATGTACTGTATGTACTAAATATTTTTAGTAGAATGCTTTTGTCGTTGGTACCTCTTGTTCGTGCACTTCGCGGTAGAAAGAGGAAGACACCGACTTTCCGGCACTTCATGTGGTGCTTTTGAGTACAACTAGGAATACTCTTTTTGTTTGTGCACTTCGGTCGTGATCTGCACGGATCATACGAGCCGACACACTTAGTCATGGCAAAAGAGGCTTCAAGTCTCTCCAATGGGATTCACTAATTGACTGGAAAACTTAACGACTCATGGATGCATCCGGCAAATCGTTTAACCGTCAAGGAAAAATCTTTGACGAAATTCACGGATCGTTAGCGCAGCCTTGTGACTCGTGAATACATTAGACATTAGGCATTAGACTTCTGGCAGTACATTAAACGATCAGACAAGGATTGACAACTCAGCTTTACGAATTTTTGTGTGACATGTATGTTGGCATGTTGCTGGAAAGAGGTTAGGGGCCGGTTTGGTGTGCTAGTCGTGCAGTATTTGTTAGTTACGAAGATTACTTATCACCCGCTTGTCGGTGAAATTCTAATGAACCGATACATCTATTCACATCCACTTTGGTGAATAAGTGTTTCTTCCGAAATACTCGCCTTATCGTGATTGCAAACCATACATGAAACTTTTCGCCATAGTTATGGCTTCAATGCGGAGAGCGATTGCAGAACCCTATCGTAATTAATCGAACGATTTGTCTGGGATTATTTACATTAGTCACGATATCTGAACACGAGGCGCATGCGTATCTGTCAACCCCTTATTGTAATTTTCTCGGAAAGATATATAACGTTTGCAACTTCCTCAGTCTTCGAATTTATCATCCTTCGTATTTTGAAGAGATTAACTTTCTGGAGAAGCATCTGATCCACAAGCCAAACTTCTGGAGAAACTGACTTCCTGTAAGTTTCGATTTTATTCCTATAAATTTTGAATTAGGGGGGAAAAGGGGGTAACGATGTTCTCTAATCAAGGGCTAATGGCCTCTTAAAACGTGATCTTGTCTCGCTATAATGATTTCTTTTCAGCTATTCTGTTATCCTAACTGAAACCGCTTGAGTAATTAACTTTCATTATTATGTACGACTGGAGACTGTTTTAAAGCGTGGTTGTATATGGATTTACAAAGAAGTCGCGGACGAACCGTGAAATAAAGATAAAATTTTGAACGCCATCTAAACAAAAATATAACTCCCTTTCTCTCCGCATGCTTCAGTGGTCTTGCTTTGCTTTTAATAATCAGAATCCCACCTAAGCATATACGTGTATCGATACAGAATTTTTGGCGCTTATCGTAATATACACCGAGAATTCGATTCGTGGTTGTGAGACTTTCGAAACGTCATGCTGACTCGGATCAAAGGAGATTCAGCACAAACAAATCATAATTTAAACCCGCAGAGATAAACTTGAAATTTCGTGGTTAGTTCGTAAATAATTCGTAAATGGACTGATTATAGTTAACCAAAGAAGGCCAAGTTGCTGACACCGACTATACACTCTATGTTCGAAAATCATTTTTTTGGGAAGTGCATTTTGATAAGTTTTGCTGTCATTACAAGAGAGACCCGAGGTTTTATAGCTACGTTACACTTACGTAATTATTTTAGTTTAATGCTGATAGAGGTTTTTCTCACGCTCCAATAATTTAACAATTAGTTTTACTATATTTCTTTACTCGCCGTTACAAACGCATATCATTCGTATCTCTTCGGTTTGTAGGCCATGCGAGTTCAGGGTTTGAAGCGCGGTTTTGGCGCCATCTTGGGCTAGCTGTCCACTAGCCTCGATTCACGGGAGGACCTCGATCCCATGTTGTAGCCAATCACTTATCAACATGTCGATAAAAAAAAGTTTTTACAAGTAGCTCATAATACATTATCATGTTGAGTTATGCAAGTTTCTTACTGCTTTGAAACTTGAACAAACACTTGTGAATGTTTGCTCAATTTTACTCAACTTTTATTTTTGACAATCACCATTGTTTCAAGTCCGTTGTCAAGATGTTGGGCTATCAAAGCTTATTATTGTATTCAACTTTGCAACTGGTTTATGACACTACCTGAAAGCACCCCACGAGTCCAATTCGTTGAAAATTTCCTGGCAATCAGTATAATAAAAAATATCATTTTACTTAGATAAAATAACGCCCTTTTTCTAATCCGTCATCATTAATATATAGATTAAGCCGGGCGTCAAAGCGGAGCTCTGTCGAAGAGTTTCCTCAAGGGGATTTAAGAGCCAGTGCGGAGATTGAGGGAAGGGGGGAGGGGGTGACGGGGTCTGGAACCGAGTTGTGATACTTTCAAAACTTGCAATGTGGTCAATAAGCACGCTAATCAGCGGTATTTTCAAGAAGCTGAGGACCTTCGTTGGGGTTCCTGATGTTTTGAACAAATTTTCGAAGACAGGGAATGTTTTCTTCCTCAGATGTAGTGTATGATGTCAGCATCAGTTGAAATTATATTTTATTGTGCCTGAATGATAATTTCCGTTTGAAAAAAAATAGGCCAAAATTGAAAGAAACGACGGTAAACAACTTCGAGCAAAGACTTGACCGGTCGATTGAAGAGTATACACGTGAGAACAGTGAGTCTGTAAAACAATAGGCCAGAATCGGACTTCTACTATATCTTCTCTTGAAGTTGCTAGGTATGACTGCCTACTCCACCGTTTTTCCCTGACGTCTCAACCTCCTCTGATAAGCGTAGAAAATTAAAAGAAAAGTCATTTTCAATTCCCGTTTAAAACCTGTTATCCATTTATTATTTCTACTTTTTCTCTTTTGGCTATTTTCCTCTGGCTGAAAATGTTCGGCATCTCTTTGAGATTTTTTCTGTTATTTAATTCGGTAACCTCTGCTGTAACTGCATATAATGTAAGTGTCTTTAAGCCAGCTGTCCATGTTCTTAGGAACTCTGGCTTCTAAATTACGAAATTTGTCTAACATGTTTCTTGCGTTACGTAAGTTTAAGGATGATCCATGGAATTTTTGGACCGTACAAGATCTGGGTGCGAACAAAGCGCGAGCTCTAAAAGTATCAACATGTCTGTCGACATGAAAAACAAATATGGCGGCTCGATACGATCGCACGATTGTTATCTGAAATGGTGTATTAAAAACAGTTCAACTCAATACAGTTTTTATGTGATGGAATCTGGGGTTTCCCGAAACTGCTTTCGTAATATTCATAGGCCTTCCACCCTTGAAAAAGAGGTCAACCGAAAAGGAAACACCGTGGGAAAGATTGCCCGAAGGCGAAAGATTCGAAAGTTTACGCATGCTCAGATATAGATCTTGGCGAAGTTCTATTCCATCACGCAATGCTTTGCGACAAAGAAGATAGGGATCTTTCGAACAAGATTCATCGCGTTTCTGTCGGTGGAATTTCCTAAGATTTGCTGGACCGTTAAACATATATGTGCCCTTCGTAGTGCCTGTTGATTAAAAAAATTCATAACACTAAATTTGAGATAGCGGAGGAAAACACAATATTGCAAATAGCGAGGAAATTGCCGTTGTGCCTCCGATTTCTTTCAGTACTTAAATGATCAGCGAGACAAATTTCACAAATTGTGAAAATTTTGAGAGATTTTACCGAAGCAAATTGAGGAAAACCAAAGACAAAGCCAAATTATCGCTAGCGAGCGCCTCCCTTCGTGGAGCCTTAGCTTAAAAACGAAAATTAGTTTAATAATAGTTATTACAGCATACGATAGTCCGAACCTTGGTCATTGCCTCCTAGTGACCTTGAAAAGGAGCGCGCCAACAAGTAGAATGACAAATCTGAGGTAGGCTTAAAACAGAATACAAGACTCCTTAACAAAAAGAAAACATTGAGTAAAAACGCCATAATTAGAATATCATAATTAAAACTTAATGACAAAGAGAGACTTACGATTCTACCATGAAGATATATATAGAAATCTAGAGATAATACCTGCATTTAATTTTTACATTACAGAAATCAATTCCAAACATCAATCAAGTGTTCTCTTAAGTTCAAAAGTTGAGTTGATGTTAAGTTGGAATGGGCTCGCTCTATGAAAAGTTTTAGATGATATTCCCTCATTTTTGCAAATAAATGAATTTATTGGAAAGTGGAGTTGTTGTAACATGTTAACATGAAACGCAACAATAAATGTTACTGGTTCGTAAAAACGATTCATTGGCCATCAACTGGCAAGTCTGCAAAATATCTCAACCCAAACATTTTCCACAACTTGTCAACACCATTACAAAATGATTAGTCAGGGAAATGGAAAATTTGTGGCATATACGCCAAGCCTGAGATGCCAAGGAATATTCAAAAGAATGTAAAATTTGGTTGAAAAATTAGAATTCAACGTTGGCCGGATAAACAAGATTCTTAGCAAAAGAAATGTGAACTAATGAAAAAGCTGAGAAAACTTTTTACAATACCCACCTGTGCCTTACGGCACATATTCGAAGTATTCACAATCCTGGGTTTACTGTTGAAAACACACACACGTGCAGATTTCCTATGACATGTAGTTCCAGTGTGCCATGACTTCAAAACTTTGATGCACACCTCAAAAAGAGGACAAATAAAGTTTACGTTTCTATTTATTCAGTTCAGAGTCAGGTAAAATTGAGTCAAACTTTCATGTTACAACAGGATCAAGAGAGGAGGATCCCTGCTTTTCCAGATCCTCAACCTTTATAACTCACATATCTTGTGACTAATTCTTTATATCGATGTTTAGTTTGGGTATGTGCATTTGTAAGAAATACCATGCACTATTGAAAGCTTGAGCAAGAGTATTTCATTTGGTGACTAACACAGCAACATGATATAATCATACAATTCCAAACAAAGGAAGTCAGGTTTTAGACTCACCTGCTTCAACTTTTGAGGGCTTACGGTACAGAGAAAGAGATATGTTAAACAGTTAGATTAATACAATCGATGCAGATAATAATACTGCCTTTAATTTGGAGAAACAAGAAATACTATGCTGTACATCTCTTGGTAGCAAATTACTGCTTCTTAAGTTAATCACAGATAATAGTAAGGATAACACTGGGTTTTTATTGTGGATTTCAAATTATTGCTTGAGCTGTATTTTTCAGCACAATAATATGAAAACAAAAGCAAAATTGTTAAGTACTATATTATAAGATTCAGTCCTAAATTATGAGATTCCGTCCTAATGGCACACTTGACATATTTGACAAAATGAATGACATAGATTTTCTTATTCAGTCATTAGTAGATATTGTAAAAAAAACAATTCCAGAGTAAAGATGTAGAATATTGTATTAAATTTATATGTTGTTCAACTAACTTTTCAAATGCTGGAAGAAAAAAGGTAATGGTAAAACACAAGTCTCATAGTCAGAAAGAACTACATGCAAAAAGGAAAAAAGAAAGTTATACACAAATGGAACCTGCCATAAAAAAAACAAGTTTTGTCTAATAAAGCAATATGGTACAAGTCACTGGATCCTGCAAAAAAAGAAAAGCTTTTATCTCACAGAGCTGAATGGTATAAATCACTGGATCCCGAAGAAAAGGAAATCTTTTGTCCAAATCAGCAGATTGGAAAAAAAAAAACAAAAGAGAGCAGAATGGTTTAACTTGCTCAATTCTGCACAAAAACAAAAAAAAGAGTAGAATGGTATAAATCATTGAATCCTGAAAAAAAGGAAAACTTTTGTCTGACAGAGCAGAATGGTATAAAACACTGGATCCTGCAGACAAAGATAAGATTACATCACAAGTCCAAGTTAATAAGGAAGCCCATAAAAACTCAGTTCTACATGATTTAGATCATAGGATCCTAGCTTTTCAAAGTAAGATTAGGGAAGGTTCATATTATATTTGCTCTGTTTGTAACAGAATACTATACAGAAAAACTTTCATCCAGTTTAAAAAACAAATGTATAAGACTCAGCAAGAACTATTTACTGAGTTGTATACCCATGATTCCTTTCCGTCTTGGAATGACCTATCGCTTATCGCCTGATGACAACCTTTTTTGAAATAGGTGTATGCCCTTGGCCAGACTCGAGCTCACTATTTCAGTATACTAGTCCGACATCCGTAATAACACTACACTTGATCCCAAGGATCCAGTACCATCCAAGTATCCCAGTTACCCTGCTCACTGGGTCAAATGTTTGACGGGTTCTCACATGACAACATTCTCATTTACCGCGTCAGACTTAATGTAAACATGAACATAACTGACTCCATCTCATTTTATTTCAATTTTCGGAAAGGCCATTACGTCATTCTTAAGGTAAACCCACACATCTTCGCTTTGAAATGTTATTTGAGCGATGAACCTGCGTGAAGGTTTTAAAGCAATGAATGCCAAAGTTTTTACCGAAACGTGATTTAAATTATAATGTGAAGCTTGTCAATTTTCTGGGCCTTAACGTAATAGAAAACCCAGATAAGACCCAACTAACCTCCTCGTCTTTCTCAATTCCTTTGAAGTTCGCTTTCTCTTTGTTGATGACCTTTTTCAGTCTGTTATCTGGAGCTCTTTGTATTTCCTTCTCTAGATATTCGCCTTTTTATTTAAGCCTTTTCCCGATCTCTTTCACGCTCCTCTTGCCGTATTCTGCCTATTTTAGCGTCCTTTCTAACTCTCTTTCGCGTTTATCTCGACTCGTTTTACGCCTTTCACTCCTTGCTCTCATCAGTCACTCTGTCTCTTTCTTTCACTCAAAACCATTTCTACACGAACTTGTTTCCTCGGGTTGACAAAGCGTCAGCTCTGCCGGTATTGTTGCTTTGCAAGTTGATAACAAATTGCAAAATACTGAGAATTGCTATTCAACTACAACCTCACCAGTATGATTTCCCGCTCAAAACGCGAATTGCAAATTAAATGGCTAAAATAGCGCCCGCACTGCAGTTGGCCGCGCATGCTAAAAGTAGCACGTTGTACGGTCGGTCGCACGGTCGTAAGTCCAAATTTTTTCGGCTTTATGGATTACTACTACGTTCTATAAGTTATGGGCTACGCTTTGCGCGCTGCGAGCTCCGCTACTAGTCCATTTATTTATTCATGTATTCCAAATTTTAAGAGGAAATTTGACATAATCAACTAAGTGGCTAGGAAACTGAGTACACCGTTTTTCCCCCTTTATAGGTTATTTTTCTAGAGCTTCATGGCAACAACGAAGAAACCTCGACTTTATAAGAATTGTCCGGCAGAATACAACCGAGACGTACAAAACCCATGTCGTTTAGGCCGAGAACAGAAACCTCATTATCATTGCGATATTTGTAAAACATATACTGCTTTGAAGGTTAGTTTATCTTGATTAAATCAGGCAACCATTTCATTTGTAAAATGATGATAAGTAAGAACACGTGGAAATAAGGGGATTCATTTTCTCTCTGTAAGGGTTATGAGTCTTATGAGAAGTACGATGTTTTTTGGTTCGACTATGGGGTCACAATGAATGACGTTGGAAGGCCACAAATTTATCAGGGTTCCCTTCCTTTCCACAATTTTACGGCAGGCAAAGAGCATTACCAGACACGTAGAATTAAATCATGAAGAGACGCATGCCTTGCCGACCTCATCGATGACCGCTAAAAGGGAACAAATCAACGTCAGCCAGGTGTGTGTTGATTGTCAAGATTTAACAAAGTAAAGTAGAGGAGGATCAAGTCAATTATCATGGCCTATACATTCAAAATATAAATGATTTTAACTGTAGTTGACCTGTGACTGAGATAAATTATCCACGGTTGTCTCATACAAGGGTCGATATACAACTCATTTCATAAGTATTGTGGAGTGCACAAGGCAAATCTTTAAACATAAAAGTTTAAGCGCAAATACCCTATTGGAAATATCATCAATAACAAAAACTTAGTAAGGAGTCAAAGTCTTCTTAGGATCTAATTTAAAATCTAATCTCGTTCAAAAGCCGATTACCAGTAGGCTTGATTTTGAAGTGTGCCATATACAACTACTCTATTTGCCTCATGTGTTTGTATCACAGCAGGTTACTGAAGATGGAGAAAGCAGAACTTTTGAGGAGACCATTTCGACGGCAATTTTAAGTCAGCCTGGAAAGCCCAAAAATGATGAAATTGAGGAAAACAATAATTGTAAGTGCAAATATCAAATTTCAAAGGCATTGCATCACACCCATAACATCACACAGATACAAAAAGGCAAGTATAAAATTTTTCCGTTACAAACGTTGGAAAATATGAAATAAGAGCATCTAAAGCTTTAAACGCCCTTGACAGGGATTGCATGTAATTGGCCATTTCCGAGTTTTCTTTTGTTAGAGATCTGGGCTGGTTTGTTCAGAGGACGGATAATGCTACCCAATTAACAGCGAAATTGCTGTCCAGCGGATAAGTGTTAACAGAACATACTGTGCTATCCACTGGATAAGGATCTCTCCAGTGGATAGCGTTAGCCACCTTTTGAACAACCTGGGTCACGTGCCGAAATTACGACGCGAGAACAAGGCTGAGTGCAAAGTCGTTTCCAAGGCTCGAAAATATAATCTCTCAGTGGAAATATTCTGGTAATTGTGACGAATATTTCGTGTTGTTTACAGAATGGTTTACTTTTCGGTTGCTTGTGGCGCCAGTACATACGTCATGAACGACTATTTTGTGATTCTGATGACGAATTGAGTCAAATAGAGTCATCAAATATATTTAGACATGAACCACAAAAACTGTGGCTGGTACAAAAGGTCGAGGCTTCGGCTTTGGAAACCGATAAACTTCTTGGAGGAAGCAACCCGTCTTCTTGTCATTCAATTCCTAAATTAAAAACAAAAATATTTCGAAAAGGAACGTTAACAGGAAAGCATGACCAAGGGAATTGCTCACTAGCTTTCTCATCTGTATTCTGATCATTACATCTCGCTCATTCCATGTCATGTGCACGGCAATTGCCGATCAGAGGTGCCCAGTTATTCAGAAGTAAGTTTCGCAATGCCTGTTCTTTATCTTTAGTGCGATGTTACGAACAATTACCGGGAGAAACCGTCAATGTCGTCAATAACGGGGGAGTCGAATTATGTGTTCCTGATGACCACGATGAATTACAAGGTTTGTTTGACGTTGTTACCGTCCAATTTTAATAATTTTATTCTTAATAGTCTTTGGATGATTGTTTATCATAATTTAAAGGATTATTTACCTTAAAAGGACAGAGTAATAACAGCCTTTTTCAGGATGGTATCTCCCTCTTTTGCGGTGACGAGAACTTATCGTCGCAAAACAAAGCCAAATCGCTGCCTAAACGTTGTGCGACCGACTAATTTCAAGGGAAACAACAAGGACATTATTGTTTCAACTCAAAGTTCAAGAGTGGTTTGTTTGACCAACTCAAGGCTAAACAAATCCTCTTGGATCTCAACAAAACAAACAGTAAAAAAAAAAAAAAAAGCCTTAATCTTCGTCCCTTACAAACGAGATGTTAGCTAAGCCCTCCGAGCCTTTTTTGCCAACCCGTAACGGATTGGTGACTCTATACAGCTTACAAAAGCCTCAGGTCTGGGAGCTCGTCTGATATTCTAAGAGATCAACTAAGTGAACTGCTTGCGAAATGGGTCATAAAAAAGTTCCTTTCCATCAGAGACAGTCTCCACAGCCACTGTTTCTTGTGCCAGGAAGGGAGGATCTATGCATCGTGTGATCAATCTAGGCTATTAAAAGTTTTTTTCTCCAGATAATAAAACTTTGCTTTTATCAAGGTGCTTTATAACAAATATATGGATGTCAACTTTTCCGCAACAATTCACCAGTCTTCGTTTCATTTGGGTCGGAGCACGTTATCAGCTCTAGGCCCCTCGATCGGTCTTTGCTCCATCCACAGAATATTCAAAACCCTTTTGAATCGGCACTAGCCTTATTCACAAAGAAGTCAAACCAAGTCCATGTAAATGAATAACTAGAAGACTCCTTTCTATAACTGCAACAAAAGAGGAAGCTATCCAAAACAAGACATTCGAAATGAGCAACAAAGTATTTGGGAAACAACCAATCTTGAGAACTGAAAACTAAAGAAAACTTCCCATTGAGGACTCTAGGCAAGTCTGAGAAAAACTCAAACAGGAATAGTGATGAGGATTATCATACAACGATTATACCCTATTAAAACGGTCAAGGACACATCACTCCAAAGGTGAAAATAAGTGTGTGGTCTTGCAGCATATGACAAACCAAGGCTCACAACAATCGCACAAGGATTTTAAAATAATATAACAGGCAAAAGACAATTCCCAAAAACTTAACCAGGACATAGTTTACATCAAAGATTGCATGCAATCAAAGAACACGTGGGTTATTCAGAACTAAAATTACCGCTATCGTTATAGCTAGCTGTTCTTTACTCTTAGTGCAATGTCAAGAACAGTTACCAGAAGACACTGATAACGTCGTCGCTAACAGAGGTGACGGCTATGGAAAGAGTAAAAAAAGTGATGGTTTTTGCAAAAATTAAACATTTCCGAGAAACTATTTGACAAAGACTTGAAACGCTAAAAGGTAGTTCTACGTGATTCATTCTATTTATGGGGGATAGTGACACTGGTACGAAATAATGAACGGGAAAGGAATCGAAGCATAAATAGTTTGGGTAAAACTATGTAATTTCAATACAAATAGAGTGAAATGTGGCACAATAAAACATTTTAAAAAGTTTTCTGGGTGTACTCAATTTTTAAATACTTCTTCATATTTTTCAGAGAAAGTTCTTTGCGTTACAGAACCAAATGAAATGGTGAGTTCGAACTTTGATTAAGTTAAAGTAAAATCACAATTAGGATGATAGGTTAAGACCTGTTTGGGTTTTTAGCTTTTCTTTTCGTTTCTGTATAAATGAGAAGATCCATCCGTTGCGGTTGTTAATTACCTTCTATTTATTACATTTTTTCTCGTTGTCATAGGAATACCAACAAGAGTATCATTTCATTCTTGACCTTCTGCTGCTGGAACTACTGAACGCCTCTGAACAGCAGACAATGACGCTGAGTCGCATGGAGAGAGAAGTGGGACAACGAACTGGCAAAGACTTTAGTGATTTACACGATATTGTTGTTAAAACGGAGTTAGGTTCAGTGGGTATCGAGGGCTTCATAGACAACGATTCCCACTTCTTAGAAATAGTCAATTTGACGGGTGAGATAAAGGCAAAGGATGAAATAGAAATTGAAAATCCATCAAATCAAGGGGAGACGAAGATCGATCTTGCATGCGCTCGCTGTCGTTCTTGTAAGGATTACGTAGAAAAGTGTAGACAGGCGCCAAATGCTACCACGGCCATAATTGGAGAGAGTACCTTTGAGGACGAAGCAGCAGTGGAGAAGTGGCCATTCGGAGTGCTCAACATCCTTCGTTGGTTTTGTCCAAAAATTCGTCACATAAATATTACCGGTTGTAAAAAATTTGATTACTTTTCAAGAATCATTGAATGTCTGGATCCTTCAGTCCTTATCCATTGCAAAGACGTTGACAGACTTATTCGAAATATCATATCAAAGGATTCGACATCAACCTTCGTAATTCGTAAGGGTTGGTCTCTTCTTCACAGCGCCGTATTCCTTGGGGACGTTAACCTGACAAGGGAGCTTCTCGCCAAAAGAAGTTGGGATGAGGATGATATTTTTAAAACTTCAGTAGAGTTGGCCATTGTTCTGCACAACGGTGAGGTTTTGAAATTGTTCAAAGGAGAAAAAAACATTTACAGTTTCATGAGCCCGTTAAGACTAGTTGAACTGAGTCTACTATCGTCCTCCCTGTCCACTGACGTCCACCCTGTAGAAGTGATAATTACCAACAAAGACTTGTTTCAAGCAGCAAGGGATATGCACAACTCTCCACATCATTGCAGTCTTATTAAACTACTTCGTACATTCTACGGAAAGGATGACACGGATTCAAAACTAAAACTTGAGCTTCTAGAGGGAATATTACGAACGATACGGGCCAACGTAAGATTAGATCGTCCCCCACTGTTTTCATGCTGGAACGAGCTTGTAATTCAAGACGCTGTGAAAGAATTAATGAAAGAAACAGGAAGCTCATCCAGCGGCAAAGTGGAAGGCTCTCCGTACCTGATGTTCGCTATACCCAACATGCCGCTGGCTTCCTTTCTTATCGAAAAGGTGCCTGCATCGACCAGACGGATGATTCGGGTTGTACCACTCTTTACCAAGCTGTAAGCGAGTGGCTTATTCGTCCTTCTGTTCAAAAAAGACTATTCGTTGAATTTTTACTTTCGAGAGGAGCTAATCCCAATTTTAAAAATAATTCTGGAGAAAGTCCACTTACAAAGAGTTTTCCGACATTTCAGGCCACGAGGTATAAAGATCATTTGCTAGAAATTTGGCGATGTCTCTTGAATTTCGGAGCTAGGGCCAAAATCAAAGACGACTCTGATAGATCTCCCCTCCATATTCTTGTAAATCTATCTTGCAAGCTATCACCTAAAACTGTAGACGAAGGCATTGTACTCTTTCACGAACATGGATGTGCAATTAACTGTAGAGATGCTGACGGAAACACTCCACTGCATCTATGGGCGAGGTTAGCGGTTAAGAGCCAAAACCTCGAGAAAGTTGGAAATAAAATAATAGACCGCGGAGGAACCGTCAATGCAAGAAATGACAGCGGAGAGACACCTTTGCATCTCGCACAGTTCTGGGAACCGGTAGATTTGTTACTAAAACAAGGAGCACAACCGAATGCGCAAGACCTCAGCGGAGAAACCCCCTTACACAAGTTTGTTGACAAAGAGACTTTGATAACAGATAAGGTAAAAGTAGGTCGATGGAAGAAGTGCCTTACTTCTGGAATGGATCCGTGGAAGAAAAATGATAGTGGAGTATGCCCATTTCAAGATCTCTTAGAAAAGGGCTTTCTACAAAGCTCGTTGAGACTATTAAAAGCAGTTTTCGAACACTATGTCGATGAAGAAACGATTGAATCTGCGCGATGTTTTAAAGATTCCGAAGGGAACTCCCTGTTACACTTGGCGTGTATCACTCAAGCTGACGCAATCTGTGAGTATTTACTTCAGAGAGGGTTTAGCGTGAACAATCAAAACATTCGTTTGCAGACACCGTTGAGTTTGGTATGCAGCAGGGTGGGAACATTGCCGATGAAAAACATCCAAAACACCATCCTTCTACTACAGAAACACCATGCTGATCCCAAAATACCAGATGATAAAGGAAACACGTGCCAGGTGTTGCTCAATGGACATGAAGACCTAAAGAGGCTACTGCGAATAGATATTGAGAAAGAGCCAATTTTACCCATTATGAAGTGGCGCAAGGAGTCCGAAAAGCACAAGGATGCACTCTGTGACATTTCTTGTGGCCAAAAATGTCAAAGAGTTGAAAGCTATCATCACCACAAACACTATATTGGCAAAGGCTCGTTTTCGTTAGTCTTTCCTGCTCTGGATGAAAGAGATGGGAGAGAAGTAGCACTAAAGCGACTAGAAAAAGCCAGGTTAGAAGATGCCAGTTTCAGAAGGGAGATTGAATGTCTCATGAAACTTAACGATTGTCCAGCTGTGGTAAACTACATCTGCAGCTTTAGCAGCTCCGACTTCCAATACATAGTTGTTGAGCTAATGGAAGGAACTTTGAATGAATATCTCGACACAGAGCATGAGGGAGTAAATGCGTTTCGGATCTGCTCTGACATATACTCTGGTATAGAGTATCTACACAAAAATGAAGTTATCCACAGAGATTTAAAACCGCAGAACATCTTGTACAAAACTACGCCGTCGGTAGCGATGAAAATCGCAGATTTTGGGCTGAGTAAAATTCTTCAGACGACGCAACATTTTGGTTCAAGTGACACAGTAATGCACTCAATGGTTGGAACAAAGTGTTGGAAAGCTCCGGAACTCTTTACAAATGACAGTCAAAGCAAGTATAGCAAGGAGTCTGATATTTTCAGTTGTGGTTTGCTCTTCCATTACAGCCTAGCCAAAGGAAAGCATCCCTTTCATGACCCGAAAGAGTCTCCCGCACAGATAGGTTCCCCGAATACAACTGAGAACATAAAAGATAACATCGAAAATAAGAGATTCTTTTGTCCCTCTCTTTCGGCAGAGGCTGTCCATATTCTGACAAGAATGTTGTCACTCAAACCTGACGAAAGGCCAACAGCTTCCTCCCTAAAGACTTTTCCCTTCTTTTGGGATAATGCAAAGAAGATGGATTTTCTTAAGAAAGTGGGAAACGAGGATGAGTTTACAAAGCCCAGATCTACTCTCACTCGCCCGTTGACCGATGTAGAGAGACAATTAGAGAAACAAATGAAAAACGCTCTTCCGTGGACGTCAAACAGTTCAATCAACGATATATTTTCGGAGTTCACAAGTGATCCTAGATATAGAGATCAGTACGAACCAAATTCGGCTGTAGAACTTGTTCGGTTAATAAGAAATGTGCACGAACACCCCGCAAATCTTTCAAGAAAAGCCAAATCTTTACTGGATAAGCATGTATTTCTGGAGCAATTTCCTCATTTGGTTACGGACGTTTTCAACTCAGCTCAACAGTGGAAAGAAAGAACAAACCTGAAATCATTTTATGAGTAGGTTACTCTAGTACATACTGATTGAAACTTTACCCTCACCATGATATATTTTGCTTCAGTAAGTCGGACACGCACACCACGGTCTTTCTTTGGCTTTGGATACTGATTGTGCTATTTGATACCTTCACTTGCTGTTTTATTGCCGATACCCCACATACAAATACAACCTAGACTACATATCAACGCAAAGCTTCGCGTCGAAGAGCACACCAAAATTAGAAATCAGTCTACGACAGCTTATGAAGGTCATCATGGTTGTCTGGCCAAGGAAAAAGGAAAACATAATCTCATCTTATGTCACTCACCCTCGATATACACCATGAGTAGAGTGTCTACTATGGTGTGGTTTCTAGGGAACAGAGAATGGTAGTTCCAAGATCGTTATGTCGAGCCCTACGACATCGCCTTCATTACGTGTCCAGAGCATTGTTACCAGACTCTTTCCCGGGCAAAAATGCGTTTCCTGGCTGAGAAGGAACAGTAAACTTCAACAGTTCATTGAAAGTTATGATATTAGCTGGGCATTTTATTAAAACATCTCAAAGAGAACTTTGTTCACCATGAATAGCCAGACCAACTCTTCAGCGAAAGTTGGAATTGACATGTTCAGTTACAGGATTCATAACTATCTTATATGCGTAGTATATACTCCTTCTTCAGGAGATCAATTCCCTAAGGAACACAAGGTTTAGAAGTTAAAGGCTAGACTACAAGGCAAAGAATACCAGAAAGGGACAGAGGCTTGCGCGTCGTCTCAAGTTCATTTAAGTCGCTTGTGGAAATTTGCACGTGGGACTTTCTTTTCAACTTGTCTTTAAGGTGCACGCGGTGAAAGGAAAAAGCAGCTTTCAAATCCGCCAAAACCGTCATGGGAATTTCGAAAAAACTGGAAAGGCCGAAACAAATCCTCATCTAGCGCTTATTGAGTACAGGAATGTTTGTTCAAGAAATGGATACTGACACAGTGATACGTCTCACTTAAATAAGGATATTAACACAGCTGCCTACATTAACTTAGCTCTTGGGACCGGTTGCTGGCTACAATGCCTTTCAGAAGCTTCCTGCTAACAGTGACCGATATACGAACCGTTACAAACAAGGGAGGTTAGGATCTGGAAGCGCTTAAGACTTCACAACAACGAGTTGACAGCTGATTTCTACTTAAGATTTCTTGGAGGAAGAGACCACACGACAACACCTATCAAGAGTTAGTTCAATCTGAACAGCTAATAAGTGGAAAAACGAAATCGCGTTTAGAATAAAACGAACTCGTCACCCCACGAGAACTGCGTTTCCTCACTTCTAGTTTTCGCGCAGCGCCCTTTCATTTTGCTCGCTTGATGGAAGAGCGCAAGGAGGCACACTTAGTGTGAAGCAAAATAAGGTACTTTTAATTTACCACTAGGGTTATTCAAGCAACGCTGCTAACTCACCATCCGCATCCATTTTTACAGGCAACTTCAACCAAACAAATATTTCACGCTGAAAGGAAAAAATAGTTAGTTCAGACAGGGATTTGTTGTAATCATTTTCATCGTCTCCAAACAATCGATTTAGTCAATGCTATGCACCTGTGGGTAGCACATCTACTTCTTTACAGCACTTTCCTTTCTTTTGCGCCGTCTTCGCTTTTTTTCTACCTTTCCAGCTGTGAGGATTCCTAAAACCAATAAATTGACAATACTTTTCAAGCTTGTTGTAGGCTGTAAGTCAGTGGAGAAGAGCGAAAAATAGCTGGCCAGCCATTTCACCGACGACCGGAGCCTTTTGCTTGCCACTTTAGCACACCCACTTTTTCCCTCTTTTCCAAAAGAGGGGGAGAGAGAGAGAGAGATAATAAACGGATGAAACGTGAGGAGAAAAGGATGCAATTCTTAAAAATTATAGTCTTTCCAATAAAGTTTCTTAAGCATGCTTGAAATAGTAGTAACACTCAACATAAGCCCCTACCCCCCCCTACTGGATCCCTGCTTGTGTCCCTTTACATCCACAGACCTGCAACTTAAAACTGAAATGACCTTGAAGGCCAAGAATTCTTCTTTGACTTGCATGGGGTAATTTTGATACAAGAAAGAAATCATGCAAGTTGGTCAAGTTCCACAACACCAGCCATCACTCCACTCAGAAACTGCTGACTTGAGCCTAAGCGGCAAACGAAAGAACTGTAATGAAGAAAATTATTTTTTAGCAGCAGAGCAAGGCACAGACTAGAGTAGATGGGTGAAGGGAAGGGGTAAATTATTCCCTTCGTAGAAAGAAGAAAGATTTATTTCCAAAATTGCTTTTTCCAACTTAATCTGTCAAGAGTCAAACAAAATATCATTAAAGGAGCGTCGCAACATACTGAGTCAACTTTTGAAACATGCTCAACTTAAGGGAGACTGCAAATCATTTGTTTGATAAGGGAAAAAAGTAAAGAAAAGGCATTAGTTAACCACGAAGGAACAAGAAATGCCAAGGATGGGGAGGATTCACACCGATTTCAAAATTACAAACTCCAAAAAGTGACTGAAATGCTTCTTTGACACAACGTAAGATTATCAAGTCACCTACTTTTCAATCGGGTCAATACATTTTGAGGGGCTTTAAGGCACCTCATTCTTAAACCAGGACTAAATATGGTTGAAAAAGATCCAAGAGATACTACATATTCATTTCCCTCTGAGCCCACAGGACTTAAACCAAACACTCTTAAATGGTATTTATTTTATTATGTCACCTAAATTCATTAATATGACTTTGCATTAGACAAAAGCTGCAAATGTTTAAAGAGACTGCCATGGTTCATAATTCAGTGTACATACTATCACAGCTTTAGCTGACACATTTTCTAAAACAGAGTCAAGGCAATCCGAGAGAAGCGAAGTCTTTGTAAAGGATCATTTCTTCCCCTAAACTCTAATTTTGGAAGGGAGGGCACTGGAGAAAGGTTTCTGTTGCAATTCTTTGAAGATGTCCTCGGAATTTTCAGGACATGTTGAACTTCATAAATTTGTTGTTCCCTCAGATGTGATGAGATTCACAAAAACGAAAATGTCACACCTCTGAATCAAAAGAAGTTGGTTGTTATTGAAACCACTGGCTCAAACGTACTAACCTCCGTTCATATGCAATCAGCCTTACTGGTGCTGGTTTAAATGGAGGATTGCCGGCTGAAACAGAACTTAGTTCCAGTTGCGGATACGTAGCCTTGTTTCAGCTGTGATCTACTGTATTACAGCTAACCAACCCAGGAACATTCAGGTACAGTGAGAATTTAAATTGAAGGTGATCCAAATTACAAAAATAAGTAAATAAAAATAGAATTACATCGAAATTGGAATTTGAGTATAGGCTTCTCTAAAGGAAGGAAACCTGGAGAATCCAAAAACAAAACGACAAAATAATACCTTTTAGTGAGATGTCTCCGCTAAGGATACAGTTCACAAAATTTTTCACTCGTGGGACACGTATGGCACAAACGTAACAGAGCTCATGGAAACTTTAAACAAATTCCAGTGAGTTGACGAGGAAAAATGAACAAAGCCGAGGGCCACAAAAAAGCTCACACAAAATGTAGGCGAATAACATTTTATTTCCAAAAAAGTATCTTATCCTTAAGAAAAATTAACAAATCTTTGGTTAAGTTTATGTTTAAGTAATAAAGAAATAAAAAATCAATAACTGACTCCATATCTCTAGCACCAGCGTCTCGTTCTGCTAGTCAATAAAGTGTGTTGCCCAAAGATTGTTGTCTGCATTGTAATCTGCGTTTGACATTCATAGTAATTACATTTTGTTTCCAAAGAGTATCTTTGGTTTAGTTTATGTTAAAGTAACAAAGAAATAGAAAATCAATAACTGACCAGTAAATAAAGCCAGCCATATCTCCCGACGCCTTGATTAGGCACGCTGATCTGCGCGTTTGCTGCAAGAGCTGCCACGTGGTATTTAATTGTTTCTGTCATTGTTGCTGCCGCTTTTTTGACACCTTAGAAAATTATGATCAAAATTTTTCACGATCGTAATTCACAAATCGTTTCCTCGAAAACTCTTGTCCCTTCTTAGAGATCCTAGAGCTCTGCTGCTTCATCATTACCTCTTCTGTGTCTTTCTCCCTTATGGCATTTATATTAGCGCTCTTCAAGTCTAGGGTAGTTTTTGCAAGACGCAAAAACTGAATAAAATAGAAGGTAACTTCTTTTACTATCAAACAATAACCTGTTGTGTTATGCTAATTAAGAACGCACGCAATTCGAAAAGCGGTCGTGAAATAAAAGAAGTGAACTCACAAATTAACATTTTCCTGAGAGGCCCCACTAGTGAATTGAGACCAAGATCTCTGTACACAAGAAGCTATTGATAAAGTCTTAAGGTTTTCAATTCGCCAAAGGAATATTGGCAACCAATTAAAATAATGGTATCACTAAACCTAGATTGAGTGAAAGAAAAAAATTTAGCTGACAAAAGCGCTTTTAGGGAAAGGCGAAAAAAGAAACTGCGTGTAAGGCAGGTTAACGACAAAAATGGCTCGAATGTATTTTCAGCCAAACGAAGAGCGCAGTAGAAATTTATTATTATTCGAGGCACTTATTAAAAGCCGCTATAAATAAAATAGTAAACAAATAGATTCAATTTTGCCGTGTCTGTTCAGTCGTGGCGATGTGATGTGATGCCAAAAATAAAACACGAGCCTCAGGCGGGTGCATTGCCTACGTTCTTGCCAAATTTTGACATCGTCTGTGATTTATAACTGAGCAGACACACCAAAAAATTAAATCTATCTAGCTTGTATAATGAACAGAAAAGTTAAATGAGCAAAAAGTCAAGTTAATTAATGTTAATCAACAGGTCCTTCAAACCATGTTTCAAGAAACACAGAACAAAACTTCTCCATCAATGAACAATCCCTAAGCTCGAAATTTTCAGTTCATTGTACAATTTCCATGAGCTTGTGCCAGTGGCAGTCTTTTCACAGTGGCACAAAGGTAAAGAAGAAGCAAAAAAGAACAACAGTGAAAAAAAGCGAGGAGATCATCACTGCCGATAAGAAAAAGACTGCCAGTTACACAAAGGGTGACTACACCTTATTGTTGTCCTACTGATAACCTTATTAATTACAGACAAATATCATATTCTCTCATCTTCTATTACCTGAAAGAAAAAGAACGAAATATCAACCCTTTAACCCCTCAGAGTGACAAGCATCCAATTTCTCCCAACAGTACCAGCCTTAAATCAAACATTAAGGTCATGAGGATAAAGGAAATGATCTCGAACTCAAGAAGCTCTTGATTGTAAGACAAATTCTCCTGATAGGTACTACAGGAAATGCATAGAGAACAGTATGGAGAAAATCCATACTGATGTTAAGGTTAAGATAAGTCGTACTATGGGTGATCACTAAAACAAAGACAAAGTAACTACAAATAATTTGACATAAGCATTCTAATGGCGGAAACAATTGTGTGGAGAAAATGGTGTTGCTCGGAATAATAAATCAAATTGTAGTCACATTACGACTTAAAGTCTTGTTAGTTATTCTATTCTCAAATTTATACTCCAACAACATCTGGGCCTTGGTACTAAAATAGCTGTGGAGTCGTTCCATGTTTAACAACTATGGACACAATAAAAGAAATCAATCAACTGCTTTTTATTTGTTTGGTTTCCTTGAGAAGGTATATGTACTTCTACCAAGTCTGATATGAAAAAGCCGACTTACCCGTGTTTTCATGTTTAGCCAGCCAACTCTCTTAATGAAGCCAGAAAACTGTTGGGAGTTGTGATGTGAGTGGAGCCTGTACAATAAAACAATAAACATGGCAAATACCACATTTGAAAAAAACTGATGAAAACGTTAATTAGATTGACTATAAAAACACCCTCCCTTTCTCTGCATACACATACCCAAAGCATGTGTAGTTACTACAAGTCAATTCTCTTCCGGCGTCTTCTCTCATGAGTGAGAGTCACGTGAGTTTGAAAATACCTCGAGCGAGGGGGTGATTTGCACCGACCAGCAATCATCCTTCTTCTGTATACTATCACATAAAAAATGTTTTAAATTTGAAGGTCACTTACCAATTAACACTTCCCAATCCTTTTTCGCAGCAGTTACCTGTAGGTCAAAGGCACAAGTTGATTCTCTTTCACTGAACAAGAATTCGCAGTAATAGTTGATACATTTTAAGATTAAAAAGTGGAAACGGGGATAGAAGAGTCCAACTGTGACGTGTAAGCTCTCCACATTTTACCTAACAACAAAATAAATAACACACATCCTCTATTGTTATAAATTCTGGACACATTTCAACCCTTGCCCATCCCATTCAACTCATCATCCCACCCCAAACAACTACATCTTTCAGTGATCTGCAACTTCAGAGCTCCTTTCGACCTTACACTAACTGCGTTAATTTGCCTTTGATTCATTTGAACATGAGAACATCTGTAGCAACGCTCTGCGGCAACGCAATCTCTTTACCATGGACGACGTTCTCAGATAACATGATTAATCGTTGCTGAAAAGCAATTCAAGGCAGATTTTGATGACAAACGAAGAGATAGAACGTTCGTTTTGCTCTACTTCGTTCTGTAATTAACAGAACGCGCGCTCCTCTCTCAGCCAAATCAACCGCGGCTTTGTCACTTCTGCAGCACGTTCTGGTATTTTGCTCGTTTGTACAATGCATTCTCATTGGCTCCATTTCCTTTGTTTTGATTGGCCCTTGAGACCACTTTGATGTTAGCTCCCGGATTAACAACTTGCCCTCAAAATGTGCTGTTATCGGTTGAAGTTAACAAGACTTCGTTACCTCATACGCTGTTCTTGTTTCTGAGAAACAAACTCCACCAACAATGAAGATGATAAGGCGTGGGCCGGCTCGAGCTTCGGTAGAGCCCTGAAAGAGAACATTAAAAACTGTTTTCCAGCTGCGACTTGAAGCTCCGGGACAGTCTTCGGAAATGAAAAACGGAGTATAAAAAGGTGTACCTTCTCCTTATGCCAATGACCATAAAGACGAGCACTGTTAAAACAATGAAAAAAAAAATGGTTACAAAAAAAAAACTGGAACGGTTCTCGTCCGATACTATTTGACAATAAGTTGTTTCAAAATACATCTGTCCTAACGGAGACATAAAAAAGTTAACAATAACACAGCGCCTTCTTTTTATAATAAAAGACACTTACCTCACGGCTTTGCCTGCTTAAGGAAATGAAATATAACAAAAATGGTGTAAGCTTGGGCGACATTTTTAACAAGACAGTTAAGGCATCAACACTTATTCATCTCCCCCACAGACATCATAATTTCACCTCTGATTATATAGATTCACGCACCGTGCCCTACCTCGAGTATTTGTGGCTACACGACTGCTTCCTTTGAATAATCGAGTATACGACGATAAAAATCCACTATAAAGGGTCGCTATTCTGATTTTCGCTATTTTCTGATTGTGTTTGGTGTTTTCAGGGTGCATATGCTTAGATAAATGTAGTCTCTATTTGGTGTTGTCAGTGTGCAGTATGTGAGGTAGGTGTAGCCTCAGTATAACGAAATCTCTACAGATAGTGTGACCTAACGTGACTACAACTTTGTGTCACGTACCTAAGTTACTGCTCATTGCACCAGACGCTGTCCGTTGTGAAGCGAACGGGTATAAAGTGCTGCTGAGCTTTTCCTCCACAGCTTCCTTAGAACGAAAATAAACAAAACATCGCATGGTTAACTCTTGATAAAGAAGAACCTCAACTTTTAATACCCAGCAGTGGAGGAAACAATAAAGAGAAGCCGTCTGTTGGTAGAATGCTTGCAGTTGTTGAATATCAGATCTAGCACAGCATGAATCTTGAAGTCTGTGGAATCGGGCACCCTCTTGGTCTTTTCTTTGGAGTTTTTTCAGCTTCTTCTTTTTTTCTTGAAAAACAATGTAGCTTGTTCGACAGTAGCCCCCCAGCAACCTCTCTCGCGGGGTGGGGGGGGGGGGGGGGGGTTGGGGAGACTCTCATAGAGAGCTTACTCGCAGGCTTAAATATAGATTTCCTTGCAAAAAACCGCCAAATAGAGAAAGTTTATTATATTCGTACCTCCATGATATCTTTTACGGAGGGAACCCAACGTGACAACTCGTACAAAGACTGACGTTCTTTTCTTGCCGGCTTTGCTCCTTTCCTTGCACCAGACTGAAGCAAGAATAATTAAGAAAAGCATTGTGTCAATAAAGAAAAAAATTTCCGCAATTAAAAATTTAAAAATTGTCAAATGGTTCGGATCCAGGTGTAACGATTGAAATCGGCCAAACTGACCAATCACAACTACCGATGGATTTGAGTCTTGCATTAATAACGTCACAGAAAAACAAACCAATCAGCTGTTGCCCACCAAACATACAAAACTCGGACGAGGACTTCTTAGGATGCAATTAGAGTTTTACGTCCTATGGCAAAGACGTGTTACTCGGAATAGCACAGCTTAAAATCTCAAACTCAGAGACGAAATTCTATCCCACAATCTTAGCATAACAAGAAGAATACATACATCTTGTAAAATGGGAACCCCAAGATACGCCATGTTCTTTATTATGGCACTGAAAACAACAGAAACAAATTCAAGGTTATCCAAATACGTACTATATTGACAAGGTTAGTTACTGCATCGTGGAAAACGAAAATGAACCCGTAAAATTTATAATGATTCTCTTTTGATTTAATACTGATTAACACAGTTTCATTGCAAGCCACTAAAAACAATACTTGTCGAATAAAACGAACCAAAATTTTTTTAGTTATTTCAACTCTGTATTTGATCAGTTTTCAGTCTCTTCAAAATGATCAGTAGAAATAATAACGAAAAACATAATATGCAACAAGATTAAAATTAAGGAAGAGGCTTGACGAACCGGTAATCGGGTGGAATCTGTGCATGCTCACAGAGTTTTGCCAAATTTTCCTCGCTAATACCTATTAAAAGAAAGGAAATAAAACGTAGGGAAATAAGTTTAGCGACTGAAAATAGCCTACGCTTGTAAAACAAAACATTGTCCAAAAGCTTCCTGAAACATTTCAAAAGAGTTAAAAACTCACCATTTTTAAAAATAACATACAATAGGATGATCCGAATTTTGTCAGAAATGCTGTAAAGAAAATAATAAGGTTATTTTGGTGGTGGATAAATAAATTTGATTAATTACACCAACCGTATGAAAAAAAAAACCGACAAGAATTGAGTATTTTCAATTGAAATTATTGCGATTATGAGTCAATCAAATGTGAGGCGACGTGACTACACTTAAGGGCGAAAGAACTCAGCTTTAAGGCGACATAACTTGAAACGATGGTGCGATGGGACGAAGAGCCATCTTCTTTTCACTCACGCTTTTCAAAACACTTGGTATATGTTTCCGCAAGTAGTAATAACAATAAGTAAGGAGGAATAGAAAATTTCATTCGTACTGGACATTGCCATCTAACAGCAGTGGTACAATGCTTTTCATGGGATCTTTGATTCCTTCACCATCTTTGTCAACTCCTGTCGCAAGATCCTAGGATAAAAGCACAGGTTCTAAGCTACTTGCATAAGCCTTGAAAACGGTTGACTCAATTGTTCAAAAGTTTGACGTAATTGTTCAAAAGTTTGACTTCTGTAAGCTTTCTTTGCAATTATATGTGAGGCAAGAAAAACTTAAACAAAGCACAGTTTCTGTGATTAGTAAATTTAAGACTAAAAGTTTGAGCATGGCTTCACCTCCCGACCCTTGCACTAATCTGATTATATCAAACCCACCTGTTCAACGGCACAAATGTCCTTGAGAGCTGTTTGGTTATACTGTTTCATACAGTCTTCGGCCAGGTGCAGATGAACGATGAACTGAAAAAATGTTCGAGATTTTCGTGTCAAAATGATATAAAATAAACGATTTTTTTCCTAACTGACCACATGAAAGTCAGCAAAACAGAAAATGTTTCCATACTGCAGTCTTATACCACACTAGTATCGAATAAGACCGAACCAATGTAACACCCTAAGTGTCGGCCAATCCGTCAGCTACTTGTTGAACAATACATAGCAACAAAGACCTTGGAGAACTTTATCGTCCTTTTCCAAGATATGCCACAAATTGATATTAATGATTCCCAAATTGGCCTACAGATCTTTGTTGCTTTCATCTTATGTTTTTTTCTTAGCGCTCGCTCTTTCGCTCATTTCTACAAACTGAAAGCCCAACACTGGCTAACTGTATAATTATTATGAGCATAAAAAGGAACTTTCCTTTCAAAGCTACCTCTACATCCACAGCTCATGCTACTAAGTTCATAGTGTTTTAATGCAGACAAACATGTGGGAGAAAAAAACCCTTTTCTTAAACTATTCAATACACACACCTTGCTAACTTCTTTTTGATACTGCGGCATTTTCTTTAAGATCACTTGGAGATCTTTCATTGTTGTCTGAAAAACAAAGAAAAGGTTTCCCTGATATGGACTATGATTTGGAAACCTTTCAAATGTAGTACTCTCTAATTATGTGTCAATTTATGCAGTTCTACTAAACTAATGACCTTCACATTAAATAGAGTACAAAGCATAAAGGCGTTAAGATATGATATATAAAATAGTGTTAAAAAAACCTCGTCATAGTCTACTTTATAACCTTTCACTCCAAAGATCTCACTAGTAATTCTCCTTACTGTCTGCCGCACAATACTCACGATGTTATTGTTATTGGTATTGGATCAACTTATAAACCACTGGTTGATATTTTTCTTTATTCTCATCACTCGTCTGCTCGATATTGTATTGCTTTTGTAAGGAGAAATTCTGTCTTGGTCACTCACGGGGTTAGGAGAATCAAAATGAGGCCAGGTTTTCAAGATGACTGCAATACAGTGAGAGGCCTAAATTTTTCTTTGTTTCAAGAAGGACAATCCATATCAAACAAAATCTCACATGGTACCTTGTTAGAAGTGGAAATTTTCTTGTCTGCTGCAAAATCTTTAATTTGTGAATTGACCTTCCTATGAAAAGTAATAATGGCTTTCAGCAAATGACGAAATGGTTCAAGTAATCTCAATATCAAATTGTATCATGGTACGAGGCCCTCCAATAATTATCAGTTAAAGAGAAAAAAGGCACTAGAGAAAGTACATGCACTGTCCAAATAGAAGATCGTACCGGTAGATTTCAAAAATGTCTTTTATCACGAATTCGCACCGTGAAAAAAAGCACCAAAAATCAGATAGATAGATTGACACGAAGGCCGCCATTTTGTACAAAGATTATCCAAAACGGAGCTATAACGTTAACATTAGACAGAATTGTTTTAAAAAAGAAGCCATAAAGTTCAAAGCAACTACTGTAAAATGCACAACTGTACCTCAAGACATCAGCAATGTGTTCATGACGATGCCTTGCCCACATTTCATCATTTTCTGCAAATAGGGAGAGTATGACTTAAAAGACGAACAGTTTTTGTTTAGTAGTTTAACTTCACCAGAACCGTGACTTTCTGTTAATTTTTGAGTAATTTGTTGAACTTACAATAACAAGACTCTCCCTGGGTATCAAATAAACATATCGATGTATTTTTGAAGATTTTGAAAGTTTTCATCAAGGTTCCCCGACAATTCATACAATTGCGGTGCATGTCTGTCGAGAATGGTTGGCTTTCCATCAGAGGCACAGAAGGAGACAGATGATGCCTTCCATAACTATTAATGGCGATTGTGGTAATCCTTGTATGCTTTTATTGTCTTGTTACTGTTTACGGATGTGTATCCTGATTTCATGAATCGCTGAATGAAGCACCGTTACAGTGAGAGGTCGAATATGACTGCTCTCCTTCTTGTGGCTACACTCAGTCAGAACACATCAATGCCACAAACATGGCAATGAACTCACCATCAAGCACAGTCTCCTTTTCTTCATTACCAGATGATGAAATATATCTACCACAACAAGATTACCAGTAAACAAATAGTACATCAATAGTAATAACAAGCAACGTGTAGTGTAATACCAAACATGGAACTAGCAAAGTTACAGCTTCCCTTCACTATCATAAAGCAAATTTGTACATTGCTCACTAGTAAAATATCTAAGTAACTGATATTGGTAATTTAACTACAGTGACCATGACAACAAGTGCTAATCATAGTCACATTCTTTAACTCCACGAAATGAAGTTAGAAAAACTCACTTGTAAACATCATTGACAATTGGAAGAAGATCATAAGTCATTGCCTGGAGATTTAGAAAAAATATTTGACATTGTGACTATGCAAAACTCTCTCAATTGGTACTGTGGAAACTGAACTTGAAAAAAAATACAAAAATAACAGGGAGACAAAAGAGAATGTGTTGCCTTTTGAGACACCATCCACGCTAGCATTGCTTAAATGTAAATTATTCAATAAGACCTCAGGTCTATACAGTTCTCAGATTTTTTTTTTGGAGCAGAGTCCATGCAATTGTTTAGAAGAGTCCTCAAGAATACACTTTGTACTTTTGAGTAACAGGTATTACAAACCTGAAATGTGAGTTCATGCAGGAGAGGTGAGACTGGGTCAAATCCTCTGGAAAAAAAGAAAAGTATGACATGATGATTCAGCATCAAGATAAAAATTTCCTACAAATTTTCTAAATACTTTTTAAGATCTATTGAATTGCACAATATAGAAAATAGTGGTAAGTTATATGACATAACCTGTAAGACATGCCAAAATGGCCAACAAGCTCAGCTGAAAGAAATATTATCTAACTTTCCTGCAGGACAACAGCATATAGAAATGGATAAAAAGTGATAACTGAAGGTATACTAAAGAAGTACCTGTCTAGCAATATCAGTTGTGAGCGATGCTTATGTGGACCCTGCAATACACAAAATAAACTGCATGAGAGCAAGAAATATGGAAGGAAATTCCAATTAATTTGCCATGTAATGACCTATCCAGCTTTAAATGCTACTTAACAGAAGAATCATAGTGTATAATTTTCCCTTGAGAAATTGAGGAGGCAAGCACTTGCTATATGGTAAGTACAAAAAAATGTGGCTAAATCTGAAGCAAAAGTCTCCATGTTGGTGACTTGTTTTCTGTAGCCAAGTAATATGCTATGCCATAAGATAATAATTGGAGAAAACATTGTATGGTAGATTGTCTAGTAGTGCATGACAAGTCCATGACCACTTTTTTACTGGCAGCTAAAATTTTTCCTCCAAAAGAGTTTCACATACCTCTCCCATACCAGCTGGATCATCTGCCTTGTAGGCATGTAGTTTGGTCTGCACAGTGTTTGCCAACTCAGCAAGATGAAGACCATCCCTGTTCAAAAAGAATGTGTTACATAGCTGCCTCAGTTACAAGGAAGATGGGTGCCTAGGTAATCCAAAAAGCCTTTTAGTGTAGAGAGAAGACCACACCCTAAGGTGGAAAATCAACACAACCCAGTCATGAGCTCCCTTTCCAGGAACATGTTAAAACTGATTGGACCATTAGAAAAGATAATAAAGAGAGAAAGCTATGAATGCCAAAACAACCATTACAAAACTGCTGAGGACTGCTGAAAAATAAATTTCATGTGGTTGCCTGGGAACTCAACGATTGAGAGGAAACACAGTTGCAAAGTTCCCAGAACCAGCACTTGTGCGATTGAAGGCTGACCAAAGCCTACTAAGTTTTAAGGACTACATGTAACTTTGTCAAACTGCATTTTCATAAATATAGGGATGAAAATAAATCTGTGGAAGAAGAGATCATTGGATATCATACCAAGTGAATAAGTCTTGGAAAAAATGTTTCATAATGGTTTGGTTGTGCATGTCTATCAAGTTATTTTACTTACTTTCTGTATCTTACAGATGGATATTCACCCAACGTAGCACACAGAGTTGCAATCTGTTCAGCTATTTTCTAAGCAAAAAAAATTAGGCCAAAAAAAACTTGGGTGATTTTTGTTTCATTTTGTTTTATACACTCATTATCTGAGCACCATAACATACTAATAATTACAACCAAGGTATTGATAAAATGTTCACTGTCTGTTTTTAACCCTTTTGATGGCAGGTAAAATAATTAGAATTTGAAAAAGAATTCAATATTGTTGAAAGTGAAGACAAGTCAACTCAATAGCTTCAAGTTCTGAATACATAATTTAGATGATTGAAAGGTTAAATTGTTAAAGGGTTAGAAACAGTTCAACCAAACAACCTTGTACCTCAAAATGTGATTCCAGTGCACTAGCAGTTGAAAAAGTTTGAAGCTGAATGCTTCCAGAATCACTCTGAAGTAAATAACACAACAGCAAAAGAAAATGCCAAATATTATATTTAAATTTAAATTTTACGTCTGGGCATAGTTAATTAAAGGATGGAAAAGGCTTCACTTATCATTTACTAGAGAGCTTTGTATTAAATGAATAGCATATTAAACTGCACCTATTAACTAAAATGGACGCAGCATAAAATTAAGATAAAACGCCCTCAACTATCCTACAATAATCTTTTATTACCTTCAAACATTTTACAACAGATGGTTCTCAAGTAGTACTGAGATGTCAATATTTGTAGATTCTGTTCTATGTATTTTTCAAAAATTTTGACCAATGTCCTGGTGTGATAAAAGGCATTGCTCTTTTTCCCTCTTTCCTCACCAGTAAAAATAGTGATAAGCTAATAGCAATATCCTTGAATGAGCTGATTAACTACAGTTTTGAATTAGTTATCAATAATCAGTTTTTCCAACAACATTCATACCTACATGTAAGAAACCGAAAATGATTTCAAAAAGAAAAATCATGGAAGGCCTTCAAATTTTGTATTGCAGCCTCTCCAACTTCAAACAGCTTTTTGCCCTTTATTCCTCTGTTATTTTCAGCCCTTTGTAACTGTTCCAACTAAAACTTATTTTTTTCAATGCTAATGGATTATATAGAATTTAAGGGGAAGCCAGGCAGAGAAATATAGGTCAGGATGTTTCTAAACTTGATGCAGATAAAAACCCTATACACGGCCTCACTTAATTTTGATTCCACTTTAAGAATATGTAACATGTGAAAAGAATTTAATAAATCTGGGGGTGTTGTTGCCAAACAAAACTTTGCACCCATTTCAAACATGTAGTTCCCTTTTTTTGCAATATCATGATTATGATCATTAATAGTCCAAATCTAAACAGTTAGGTACCTCAGAATATTGGAATCGCTGGGACTGGTCTGATGGTTCAGGTCCATAAAAACTGTGAAATGCTTTTGGAGTGTCCAAAGAGTAAACCTGAAAAACAAGTGATTGTTCAAGTTGGATCATTCTTTTAACATTATTAGTAGAATTAAATTTATTCTGTGATAGTCTGGCTAATACCTCCATACATTTGCTGACTCTGGGTAAAGTTATTGAATTTACAGCTAAAAATTTGTGAAAATTCACTCTTCTTTTAACAGTTACCAAGTACATGCAATAACTTATTAACGGCAACAGTTTACCTGAGACTCATATGGTAGAAATGCAATGTTAATTTCTTTCAGGGTCTTCACATCTAAGATAGAACACAAAATGATTGAAGATGATTATCTGTGGTACAGACACCTGTTGTCTGATATTTTTCATTGTCCCCATCTTCAGATAATAAAATAGATAAATATTAAATGAAATAAATTTAACACTAGCATAACCAAAGGAGGTTTTCTGGGTCAAATTTAGAACTTGGAAGGATGATTTTTGTAGAGGGAGGAAAACTAGATAACCTGGAGAAAACCTTTGAGTAAGGACAGGAACCAATAAAAACATTCACCCACACATGATTGATCCCCAAAAGATTATGACAGTAAGAATACCTCACAAAAAGATTAGCCTTAGCTTGTACATTAGAGGGTGACAACAGTGATCAACACCATGGATAGCTTTAACTGTAAAAGAGACTTTTAATTGCAAAGACAATTCATATTGTAACAGGTCCAATACACGTTTTTTTCTTTCACCTTGATGTACATAGTGTACATATTTCCACTATATATCAGTAACCTTGTATCAAGTTCATTAGTATTGTACACTAAAGAAATACCAAACAAGTACTTACATTTGGAAATCTTTGCAATTTCACTGATTAAGGAGTCTGGACAAACTGGTGTGGAAAGAAAGGTACTGCAAATATTTTATGTTACGCAATGATATGATACAAAAGAGTAGAAACTTTCATAACTCAAAAACATTTCAAATTAGTGTTAATCTATCTGCAAATGGGTTTATTCTGAAGCAGCTTTGCAGGATTTCCACAAATTGGAAAAAAAATGCCACATAAAATTTATGTTAGTGCATCAAATGGGGTGCAAAATAAAAATTTAAAATAGACCCAAGGATAAATACCATTTTTTGGAACTAAATTATTCAAAAACATCACTGACAACAACACTGATTTGACGGCTGCTCCATAAACTTACTTTAAACTTTTATAGCCTCTTACTGTCCAAATTGCCTTTCTCTTCTTCATTTTCACTTCACTGGTAAAACATCTGGGATTCTGCACTAATTCAAACCCTGGCTTTTTCTGTTGCCAGGAATGTTTCAAGATGGCAGCTGAGGGTCCGGCAAGTTTGACCCATGTTAAGTCTCAAAAAGCACTCAGTTTTTTTGGATTTGGTGCCAAATAGCCTAGTTGGACCTCGTTTCTTGAAAAAGGCTCCCCTAAAAATAATGAAGTGGGCCACACAATTTGAAGTCCCTTACTTTTAGTCTAATCCCCAGAATAAGAAAATTTTTCAGAAAATTTTGGTGTTTTCTTAGGAGAAGTGGGTTGCCCAAGAAGGTTTGAACTCAAGACTATTTGGAACACTCCAAAACATCTGCAAAAATTAATACTTGTAGAATTCTTAATTATCCCAAAATATTTACTTTGTGCTGATATATACTTCTATGCACCATGGTAAACTGTACCTTCTGTAAAGAATACATGAGCACCCTTATATCTGTGATTTCCTTCTGTGAAGTCTTCAACCAAAGCTTTAACTGACTGTAAGAATTTGAAACCAAATAAATTGAAGTCAGTTACTCAATTAAATTACCTGTGACCAAGATCACTTACACAAATTAACTAATCACACATAGTGTAGTCGTAAAATGCATAATAAGTTGACAATCCAAAGCCATTGTATCAGCTCTATTATGCAGGTAAGGCCTTGTCATAACAAAACTACGGTTCAAGGTGGAGGGTTTAATAGGTTCCCTTTTTGCTTCTTTTCATAGGTAGGAGAGAGCAAACCTCACCACCTTTGACACCTTAAGGTGTAAACTCTGACTGCAACATAATATTTCTGCCACATCTATATCACCATCTAACAATAATTACCAAATCCCACTTGTAAACTATCAATAGCTGGGCTGTCAATAAGTTTGAAAGAAGAGGGAAAATACAAAATAGCATGTAGCCAGGTTCATAGACACTTCATTCATATGTTGTTCTCTCAAATTAGACCCTTGACTGGGAACTATTGACAGTTGAAATGTCCCAGGCTTTCTAAAATATTTGCTTAAACCTTAAAGAAGAATTCTGATTGTAGAATTGATTGACACATTTAAATCTGTTGTTGGTATTCTATATCACTCAAAAACTGGGAAACTGCAGTGGCTGTATAATCTTCTATGTTGGTATTTTAATATTTGTGTGATTTTTCATCTACATGTAAGGCAAAACGAGGTAAAGGTAGTTATACAACCCACCTAGATAATTTCGGTATTATCAACTAAGTTCTTAATGTCAATTGGCAACCGCAAAGAGTTTCAAAGCTGACATATCAAGCACTAGCCCTTTGCCAAAGCAAGTGTTTTGGCCCTGAGAGAGGGCTAATGCTTGAAATATCAGCTTTGAAATTCTTTACGACAGCCAATTTACATTATCAACTCAGTTGATAATACCAAAGTTATCTTGTTATACTTCCCCATCCACACAGCACCACAGTTTCTTTAGAAACTTATATCACCCACCGTTTCCTCGGGTGTCAAAATGTATATAGCCTCAAAGGTTGGTAGTGGTTGGCGGACTTTGGAAATATCTTCAACAACTGAAAAAAATTCATCATGCAGTAAATATGAATATCATTCTGGGCAGATGTCAAAAACATAAATACATCACAATAATAAGGGCTAACACTTGAAATGTCAGCTTTCAAATGTCTTTACCACAGCCAACTCACTTATCAACTCAGTAGATAAAGCAAAACTAATTCAATTAACCTAAATTCTACTGTCCTTCACCAGTCTGACAATGAGTACATACACAAATCTTGCAACTAGGCATTATCCGTTTCCCTCTACAGAACTTTCAATTTGCTGATTACAAAAAAACTAAAGAGAAAAAATGAAATAAATTACCTCTAGCCAGTTTTTTTATTCATACATCTATTTCAAGATGATAAGAAGGTATCAAGTATACAAACGATATCACGTCAATGGACATCATATTCTAAATACAGCAGTGCTAGTAAAGGATCGATTTTGATCGAACAGTAAAATGTTTACGTGCAATATTGCTGCAACATTTCTGCAGATGACGTTGCAGGTTCACCGTTGGGTAATTTATTTCATAGTTCCATGGATTTCTATCTGATAACGATGAGAAGTTATCACAATGATAGTCTTACAATAACCATATCTCTAAAGCTCAAACTTCCAGTGTTGAAGGTAAACAAATATAAAAAGAAAACCTTACTTGTTATGCCTTCCTCGACGATGTCGTGCATTTTGCAGCATGATGAAATTATCCTGGAACTCAGACGATCCACCACAAGAACCTATTATTTTGAAAAATTCAAATTATGTATATTTCCTGTGTTTATTGGTGCTTCAGTCAGCCATCAAGTTAATGTTTACATCACTCTGACAAGTGAATCATAGTTTACTGTGTACTTACCTTCCATTCGTTGGCCGTTTTGACTTCGCGAATCACATCTTGCATTAGACCTTCATGAAGTAAAACAAAAAACAGATTTCATGGATGGCTTAAGGAATAAAAATAATAAGGTAAAATATTCAACTCACGCTGTCCAACCACAGCCTTCAAAGACATGTTTCCTTCTGCTTCGATCACTTTTTATCCACAAAAAAGATGGCGACTTCCCTCAGCAACCTGGCCAAATGGGCGGTGCACACTCCTATTTCGCGCGCGGCGCGTGCTTAGGGCGCGTGAGAGCTCGATACGATAAGAGAGCTAGCGCCTCGTTTTCGAAAGTGTTAGTAGTAATCGACTTTCAACTTCGATCTTGTTTTCTCATTCTGAGGCCATGGACTAGCAGCGAAAAAACTTGCCGAGTGTAATAAGATTAACGAGGAGCAGTTAGTTACTCCACGATAGTTTGAAAGAATTAAAATGGACACCTTTGTCCACCTATATTTAACGTGACAACTTTGTTTGCAATTTTATTTAGACATTCGTGATAGCCTGCAGCTATTTAATTCGCTATGTTGATGTTTTTGGTAATCATAAACTTATGAATTCAATTTACAACAAGCAAAGGAAGGAACAATCTTCTCTGATATTTTATCATTTATTTGTAACCTCAACAAAATTTGACATTCATTAAACGATATCTTAATTAACTTTAAATTCTACACTTTTATGTCACTAAAGGATTGCTGAAATTATCATTTTAATTTTAATTAAACTTGTGTAATCATAGAATCGATACGTAAACGTTCAGTTTTATTGAATACCACTGGTGCGGCATCCTGATTTTGCCAACCTTCCAATCCAGCGACAAATTTCCTTCACCTTTTTCGAGGTCAAGCGTGTCATGACATTTTTCGCCTTGCTATTGACTGTTCCCGACAACACCCCGATGACATATCGATTTTGGTTCCTATTGTTTAACACATAAACGCCGGCTCCCGAGCAACCTCCAGCAGCGTCGCAGGTGTTCATGATGACTGTTCGGTAGGTGGTACTGTTCGGCTGCCAACCGACAGGGCACGACGAATACCACATTGAATTTTCTCGTTTGTCGTTCGGAAAGCAGGCGAAGTGCATGGCGCTGAATTGCTGGAGATTCTTCATGGAGAAAGCTTTGATGCGGAGATACGGTCTCCCATGGGGTCTCTTGAGGGTTAAAATTGCATAATCGATTTCAGGATTCATAGGGGTTGTGCCGTACCATGCACGCGGGAGAGAAACTTGTCTGACACGATACCAGGTAAAACGTTGGTTACTCTGAAGCACACCAACGTTTAACGATCGCCTCGGTGCCAGTAACTCATTTCCGTTGTGAAAACAGTGTGCGGCAGATAAAACGTGCCGGGGCCCAACCAGGACTCCGGAGCATGACCCTGCGCTGGGACTGATCTTGACTTTCACCATAGCTCCAAATGGCAGGCGTTGCGCTGATTCAGGTTTTACGCGAAGTCTATCATCTGAGCCCACGATACTCTTCCTCTTGTATTTGTCAAATTCATCTGCGTTTTCTTGTTCAAAGGTAGCCTTCTTAATCTCCACTTCATTTACGTTAACGGCATCTGTAACAAAATTGAATTTTTGGAAATTAGAGGGGAAATACTTTTTTAGAGCTGAAATCGATTCTCTGTTTACTGGAAGCATTGTCTAAGGTAGTAACTTAAATCGAAACGTTCTCTGTACTTACTTACCTTGATAATCATTTTCGAAACCTCGACAAGAGATGAAATCACTAAGAATAAACACGAAAAGAATTCTGGAGCAAAGCATTTTCTTCACCAACCAGCGTTGAATTAACCAGTTTTCTTCTGGGTTCGACTTCAATTCTGATCGTCTTTTATAGAATTTGTTAAGAATAACTTAATTAGGTTTGTAAAACACGTACATACTACGCCCACGGCAAAAAAATTGAAAAATGACTATGTCAAAACAGGATAAACGAAAAGCTTCGTGGGGACTTCCTTTTTTTTAATGGAGTGAAGAAAGTTACATAACAAGTTCTAATCATAAAACTCCAAAGCTAGAGCTGCACTTCTTCATTCCGAATCTTATGAAAACTAACAGAAAGGATTGTAAAATGTTACATTTGTAATAACAGGTCGTCCAAGCTCCGTTATACGATCATATCTGTAGTATATTAGCAGATAATGCCATTGCGCAATGGGAAGATTTGTGTAAGGAAACAATTTTATTTACAATTCAAAAAAAAAAAATGAATGGGATTTGCACTAAGTAAACTGATAAGTTGAAGTCTTTTGCTTCAAATCGTTTGGCGCTGAGAAAGTTGGGAAAATTTTTCTCAAAATTTAAAAACGCTTGGGGCTGACATAGCATTAATAGTTATCAAGCTTATCTAAATGAGATACATTTCTTCACAGATACATCGAAAGTGAATAGAACAGCCGCAGAATGATTCTTCGCTACAAAGTTAGTAAACAAAGTTGTCTGTTTATCTTTCAAACTTGAATTGATTAAGTTCATTTAACGCCAGATATATTTAGAGCCACTCTGATCTAAAATAAAGCCACACGTGATTACCCTTCTTAGCCACAGTTTATTGGAAATTATTAGCGACAAACGTTGAATGATGGGGAAATTATCTTTTATTCAAACAAATGCGTGGGCAGTATTTTATGAAAATGATATAAGGAAGAAGTTTTATTCAACCTTTGGGAGTGATAAGCTTTAAATTGCAACACACAATCAACAACACCCACAATCCATATTTAGGGATTTCCCAGATAATTGCTGTTTCGTAGTAGAAGAACAGTTAGTAAGGCTTATAGAGAGTCATACCTGCACGTGCTAAATAATTTTGTTTTAAGCTGCAAGGGAATCATTTTACAATACACATTTTTGATATGTCTGTCCTATATTTACAAAATTTACAGGAAATTTTGCAATTGCATATGAACATCTGGAAAACAGTCACGCCGTTTGAAGTTGTCGCAAGGAGTGTGAAATATCCCAAGAATAATCTCTGCAGCCTTTGAAAGGAAACAAAAACAAACATAAATCCAATTGCCTCTAATCTAAAAGTAAGGTTGGGAGAAGAAATTTTAATTAAAAAAAACATTTTTTCCGCAGTTTTATTTGACTGTTCCGGTTGAAAATCCATTAGGTGTTAACAACGTGTGTGACTCAGACCCGACCAAAAGAAAACGCGAGATCGCTGAAAAAGCGTAACTAACATCAAGTGATCAGATATACGTTCCTGAAAATGCAAACTGCCAATGTCATGCAGCGTGGACCAAGGTCGTGAAACAAAAGCTTCCTTCTATCAGAAAAAGTATTACCATTCGAGGAAAAAACCCCTGAAGATATTTTCCATATTCTATTCCGGGTTTAGAGCATTAAGGATTAGGAACTGTTCATGATAAAGTTTTCTAATATGGTCTTAGGTCAAAGTGCAGTTCTTTCATTGTATTTTTGAGTTAGGTTACAATCTAATCAAATTTCTTCAATATCTATTCCGATACAACTCAGTCCAATTTTCTATTGCAGATTGAATGAATAACAAATGATCCTCAATGTATAAAGAAAATAGAACCAGGAAGTTTGATATTAAATATAGCCTTGAAAAGATTGATTGATTAAACTGACTTACACGTACTAGTTTCTCGGCATTCAAATTCACTCCCGAAACAAGCAAATTATCCATTTCCCTTTCTCATGACCACTCCCAAAATCACCAAAATACTGCTTAGTTACGCAAGACTTTTCAAGAAATAGCTCTCTAAAGATCAAGTATATAAATACCACGGATGGGAAATCATAAAAATGAAGATAGTCCAAATAAACACATAAGGGAAAAAAACTATTTTTAAGGGGATCTTTTACATTCAGTATCGCCAAAACTGAGAACTTTCGCCCGCCCCTTTTAGAAAATAAAATACAAGATTATTTCCGATGATCAAACAATATTTAGATACTTTTCTAAGACTTAAAGTATAGGTAAAACAAAACATTGCTCAAACTGTACTGTACAAGAAAAAATGGTATGCTTTTCTAATTTTGAGGTTATTTTGCCATTTCTGTATCTGTGTATAGAAGCATTAACGTCTCTTCTTAATTTCGTTGCTGCCTTTGTTTTCACTTACAAAACATTAAAGGACAAAAGGTATATAATAATCAGAATTTTAAATCTGGGAGCCGTTACATATGTAAGTGGTTCAAGTAATTATTGTGTCGTGCAAAGTGTAAACACAAACTTAAAATACCGAATTTTAGTAGAGGTAAAAGGTGAGTAACTCGTCGAATACTCAGAGTAAAAGGAAACCAGTGTTTCATTTTTGGCAAGCCTCTGTACATCCTTCACGTGTATCTTGAAGTCATTATCTCGTACTTGATTTTTTTTAATAACTCTGACTTGAGATATAAATTAGATCAATTTGGAGTTGGAGTAGAATTTTAAAATTGGAATACGAGTTCGACTCGGAGTAGAGGTGTAAGAATACCTAAATAAGGGAATTAAAACTTAGTTTATCCGGCTTCGCGACTGTGTATGTAGCAAGTGCAGAAATGACCACAAAAGTTTTTTTTTGCGATAAAGTAAACGTAAGTTATTAGGATAAACATTAAATGCTAACCCACAATCGTTTCTTATCGAACACTGATGCCATAAGACAACATAAAAAGTTCAAACTAATATTATTGATTCTTAATTTTCATGAAGAAAGGTTAGCATGATGGTAAAGATGTTTCATTAGGATTTGTCAGTAATCAATCCTTGATTCAAGTCAAGAAAAGTCCATTGCAGCTTAGAATGGTTTGTAATTATGCAACAACTTGCTGATATGCAGGGTTCCCTTTCGAAATCAAGGGGTGTTTGTAATATGCGTACAGCTACGAAATTTTTCTTCCTTAGAAAAAACTGACCATATTACTCTTTATACTGGTACTGGGTTGTGCGCGCCAATCATGAAATCCCCATTATTTGCTATGATGTTCAATACCCGGCTCTCAAATACCCCTCCCTGGTTAACCCCTTTAACCCCTAAGAGTGACTAACATCTAATTTATCCTTACAACATCAGCCCTGAATCAAACATTAAGGTCATGAAAATAAAGGAGATGACCACCAACTTAAGAATCTCTTGATTGTTAAACAAATTCTCCGTGTTGGAACCTTAGGAAATGTCTAGGGAGTAGTATGGAGAACATGCATACTGATCAGGTTAGAGAGTAAAGGGTTAATGAATAAGGGGTGGTAACGCCAAGGTAAGCCTGGCATACATTATTACGGTAATCTATGGAAAGCCAGGAAAATTATAATAAGTATATGCGTGGTTGTTCAAAACAATTATTATCCTCTTCGTTTGTATGTGAAGCAGAGTGCTTTAAAAGAAAAACAAATTTAGGCGAGGTTAACAAACCCCACACATGTTCTCTCTCGTGCAGCACTCAGACGAAAAGGTTGTGGAAGTCAGTAAAGATTAAAACTTTATTTGTAACATTTTTATCCATTTATCACCATTACAATCTCCAAATCACTCTAACACATATATATAACAATTCAGTCAGTTGTAATCTTCCACCTTAAGGGAAAGAACCAACCAAAATTCTTAATTATAGATCATTCTTAATTACAGATTTTTTAAGAAAAAAAAAGTATCAACGAATATTTTATTTTTATAACTAGCTTCAAAACTCAGCTATCCGAAAAATTAAGCTATCTGCAATCTTATTTTAAGCTATCTAAATATTTTGTCAAAATATTTGCTGGTTAAAATATTTTATAGTTTTGCCATAGTTATTCTCACCAACAATACAAATCAGCCCAAATTAGGAAATATTGTGTACTACTTCTTTTTGGAGGATTCTACGCGCCGTTTGAGTCTCTTTTTAATTTGTACTACATCCTCACAACAGAGATACGCCTCCTGTGAAAGGATGAGAGGCGATGTAATGAGATTTAAGGGCATTCTTCTGATAAAAAGCCTTCTCACAGTACTGACACTGAAATGGCTTGTGTGGCGCATGTGTTCTCTTGTGTGTGTTCAAAGTTGAAGCCAGTGTAAAACCCTTGCCGCAGATATCACACGTGAATGGTCTCTCTCCCGTGTGACGGTACACGTGCGCCTTCAGGTTTCCCTTCTGATTAAAGCCCTTGCCACAAAACTCACACTTGTACATGCGCACGTCAGAATGTGTTCTCATGTGGTAGGTTAAATGGGTCAGCTGCTTGAATCCTCGCCCACATTTCTGGCACTTGTGGGGCTTTTCTCCCGTGTGCGTGTAGCGGTGGATCTTCATGTCAACTTTCTGGTGGAACCGCTTGCCGCAGAATTCGCAGCTAAATGGCTTGTAGTCGGAATGTGTGCGCATGTGGGTGTGAAGGTTAGAAGCGCGGTTAAATGCTTTGTTGCACTGTTGACAGATGTATGGCTTTGACGTTGTGTGAGTAAGCTGGTGACGAGTCAGGTTACCAAGCTGTCTAAAGGCGCGGTCGCACTGTTTGCAGACGTAAGGCTTGTCTCCAGTGTGAATTCGTTTGTGCGTTACGAGAGTACTGGAGCGAGTGAATGTTCTACCACACTCGTCACATCTATGCTTGGACCTGGGCTTTTTAGCATGGCTGTTTTCATACGCCATCATGCGTTGCTGTTCGCTAACAGCTGCAGTGTCGGGGGAATTAGCGATGTCTGTTGAATCCACTGCTCCTTCATCACAAGTGTTAACTTTTTTGGCATCCAGTCCATCGGTCCACTCTCCTTCAAGCGGAATCTCGTTTGAATCCTCCGCCTCAGTAACATTACGAGGAAAAGACCAATTTCCTGTATCTTGAACACTTTCTTCCCTCTTTTGGACATCTCGTGGCCCCTTTGCCATACTTTCTGTAAATGAGTCGCACAGTGGAGGCCTGGTATTCCAGTGCATGGCCGAGATGTTGAGCCCAGTCTCCGACTCTTTACCGTATGAAAAAAACAGGGCCTGGTTGAAGGCAGCCGCTGATTGGCTATCCTCATTTGCATTTGGCGTATCTTGGAACCAACGTTGAAGTATCTCGTTGTTTTCTTGTTTCACTATTGAAGCTTTCTCACGTTCAAACTTTTCACGGAGGAAAATGCCATTGTGGTCAAACAAGGATGGTTGAATGGCATCTCTTCTAGGGAACATCGGTTTGAAAACAGGGTCAACAGTGTGACAAATGACGGACGCACGGGGGTGGTGACAAGCAAAGCGTGGTGCTTTTAGATGCGGCAAGGCAAGTGATTTGACTGACGTCCCTGGTAGACTTTGGAACTCTGTCCTATGACTGTGATATGGTAGATGTAATGACGGGTAGAAGTAACTTGACGCGGCTGGCTCACGATGGTACATAGAGCCTCGCTGAACAATAGAAAACGCTGATCTGTGAATAACCGGTTGCATTTTCTTTGCCGCCATTGATTCATCAGGGTTCGAATTGTCTGCTGATAAAAATAGAAATGATGAGGGGTTGGAAAAATGAGAAAGTAGGAAAAAAAAAATATTTCGTAGGCGAATATTATTACAACATTGTGGTAGCAAAAAAGCTTTACACGTTTAAGGAATTTCGCAATAAATCTTAAAATGTAAGAAGCGTGGAATTTTTAGCCCCTTCTCTGCATTAATTAGTTGCGGCAGATCAGAACGCGGCGGAATTAAAATAAAACCCCACATTGGTTAAGTAATTAGTGTAATAAGTACTTGATTCAAGAGATTGCAAAATCAGATTGTTCGTTACGAGGTTGAAAAAAGAGACGTGCTCAATTAGTTTAGATTTTAAAAGGAAGCAGTATCGATAACAAGCATCGAGAAAATAAAATAACTCGGATGAAATTCTATCGAATTTTTGATGAATTTCGTTTTTGCTTGAATATTAGCAAATACTAAGTTTTTTGGTGGTACATCGGCACAAAAAAACCGGCTAAATTTTATCAATCTTATTTGACTTTGCGTCCAAATCAGTGTATAAAAAGACTAAAAGCTATGTATATGTTTCTTAACACCATTTGGGTTTTTAAAGCGGTTCCAGCTATTTCGAGCCTGTCTTAAAATTTACCCACTGTTGCGCAAACGTTGTCCAGAACATACTATTATTCAGTTAAACTGAAATAAAATAGTAAAAAGAGTGTAATATCATACCATGCAAAATTTCCAGTTAAGTAGAGACAGCCATATGGGATGGGTACAAAAGCAATCGCATTAAGAGACCAAAAAAATCCTAGACCACTTCTCCATTCAATTCACAACTATACATTCAATAAAAAAAAACTTACTGCGACTGTTTTCCGCTGCAACGCCAGTCTCCTCTTTGATCTGATTACTCCTCACAAGAAAAGCTCGAGGCATCTCAATCTCTGTTAATGAGTATAAAACCTGCAAAAGTCCAGATGTAAATAACACAGTTATTTCACAATGGACTGGTGAGGTATATCTCTACGTAAGTACTCCAATTGGAAAGTTAAACGAAATCGGATTTTGAGTGCGAGCTTACCGTGTAATACCTGGCTGGCCTCTCTCGTGGTTTTCAGCACCGCTGTGATGTGCATTTGAGTTCGAGCTGTTCAGAACAAATGAACGCTACCGGGGCGCACTCCTATATCAGTCTTAATTGCTGTACCTTTTGTTGCTTCGCAAAAGAGAAATACACCGACGTCATAAAGACTTTTACTGATTAAAATGTAAAACGTTAATTGCTTTTTAGACATCAATGGTAATAGACCATTACTTGAAGAACCTTTAAAGTTATGCAATAAATTCTTAACTATAGTGAAATTTATCCTCTCTTTGAGGTATAAATTCACTTATCATCTGCAAAAAATGTTTATAACAGCTTCCAGTTTCTTTTTTTTTTGACAGAATTGAAAATTTCACATACCATGGAAATCACTACTTTTTCTAAGTGCTATATTTAGCACCATTTATTTCGACTGCTCGCCCGCGTTTTAGGTCAATCAAAGCTGCATTACTCAATAACAATTGGAGCCATTTGTTACCTAAGCTCCTATTACTTCCTTTCTGCATAAACTTCATTGAACTAACATTTCTGATCCATTCACTAACACACCAAAAAAAAAAAACGGATATCATTGTGGCTTGGAGTTTCAGTGCATCAACGTAAAAAAGAAAATCGGAGATCTAATTGAAACCAAGCAACGTACTTTTTCTTCAAGCACGAAACAACTTACAATAAGAAAAGATATTCTTGCGAAATAAAAATGAAATTCATTCTTCTCTTTTTTAAAGGAAGTGACGGATTGACCATCGCACAAAAATAAACAGAAAACATCAAATCAGACAGGTTTATTTTCACACGTAATCAGTATGTTTAGTTTGTGCACAATTGGGTCGTAGAAAGAGAGGTAACTCATTGAAAAGAAGAAAACTTTTGAATAGGAGTGTTTCTTGTTTTTTTGTTGTTGTTTTATTACTATTTTTGTTTTTAAAGTTTTGGCTAAGTGAATCCACAGCTGAAAAGTTCATGAATTTACACAGTAAGATAATATAACTCTCAAGCTTGTAAACTTCTTTTGAAAACTATCTTGACTTCTCGGTGGCATTAACTGTATTTTACATCCAATTGTGGTTAAATTTATGAAGTGCAGTTGGCTCCAGGCAGCTGTTCACAGCTCCTTGAAAAAACTCAAATGACAAACAAGACAGGCGTAATATTTGAGCAGGTGAAACATCAGCGAAAGCGTTTGTTTAACTTATATTTGGTGAATTGTAGTTTTGAAACCCACAATCACACGTAAAATGGGAATTCAGGAAAAGATTCAGGCAGTTGACTGCTAGTCATCCTCTAATGGAAACTTTCCTGCTGCCAAAGGAAATAAAAATGAAATTCAAACATGAAATTCAAGAAGGTTCCTTTTACCCGCGCGAAATGTTTTAAGTAGCATGTAGCACGCATGACGCGTGTGAAAAACTTCAATCTCGTATCCTCGCGACACAAAATTTCAAATCTTTCAGGAAAATTGTGCCTGCTGGGCGGTTGGTTTCCACAATTTGGAAATTTACACTGTTTCTCGTATCGTTCTAAATATGGATAATCCCAGTTTCTCTCTCCTTCGATCAAGTCAATACTTAATACACCACATAATTTTTTCTGATGCAAAAAAAAATTGAAAATGCGTTTGTGAAAATATTTGTCTTTTTCTCACGATAATTGATTTACCTAAAAGCATATTCTCTACTTTTGTGCAAGGAATTGTAACATGAGAAGTAATTGGCCCATTGAATTTCTGATAGTACGATTGAGGAGAAAGAGTTTCTCGATTATTGAGAAGTTAGCATTTTTTTCTGAAAATAATTTTACCAAATTACACAGTTATTAACGGTATTTCTCTAAAAATGAAAATTTATCATGACAGTATTTGTTCTGGAGACTATTCACCAGTTAAGAGTCAATGGAAACTAAGGGGGGTGTGTCTCTGTACAATTCTTTTGTAGAGAGTAACAGGTAGACACCGTATTTTAACAATGGATATCAATCTTATTTGTTCCAAGTATCAATAAAAGGCATTAAAAATCGAGTATTCATTCTAAAAGACTTGGGATAGATATTCGACACAAAAATGGCTCTAATTGATCTTTTTGTCCACGCGAATTTAAATGCAAACAATAACTTTCAGGCTCCAGCAATAAGCTAATGGCCATCATGAAAAAGAGAATTTTTTTTTGTTTGTTTGAAGAGATAGCCATTGAATGATGTCTTTGAAACCGCTTTCCTCACCAAAAATTCACCTATAAGGCAAGTAGTTTGACTTAAAGATAAGGGAAATGATAATTTCAGAGTCAAATAGAGTCCGCCTTATGTACTCGAGTGAACACTCTCCTGGTGAAAACTATTAAGCGATCACTTTGTGAGTAACCTCTTTGTTTCTCAGTCATGAACTTGCTGATGCTCGAATTCTTTAAATGTCCGCGATCACTGAAGTGGGCAGACATTTATCAAGTTCTTTTGTTCTGCGTCTTCTGTAAGCTGCGACCGCACATATGATCCCAAAACAGTTTTTTGTTATCAATTATATAAATCCAATGCAAAATATACAACAAGTCAATCGAGTACTCTGGATATCATGAAAAAAATGGTAGCCCTGTTATGAGAGACTAATTTCTAGTCCAAGTTCCAAAAACGAAAATGAATGACTGAATGGATTTCGTGAAGTATGTTGCTTGAAGCAGGAAACTTTTTCTTACTATGTATTTTTTCTTTACCTTGACTTATAAAGCAGAAATATCAATAATTAGTAGATCTACGTGGTTTATTACTTTAAGCAAACGCTTTACCAGCACCAAGGAATGTCTTTTGAGAGACTGGGCGTAACTCAGTTGTTATAAGTTCCGATGCAATTTTCAAGCATGATTTTTAACCAAAGATCGTAATGTTCATACACTTTCCACACCTATACATAGTTCTCCGGATTATTCATGTTAAAGTTACTTCATTTTACGTCTGATTAGTACTTTTTGTAAAATGGCAAGCGCTTCAGTAAAAATAAAACGACTTTCAAGAAGAGGGTGATAATGATGGCAAATAAACTCCATCTGGTTGTTTGCGGCTACCTAATAACGTCCTTGCTCTCAATCAAGTATTACCAGAAACCTCAAAGTATCTCTCTTCTACTGAGACTGGTCACTGTCATTAAGTTTTAGCCAGTTAAGTAAGTGCGAACCGACAGTACCAGATCTTCACAGGATAATAATAATTTACCAGGAAGTCGAAGATTTATCTTTAGATTAAGCTTTCAACGAACAATGCAGAAGAGAACAGTGCTTTTCATCTCATAAACACGACAGTTCGGGCAATCACGGAGTACAAGGGTCACTACACGCGTTAATAGGTTTCAGTGGAGTGACAGCTTTTACGGCTAACGGTTCATTTCTTTCCACTGTGATTAAAGTAATAAATTTTCTGCGGTTTGGCTTTTTTTACGACTACCAGATAAAAATTTGTTAAGTTTTTTCGCCTAACGGCTAGCTTTTTTGACCGTTTTATGGCTTAACACCATTGAGACCCTCGTGTTACACATGGTAAGGGCATCTCAAGGTGATACTTGTTCATTGGGCTGACAAGTAGGTACCCGCTGTAATTAGAGTTGTTTATTTTTTCCTTTCTTTCCCAAGCATTTAGATGAACATGATAATTATCGATTAATTTCTTGGCTCATCTGCGTTAAATGAAATGTTTCATTACACTCTTGAATCCCACGATGCCACTGCAAATAAACTGTTCAAAGCTGAGGTGACATTTACCTCTAGTTTCCGTTCGAAGAGCTGCCGTCGCACAAGAATTCAAATGAACGTTTTTGTCAAGAAAAAAATAAGACACAATGCTTTATACAAGCTTGGTTTTTCATAAACCTGTAAAGCAAGTCTTTTATTTTGTCGGAACTATCATAGTGAAATCATTTCATAATGACAATATTTTAACAAGTCTCAGCATGAATTGATGGTAACAGTACGTGAGGTCTCTATTTGTAAGGTAGAGGATAAAATCGGTTAGTGTGTTTATTGAACATTATTTTCAAAGGGATTAAATCCTTCAATGATATCGTATTTTCCTTCTTTTAACCGAGGTTCGACAAAGAACTGATTCAGGCCAATCAGAAACATTGGTGAAAGATTTACATTGTGCCTGAAAAACTTAGTGAATTGAAAAAAGAACTTTGAAAAGATCAGACAGTTAGTATGTTGAAAGGTACATTACCTAAACGTGCAAGAAAATGGTAATCTCAGTTTTTTTTTTAATTTGAAAGAGCCACTACATGCGCCGATTATAAACAGCGTTCAGTCTTTCAATAATCGGCAATCATACAAAATGTCCACTAAATCAGAAAAACTGAGTAATCCAAATTTTTTTATTCAGTAGAGAGAATTCTTTGTAGTAGTCTGAACTTTCTTTTGTATATAACAAGGCATTATCTTTCGAAGGAGTAGACCTAGGTCTACAGTCCCTAGCTTGTTCCAGAGTACGTCCATCACCTGTTCCCGGTGATAAGAATACTCTGAAGCCTCTCAGATACCCCACCTCTCCCATAGAGACAGACACCTGAGAAAAGTTAACAGACTGAATACTGTGTGAGCAACATTTATTGTTATTCAAGTACATATAAATCTGCTATAGTGTGAACCCTACAACGGAATATTGAAAAAGAACATCATGATGGTACAACCCCTTAAATCTAATTTAAAGACTCATTTCTCCTTGTTTACCGCAAATGTGTAGCTACTTTTGTTCGTGTTCAACACTTTTTCCTTTTCCAGGTATGCTTAAGGCCTTGATTGCTTATCGCTTTGACATGTTAATCTTTTCAACCGTTTAAACGAATAGTTAGTGGTGATAGCCAATTAACTCTTTTCCGCTTATCCAAAATCATAATTCATAAAAATCCTATATTCTTTAAAGAGCCACACAAATGGTTTCACTTAGATTACGTACCATTTCCTTCAAGTGACCAGTTATTTTTCATAATCTTTATATTTGAAAGAGAGTAATCATAAGGAGATATTTGTTCAAAGGGAGTTTAATTTGCAAAGATGTAGTTTAACTGAAAATAAACAATAAATTCTTGTCTGCATTCACATCTTTTATCATAATACACCTCATTGTCACCGCTTGAGTTTTTATTGAGAACCTCCTGTAGTGTAGCAACTGAGCGCCGGTGCTTTGAATAAGGATTACTCTTTAACGTGTACTGTGATCAAAGGTTGCAGCATTTCAGATTACTTTTTGCAGGTAAAACTAACTATAAACAATGTGCTATTGTAGACAGTCTAACAACAGAGGGTCGAGCTGATGAATACTGCCACCCTAACCAAACCCTAACTCTCTCTCCAATTATCTTTGTCATTCAAATGTCATTTCGTTTAAAAAAGAAAAAAAACAATAAAGATAATGCATCATTGACTAAATGACAATAGTTGTTCCTGGTTAAGTTAACACGTTGATTTACAATTGATTAGTAATTGATTTCTGATTAAAAGGTCAAGGCGTAACCAGAAAATTAACCTTTGATTCATAAGTCAAAGAGTTTTGGCCGCGCGTTCGGTTTAAGAGCCCGTTTTCTTCCCCTAAAAAAGCTGTTTCCTGACCCGCATGTTATCGTTTGACCGGAAAACAATTTGGCTGGAAAACGCCAATTATACTCTAAGTGATTTCATTTTGGTCCTCTTCCATGCAATTTTTATAAAACTTTCGTAATTTGATTTCTTACTTATCATGTAATTCCTTTTTATGAGATCGAATAAAGGCGTTATACGATTTTAAGTCCAGCCAGTTGTTGGAACAACATAATGGAACAACAGTTTTCAAACGAGTGTCGCAAGTAATCTGGACTGAATTGTCGATCGATTGCATTGGTTTTACTTTACTTTGCTCAGAGGCCAGAAAACTCGCGCCACCCTCTCAGCCAATCCGATGTAAGTCTAACACCAAACTAAACTTGGTCGCCCGTGTCTTCCCGTCCTTATTAGTTTAAGTTCTCCCTGGCTCCTCAGGTTATTTTCCTCTCTCCTTATTGGCCGTTGTAAATACATCTACTTTGGTTAACTTTGGTGTTGTTTTTACAGCGCTCAATCGAAAAGCGCTTTAATGAAGCTTATTTCCCACTTATTCGTTCACTCAAAATGATTTCGACCAACGACTCTTAGACTCAGTGAACCTCAGAGCTATTAAATTAGGAAACCGCTTCAGGCAAACCTTTTAGTAATCCAATCAGAGCGTGAACCCATTTGACTTTGTTGACTACACTTAAATTAGTTTAAATGTGACTCCTACTCAGGCCTTTTTTCCGCTTGATTATGCCAGGGAAATTCAGCGATAAACCATCAGAGAAAGCAAGCATTAATAGGCAAAGTCCCAAAAGCCTTCAAATAAGTTTAGTCCAGTTATTTTCTCCAATTAAAATACAATGACACCCATGATGTCTAGATCTCAGTGTACCACCTCATAACGTAATCGGTTTAACACTTTTTTCCTGTAAAAAATAATTTGTAACCTGTTATCACTGCCGCTCCCCCTTTTTTTCTTGCTTCATAAACCAGGCCTTAAAATGATTTTCTTTTTTGCACTTCAATTGAGTCGAGGAAAGCAAGTAAGGCTTCTCATGAGTGAGACGAGGAGTGCATCCTCTCGCACGCGACTCCTCCTTTGCCTTGTGCTTACTTTTGCTCGTTTGTTCCGCATTTCGCAATAACAATGGATCAAATCATATTGGTGAAGATTTCCTCATCTAGGATCATCTGCGTAGCTGGCGGATTTCGAGCGCCCAATGAAGATAATCAAGGTGCGCAGATGAGAAGCAATGATATTCTTTCCCATTCCTCTAGCGGCTTAGCGTTTCATTTTCACGGTCCATCGCTTAAAACTGTCACTAAACCCTTTCCATCACAATATTTTATTGGTATTTCTCCTAACTGTCAACCAGACAATTCTTATAATGTTAGTTTGGAGAATTTGTTATTGGATCAACTAGTAATCTGTTAATTCACATTTCTATTTATTCTCGTAACTTTCCTGCTTGATATTGTACTGATTTGTACGGAGATATTGTCTTGGTCACTTAAGGAAGCAAAGAGTTAACAACTATTGGCTAGATTCACGATATATTTCTCCTAGTTACTACATTATCTGACATTATAACATAGCGCGTAAATTTGTTCAATAAAATTCAATTGCGTGAGCGTGCTTCATATTCCTATTGTGCACGCTCATGACGTCCGCAAACAAATCCCTCGAGAAAAAAAATTTTCTCCGCCATTTTTTACTCTGGGATTTTACTATTAAAAACTAGTTAAGACTTCGGCGGGAATTTAAGCTACACATGGAAAGTTGTGAGCCAGCTGATGAGGAAGAAATGTTTTCCTGAAACAAAATTATCAACGCGCTGAAGCGTAGCAGAGGGAATATTAACCCCTTACAACATTTAAAGCATCGGGTTGAAAATGTTATAAAACAATTGGTTCATACGTCAGCTGTGCGTTCATCGAGATATGAAGCACGCGGGAAGTTTGAAGAGCACGAAAGATGCGTAAGAGTTGCTTGAGGCGTAGCCGAGGGCAACTCTAGCTTCTTTCGTGCTCTTCAAACTTCCCGCGTGCTTCACATCTCGATGAAAATACGCTGACGTATGAACCAATTATTAATTGAAAACTGGCTCAGTGAACCTTTAAGATTTGAGCATTTCACAACGTAACTTATTTAGAAGATACCTATTCTGATAAATTCACATAAATTTCATTCTTTATTTGTAACATTTCCTTTTACTGAACTAAATCTTGTTCACTCTCTTTATAACTATGATTAAAACATCTTTACAAATACATCAAAAGCGTTTTTTTCGCATTTTCACATCCGCATGTCCCAACAGACTGGACTTGGTTGTAAGAATTCGTGAAAATACGAGCACCGCTTTTCAGAAAGCGCTCCTCCTCTAAAAATTGTTGAAACTACAAAACACTTCCAAGGAAAAGCTCGGCAGAGTATCAATGACTCGTGAAAGGGAGGCACTATGCTGTGATTCGTTTACATTTATACTTCCGTTCATCTTTTTTTTTCGCCACGTTCTTTATCGTCGAAAGATTCCCATTATTCCATAATTCGTGCATAAAATATAAATACATAAATAAACGAACAAAAACTAGAGTGAAGCAATTTTCAATTGACTGTCGAAAGTCATCCGGGCAATGCTCTTCCTTGACTTCGCTTTGTGATTGGTCGAGAAAACTCGTACTACCCTCTCAACCAATCACACACAAAACTAAACCTTGGTCGTTTGCGTTTTCCCGCACTTCCGGCAGTTGGCCTCTTTTTACCCTGAGGTCTCAATGACTCCTCGTACTATTTTCCTTGATTCTGACTAGCTGCTGTAATTTCTTCGGTTTCGTTCAAGCGACACTCAATTAAAAAGCGGTCCACCACTACACCATAGCTTTAATGAAACGATCATTAATTCAATAACACTGTAAACGAGACAAAAATTATACATATAACGCTTTATCAAAAACCGATAGCTCGCAACAGGTCTTTCTCTTTGCACCCGGTTCGTAAAATAGATTACTTCGCCGACAAAACGAACATTCAGTCAGCAATATAATTTGTAACTCTTCTAAAATGTATACATCCAGCTGCGCAGCAAGATTCATAGCTATGCAGAATGACTCTAAACTTAGGTGTCTCTCTTTGAGAGAACCGACCTCAACGCTTATCCTCACTGCAGTGTCTGCATATTTTACCTAACTAGTGACTTTACCCTAATCCAGAGCGGAGTATATCGGTTGCTCTTGGTACCAATTTCAGAGAGTATTTAGGATTATTTATATATTACGTTGAATCGACGACAAAAGCTGAGCCAGGTTGATCAAAAGCTGTCTAGCACTATTCCAGGGTTTATTGCATATGTTACCGGGACAATTATAGCTGAATTAAACCCAGTTATGCTTTGAACAACTCTACCCAGCGCAAATTCTATCTGTTACGTTGGGACACTTGAACTGTTTGGCACTCCTTCAGTCCTTTTTGATGTGCCCTGATCAACCACTATTTCAGGTACCTCTTCCACAGCACCTGGACTTTGTGGACTGTCTTTTCCTTCTGGTCCATCAAGCGAAGGCCAACTAGAGGTCTGCTCCAATTTTTGAAGCCTCTCATTTAAAGCTTTCAGCGCCTTTTGTCTAAAAAAAAGGAAAACGAGGAAGCATTTGAAGTACAGTCTTTGACATCTGTCAGTTTTTTTGTTTCGATTAAAAAAGTGTTCACAACAACTTCATACAAGATTTTGCAGATGAATGTTCTCAATGTTAGAGATTGAAATGGAGTAATGTTCAAGAGGGTTATAAGAAATCTGCTGGAAAATACAGAACCAATATGGTATTGTGTCTACAATTGTAGAGCAAGCTTGATATTTCCATCACAAGGTCCTTTACATGAAGCCCTTGGCTCCTACCTCTACCAAATAGTTCAAAGAGACTCTTCAAGCACTTGATTGCAAGAATCCAGTCTCCCAAGTGATACTTAATGTTATATCAGTAAAAAGTCAGTTTCATCTACTCAATACCTATCAGCTGGTGGATAAAGAGTATACCTACAGCACATAGGAAAGCTCTGTCTAAATTTGAATTTACTCTTACTTTTAATTGAGTTAAGAACTTAAGAATTGAATAAGTTTTCAGATATTTACTTCACCAGTTATCAAAATGTTTCCTGTTTTCTTCCCAATTTTAATCAACCCTTACTCTACAAGAACCATGTCCTCAACCCACACTATCTTCTGTCAAAGAAAAACACTCTACCTTCTCCTTTCAGCATCTGCTGGATCCATTCCTGGTAAACTGATTGTTATGGCTGATGGCGCCCCCACATCATATGTTCTGATAGGTTTGTGGCACACTTTCAGACCAATCAGTGTGTTAAATACAATTGTTGATATTGTCCTCACTGGTGGCCTGTGTTAAAAATAGAAAGCATAACTATTACTCAAATTTATTTCCTAACACCTTTGGAGAAAATACCTGCTATTGAACCAGAAAACCAGAAAACAGGAATATGTCTACAATGTTTATCATGATTGGGCCAATCACAATCTGGACATGAGATCAAACCAAAAAGCCAGTTAAGAAAAAAAGTGTTACTGCTTTCAGTTAAGTTTTTCTTTACCTAATTTTTTTTTTTTGAGGTCACATCACTATTCCAGAAATATTTCAAGTGTTCAAGGTTTTTTGAGGTTCACATTAAAATACATTTGTTGCTAGTGTAGAACAAGAAAATGGGATAATGGTTGGATGATCCATCACTAAGCAACAGGGAACTCATAATAAGCTGGCCATAACCCCTGAATCCTTAGAATCCTCATGTGTATATGTAATTCTCATCACATCTTAGCTGGATCATCTGTAAATATTGTAGGGTGAAGTTAACACTGGTCACTTCTGTGAGTTAAAAGTCAGATTAATTAAATATAAATACTTATAACAGCTCACTTACTGTACAGCCTCTGGGAAAAAGCTTGAAAAGGAGAAACTTTCACTCAGGTCTCCTTTAACACCTTTGCCACGTGGCTGATAAAATCTCAAATAAACCCAAGCAATTATTGTTCCTGATAGAACCATGATCAAAAGAATGACAGGAAGAAAGCCAAGTATGCACAGGAAACTGTATACAATGACAACTAAAGGTGGCACATGCTGAAAAAAGATTAATAAATCATAAAAAGTAAAAATTTTCCTATTATCACTTGTAACATACTATTTAACCCTTTAACTCCCAGATCAAATGTTTCATTCTCCTTACTATCAACCATACAATTCTTATAGTGCTAGTTCCAAGAATTAAGTATTGGATCAAGTAATTATCCCCAAATTGATATTTTTCTTAATTCTCATTGCTTATCTGGTTGATATTGTATTGATAATGTGAGGAGTAATTCTGTGTTGGTCACTCATGGGAGTTAAAGGGTTAAGGTAACTTTGCAAAATAACCTCTTCTTTTCCCTTCTGCTGTGTTGTATTTAATAAGACCAATTCTCAATAAATTGTCAAAAGAAATGGTTTAGTTAAACACCAATATGTATGCAAACTGTATTTAGCTATGCCACTACCAACGAATGTTACAAAAATTTTCAAAAAGGGTGCTGCACCACATGTAACAACCATTTCATTGACATTTGAATAAAATGTCATTTTCCATCAAAATACATAAAAAAATAAAGTGTTATAAACAGGGTGAACTCTGAAACCCACTTGAAACTTTTCTCCCAACCTGTGTAAATGTGCCCTTAAAAACTAACCTTAACACGAAGGCCAATTGAGGACAAGCCTAACTCCAGTTCAGGTTTGATCTGTTTGAATGCAACCACCATCCCAGATAAAATACCAGTCATGCCACTGAACTGTAAAAACCTTGGAGTAATTAAAAATAAAGATGTTAAACTTAAAATTGAAAGTCTCTGACTCTGACTCTGACTCTCACAATAAAAACCACCTGATCTTTGCCATAATTTCCTGGCACCAGATAACTCTTACAGTCCAATGGGGCCAAAGCAAATCTTGGTTCCTGTAGCAAAGACCAACTTGAAGTAATGCAATCAATCCCCCCCACCCCCCACAAGATGTAAAATTAGTAAGCCTGAGTATTATTTTTATCAAATAAAATCTACCCTGACAGTTCACTGATGACCATTTATACTTTTGAGCAAAGAGTACAATTGTAAAAAATAATGCATTCAACTTTAAGACAAAAAAAGATTCCTCAACTAGACCTGGCACCTTTATTACTTGACTGAGAGTCCTTTGCTTGAAACACTAAGCTCGTGTTTCATAACATTGAAAAAAGATACATTGGTGGTTGAAAGTTACCCCTGTTAAAATCCCATGATAAGAGAAGCAAATGAGAACTTAAAGGAGAACAACCCAGGAAGGCAGGACTTAAAACCAGTCTTGTTTTTAAGAAGGAAAGGAACTTAATAGGTGCTAATGATACATGACTTACCACATATGTGTGTCAAATGTTGCAACATATGCTATCACACAAACAGCTGATGTAATAAGTGATGTTCCTATATCCAAGATCAAAAAAAATTTCTACAAAAAGGGAGAGAAAGAAATCAAACTTTTAGTCCAACACTAAAAATTAAAACTCTTGTTTCCAACACATGCAGCAGTGACATGACTTCTATTGTCAATATTTGTATAGAAAATCACAAAGAATGCCAGTCACTTACCAAGAATTCAAGTGCTCCCCAAAGAGGTTCTAGCAGCTGGCCACACAATACAAGAACTGCAATATCTATTAACATCTAAAAGACAGCAAATGTATCTCTGGTTGATCATTTTTAGTTTTTAGTACACCTACAGTAAGGAATCCTTTGACATATTTTCTGAGCAATAAATAAAGCGGTCACCTAGTACAGGAGGTTTGAATCCTACTGAAGCATTTGCCATAAATAATGTTGTAGAGAAAGGGCAATTCAAGTCATATCCATACAAAATTGATTCAAACTAAATACATCAGTATATTTTTGCTTGAAATAATCAGAACATTTGGTATACACTCACATTCCATATTCTATATTCAATAAATCCTCCAGTTATTAAGGTCCATATTCTGAAATGTGGTGGAATAATGCTGCAAAGATATATAAGGTCATCAAAATACAAACAAAATTAAAACATTTCCTGGCAATAGTTAAAACAGTTATGACCTTGTTATAAATAATAAACACATTTTTTCTGACAATCACAGTGGCTTAACCCCACAGACAAGTTTCTGGTTTGAGAATCAGATGACTATGTAACAACATAAATATATAAATAAATATATTTTAGTAAAAATCATGAAAAATTATGATATTAGAAAATATTAACAGTAATTAATGTCAAGTGTAATGACATATTTTTAGCTTGAATCTTAAATTAAAACCAGCTCTACCCAGAGCATGCATGAAAAGTGTAGGATAAGTATTAAGCTTAAGTACAATTTTTTAAAAAGGCCCAAGATGCAATTTAAGTTTCAATATGTCTGTGGCTATCATTTTAACTCTAAAAGTGCAAGATAAAAGCACTATTTACTTAAATTGCTTAGAATCGAAATTAGGAGAAAATAGAAATATAATTAATCAAAAATTCCATTTAAGAAATCCATCCACAAGATTCGAACTATACACAAAAACATACATTAAATTTTAAAACATAGCAACTTACAATCCAGGGGTAACAGCAAGCACAGAATAAACATTAGGTAAAAAACTCAAGCAATACAGCAGACAAACAGTCGCACAGGAAAACTTTACAACCACAGAGGCATCCCCCAACGCCTTGTTTATTTGTGCCTAAAATCGGACATTCAGGGTGAGTACAAATGAAGGTGAATTGTTGGAAATTAATGAAAATTATCGTCATCCTGTTACCTTCACACGATCGAGATCAAAAGCAGCCATATTTGTTTGGATGTTCTCGCCACGCATGCGCATAAATCACGGATGACGAGTTACAAAATGACGTATCTCGGTCCAGTCCTTCTAGAAAGATTCGCTGTCAGTCACGATATAAGACGTGATACTAAGAAAATTGAAAAGCAAAAAAAACATTTGTATATATTTATAGCGAAAGAGCTATAGTCCATTACGGCCTTATTCAACTTCCCAGGGAAAGACTAGCATAAGAGAGACATTCTTCATTCATACAAAGGCGAAAACTCGAGGTCTGCATGAGGCATGAGGCACTACAGTAACATTTCATTCAGTTGCAAACTTCGTCATGTTCGTCAAAGTATTTCAAGCATTCTACAAATATACCTGACTGAAATTTTTCCCAGTTGTTCATTTCAAATTTATTTTGAGCGACATATCGCAAGTACGTGCTCTAATTTACATAACTAATAATTAATCCTCACCTGGGCGGATAAGTTTAAAATGGTTAATTGGCAATGGCATTTCACGCTGGTGTTCCATCGTGCACACAAGTTCTTTCACCTTTGGAGAAAAAAACATTGTTGATCTCGCGGACTGTACAACGAAGCTTACACACAAAAGAGAAACCCTATCACCAAATGCACTGTTTCGCTGCAAATTTAATTAAACACAACATCAGGCGCAATTTCGTGATCAGTAACAAAACATCTATCGGGGTTTTTACTCAAGCTATTGAAACTTAATCTAATCAATTACTGGAATACAACGCATGCTGTGCTGCGACTGATTAAAAAACCAAGAGGATTAACCCTAAGATTTAGGTACAGAAATTGTCGAAAGCGCCGTGTTAAACTGGTAAGGTAGAATATTCAGTCCTATAGTTTTTTAAAGACCGTTATATCAGGAGCGCGATTAGCGAAATAGAGATTCTCATACATCTCTAACAATTGAACATTGTTACGATTGCCCAACCGAAAGATCTTTTCAAGCCACAAACTGCAAAAAAAAAGTTTGGAAGTTTGTGTAGTGATGCATGCTTAGCATGCTGAGTAATTGACGGTTTTGGCTTTGATTTTATGGCACTCAGTCGCAAAGGACTCTTGAAATTTTTCTTTGTTATTAACGCAATTTATTAGCAACCGAATTTGTGATAAATTTGAGTTTTTTAGGGTCTTTAGTTTTATTACCAGTGATATACGTGACTATGGATGGCGTCACAGTAAATTCGAATGATAGCTCATCCAATTGACAACCAATAAAATCTACTTCAAACAATCTTACCGACACTTCGTTCATAAGTGTCGTGAGTTTACTCAACAAGGAGTGGTAGATAAACAGTTTGTTAATCCCCGCAGCTATTTTAGGAACTTTGGCACCAGATAATAAGTATCATTACTTCCTTCATTCGCTAATATCCACTTAAAAGAACCGCAATATGTAATTTTTGGCTTCATTTATTGACGATAAATTAACAGAAAAGCGCCGATCACATTTTTGCGAAAATAAGAAGCACCTAATTGTTTAAAAATTTAATTCGTTTCCGAAAAGTTTACTTTACTCATTCTGCTATCAATCAAAACTCATTAAAGTTAAGTTGAGTTGCAGCTCGATACGAATGTAAACTGCAATAAGATGTTAAAAAACTTAATCCTATCTATTGGGTCAAATATTGAAATCAGTAGAGTTTACACCACGTTTTTGTCTTTAACACAGCATCAAATTGCACAATTATACGAAGGAGTTTGATTCAAATGGTTCGAGAGATTACTTCAATATTTGCCAAGGAAACGGACAGCAAACCCAGTGTAATGTTGAGAGCTGACCAGCAATGGCTAAAGGTTTCCTCTTATGAAAATTAATTATAAACTCCTGATGACTTCATACCGCCGCGAAAACCTTAGCAGGGGTCGATTCAGGCCAAGTTCGTATTTTCACCTGTAGGCGAATCAAATTACGAAAAGAGTTCGTTAGGTAAAAGAATGATTGCAAAATTCTAAAAGATACACGAAAAGTCAACAAATATAATCTTTTGTTGCACAAGATACAACAAGCTATTGACACAGAGGGACGTTTGAGCAATCGTAAATTAAAGTGCATGAATAAAATTAAGTTCGATTTTATGACAAGGAGACCCTGAAATCTAGAGTTCATTGTCACAGCCCTATGAGGCAAAAAAGGAATTGAGAACAAAATGCACGCGAGAAAACACATGGCAGGTAGATCGGAAATTTCACAAACATTAAAATTCAAAGGGATGAGAAACTGTCAAGAATCTAAGAAGCTTAGTTCTTCCGTGGATAGGTTTAAAAAGGAATACGAAAAGAAACTTCGGGAATTGTCGGTGCAGCAATCAGTTCTCCTCGAATCTCAAAGGAGACGAGAATCCCGAAGACGCTCTCTCCCCTCAACGGTTGACCCAAAGAGCGAAGATGAAATGAGAAGCGTAGCCGAAAAGATCTTGCAAGGGAGTTCTCTCTCCGATTCCGCCTTGGATCAGTACGCTAAGGGGCTAAGATCTGGATTAAAGGGCGAAAACAAATCTCCATTATCGACGTCTCCTCTTCTAAAACTGCCCAGTATAACAATCCAGAAAGATGCAGGAACAGGGAAGATAGAGTTAGAGGATGTCACATCGATAAAGACGCCAAAAAACAAGCTCAAGTACTCGAAACAAGCGCAAGCAAGGCTGGATATACAAGATTTAACGACCAAGCTATCGAACGGTTATTCCGCATCGATTATTGCATCTCCACCAATGACGAGACCAGCGCGAAGGGGGAGTTTACAAGTCACGAATTTGTTTTCTTCGGCTGTGGAAGAAGCTGTCTCAAATCGAAGGATGTTGATGCGGAGAGGAAGCTGCCCTGACTTGAGCTTAAACCTGTGGGCTAAGGACAAGAAATTTATCGGGGGGAACTGTAGCGGGACATTCGAAAACCAAAACTTTACCAGACAGGTGGAGGAGATGAAGAGGTGTCGATATTTGAGGTTTCCCACTTCCATTAGAGAGGATGATGAAGAAAAAAATGAATCGGGTTTTACAGAAAAATGACCATCTTAGCAGCGAGTACGGCAACTGGGAAAGTTGTAACGATTTTGGAGGAAATCGTGTTTAAAGTTCAGAAACTAACTCTCACTGTGGATTAAAATGTAACAGCTTATTCGCGGATGTACCCGATTCCAATAAAAGAATAAGAAGGCAAAGGTGATCCATTCTTCTGCGACAAAGTACAATGTTACTCAAATGTATGTACTGCACATTTCTCAATTTGTATTTACTCTTTTCCAAAAGGCATGCACTTATCAGTCATCGATGTAATAAAGGGATTTCTGAAGAACTGTCTCTCGCTCGACTGTAGACTGTAGATTGTAACGGTTTCGCAAATTTTCAAACTTTTTTTGTAGTCCTTTTAACTGTGAATCATGCATTTTATGTTGGCAATATACAAAAAAAAAATCCCTACAGGCTCTGAAATTATTCCCGGAATAATGATTCTGGAAGCTAAAGAAGTGATTAAAAAGTATGTTTTTTACGCTTTAAAATCAAAATGTTTGTTTGACAAAGTCGATTGAATGGTATACCTATTTAGATCACTGCCGAGATTGTATGAAGATTATGAGAACATAAGACATACAACAAAATAACTCAGTGGAACTAACAGCTTTTTCTTTCAATCAAATTTATAATTTATTCAATACCTTTGACACTATTGCCAATCGATGAAGGCATTCTCAAATAGTGACGATTATCTGCTAACCCTGAGCAGCCTACGAGCAGCCCTTCATCCTACGCTTCGGCACGAACTGTGGAAAATGTTTCTGTGACACCAAATAACTCACTTCAACACATGGGTCTTCGTAAATTAGGTTTTAACAACAAAAACGTCGTGAGTCGTGTCAACGCGAGGTAAATTAATTTGCATAAGGTAATTGCCATATTAACTTGTCACGAACTTGTCACGAACTTGTCACGCAAAATAAACGAAAACATTTCGGGTAGAACGCTTTTCCGCCCGTCGGAAGGTACGAGGCCTTAAGCAACGCGAGAGATCTGAAAGGGGTCTGGTACTGATTTATTGTTGCTATCAGACTCGCAATTGAGCAACTTTGGACATTACAAGCAAGAACACTCCGCAACAAGTCATCATGCAACATGTACCCCGCGTTGCTTTACAAGCCGGTTGGCATTTTGCCAGCAATAAAAATTAGGAGCTTTATACAGTTGCAATATGCTACATGGCACGAGTAACAAGAAATGTAACCAAGCAGACTTAACATACAGTGAGTTTATGCTCAAAACCTGACCAAAAATAACAAGTAATGTCCTCCGAAGATCTCTTCAAAAGAAAACAAACGCATGAACACCACACCTTATCCCTAAAAATCTGCACAAAATTCTCAAAATTGTTGTTATCAAACAATATGAACTAAACTGGGCAAAAATGTCTCTCACAACCAACAAAGACAGCACTCGTAAAATTATTTCAAACAAAAAGACTCGTGCTTAGGAAAAGGACCGCTTTTAATAATAATAATTTAATAATGAGTCAATCAAAACTTGAACTAGACTACTACCAACGTTAGTGGAGCAAGGTAGAAAATGCTAGATAATTAGTTACATGTTCTACCGTAAGTGCCTTATTGTCTAAAAATTTCCATGTTATCAAAGAAGTTTCAAGAATTAAACACAAACGAGACTGTTTACTGATAGTGAAGTCGACTAAGATGAAAATGAGTCCATTAAAGATCGGTATTTGTTTTTCTTTGCAAAAATTGGCGTCATGACCACCTCACCCGCAAAGAATTTACGTTGGCGGTGGTTTTCTTGTGTATCTGACACCTAAAATATGGTAACTAATGGCTTTGTTTAGTGGCGTGTCGTCGACCATTACGTTTTTTGCATAAAGCGATAATATTTCAGTTTTTAAAATTTCTTTATATCAGACGATGGAAGGATTTTTGTCACAAGAAATTGACTAATAAAAACCTACACGAAAAGATGTATATGTCCAACATTGACGCCAAGACACAAACAAAGAAACATTTTCCCGTTCATCTTTCCAATTATCCGAATGGCCAGCTAAGTAGCCGGGGTTTTTCTCACCAATCAATGAACGTTTCATGTTAACATTTGAACTGAATAACTATTTTTTTTAAACCAATTGATAAATTATAAACCAATTCCTAGAGAAGAATTCGTACAACGGGCTCAGAAACTCGTCTTGCTTTCAAACCTACGGCCCATAATCATATCATTTTTTTTTAATTGGCAACATGAAGATATTATCTACCGAGTCAATATATAGCGTCTGCGTTTTTATCGAGTGCGCCAGCTTGTATTGTCTGATTTGTTTTCGTTATATGAGTATGCATTTTAGATCATTCAGTTATCATGTTTTAAATTTCTTCAACTTTGTTGAACAAAAAACCAGAGTCACTGCAGTCCCACGGAAGAAGTTTTAATGTCCAGAATGTTTCTCACAAATCTTTGGGTAAAGAGGAACAACGAGGTCTGGGCATTTTAACTGGTTTGGAAACTACGCAGCTGCCAAATTTTATTTTACATTCAGAACAATCCAGGCCCTGTTTTACATTTGAAAAAAAACAAGAAAGAACTGAATCTTCTTCATTAAGACATCATCGCTTACAAAAATTTATTTTCTAACTCATTTCTGCAAATTTTTTAATTCAATAGGGCTTTAATTTATGGTGTGAAGTCAATGTATTCCTCAGTGACTTGTTCTCTCAGTTATTTCTTCCGCATACTATTTACACATTATCTTCCTTGTTAAATGCGTGGCAATAATTGTCTGGTTAAAAATTACGCGCCCACTCGCGCTTAAAAAATGGTTTTAAAATAAAGAGGCTGTTTACCTATGCTCATACAGCTGTTTGCATAATTTTTGAAAGTTTTAAACTGAAACTGGAAATTTCCTCTGTAAAGTTTTATTTATACTTTAGTCTCTTCGCAAAATTCATTGACCAGTATAGTTTCATTGCCTTTGTTTGGAGGGAATTCGTTATGACTTGTTCCTCCCACACTATTTTGTTTTCTGGAAAACAAGGCTTGAAAGCTTTGACGGTATGGCCGCATTCTCCAGGCGTACAACAACGGGTTTAGGGCAGAGTTACTGTAAAGAATCAGGATGGACAATCGATAACCTGCGATGCACCATTTTTGATGATCACACTCTTTGCAGTAACGCCGGATGGTGGTGAATACCCAAAACGGAACGAGAGAAACGAAGAAGACAAGAATTATCAGGCAGGCAGTCACGAACTTGTCACGAACTTGTCACGCAAAATAAACGAAAACATTTCGGGAAGAACGCTTTTCCGCCCGTCGGAAGGTACGAGGCCTTAAGCAACGCGAGAGATCTGAAAGGGGTCTGGTACTGATTTATTGCTGCTATCAGACTCGCAATTGAGCAACTTTGGACATTACAAGCAAACAAGTCATCATGCTACATGTACCCCGCGTTGCTTTACAAGCCGGTTGGCATTTTGCCAGCAATAAAAATTAGGAGCTTTATACAGTTGCAATATGCTACATGGCACGAGTAACAGGAAATGTAACCAAGAAGCCTTAACATACAGTGAGTTTATGCTCAAAACCTGACCAAAAATAACAAGTAATGTCCCCCGAAGATCTCTTCAAAAGAAAACAAACGCATGAACACCACACCTATCCCTAAAAATCTGCACAAAATTCTCAAAATTGTTGTTATCAAACAATATGAACTAAACTGGGCAAAAATGTCTCTCACAACCAACAAAGACAGCACTCGTAAAATTATTTCAAACAAAAAGACTCGTGCTTAGGAAAAGGACCGCTTTTAATAATAATAATTTATAAATGAGTCAATCAAAACTTGAACTAGACTACCACCAACGTTAGTGGAGCAAGGTAGAAAATGCTAGATAATTAGTTACATGTTCTACCGTAATTGCCTTATTGTCTAAAATTTCCATGTTATCAAAGAAGTTTCAAGAATTAAACACAAACGAGACTGTTTACTGATAGTGAAGTCGACTAAGATGAAAATGAGTCCATTAAAGATCGGTATTTGTTTTTCTTTGCAAAAATTGGCGTCATGACCACCTCACCCGCAAAGAATTTACGTTGGCGGTGGTTTTCTTTCGTACCTGACACCTAAAATATGGTAACTAATGGCTTTGTTTAGTGGCGTGTCGTCGACCATTACGTTTTTTGCATAAAGCGATAATATTTCAGTTTTTAAAATTTCTTTATATCAGACGATGGAAGGATATTTGTCACAAGAAATGCAAATAACTAAATTGAATGATAAAAACCTACACGAAAAGATGTATATGTCCAACATTGACGCCAAGACACGAACAAACAAACAGTATTTTCCCGTTCATCTTTCCAATTATCCGAATGGCCAGCTAAGTAGCCGGGGTTTTTCTCACCAATCAATGAACGTTTCATGTTAACATTTGAACTGAATAACTATTTTTTTTTTAACCAATGGATAAATTATAAACTAATTCCTAGAGATGAATTCGTACAATGGGCTCAGAAATTCGTCTTGCTTTCAAACCTACGGCCCATAATCATATCATTTTTTTTTTAATTGGCAACATGAAGATATTATCTACCGAGTCAATATATAGCGTCTGCGTTTTTATCGAGTGCGCCAGCTTGTATTGTCTGATTTGTTTTCGTTATATGAATATGCATTTTAGATCATTCAGTTATCATGTTTTAAATTTCTTCAACTTTGTTGAACAAAAAACCAGAGTCACTGCAGTCCCACGGAAGAAGTTTTGATGTCCAGAATTATTCTCACAAATCTTTGGGTAAAGAGGAACAGCGAGGTTTGAGCATTTTAACTGGTTTGGAAACTACACAGCTGCCAAATTTTATTTTACATTCAGAACAATCCAGGCCCTGTTTTACATTTGAAAAAAACAAGAAAGAACTGAATCTTCTTCATTAAAACATCATCGCTTACAAAAATTTATTTTCTAACTCATTTCTGCAAATTTTCTTAATTCAATAGGGCTTTAATTTAAGGTGTGAAGTCAATGTATGCCTCAGTGACTTGTTCTCTCAGTTATTTCTTCCGCATACTATTTACACATTATCTTCCTTGTTAAATGCGTGGCAATAATTGTCTGGTTAAAAAATATGCGCCCACTTGCGCTTAAAAAAATGGTTTTAAAATAAAGAGGCTGTTTACCTATGCTCATACAGCTGTTTGCATAATTTTTGAAAGTTTTAAACTGAAACTGGAAAATTTCCTCTGTAAAGTTTTATTTATACTTTAGTCTCTTCGCAAAATTCATTGACCAGTATAGTTTCATTGCCTTTGTTTGGAGGGAATTCGTTATGACTTGTTCCTCCCACACTATTTTGTTTTCTGGAAAACAAGGCTTGAAAGCTTTGACGGTATGGCCGCATTCTCCAGGCGTACAACAACGGGTTTAGGGCAGAGTTACTGTAAAGAATCGGGATGGACAATCGATAACCTGCGATGCACCATTTTTGATGAACACACTCTTTGCAGTAACGCCGGATGGTGGTGAATACCCAAAACGGAACGAGAGAAACGAAGAAGACAAGAATTATCAGACAGGCAGTCGTCATCAGTTGTTTCTGCATCTCAGCCGATCGCCTGGATATTTTCTCTTTTTTGTAGAGTCTTCCATGTCGATGTAGCACCATATAATAAGCTGCCGAGTATGTGAAAATAATCGTGACAAGTGGTAGGACAAAAATAAGGTAAAGAAACACAACATCGTACAAATCTCGCTCTACTACCAGCTCCAGACAGCTTGTAACAATGGCTAACAACCAACACAGTACACAACAGAGGATGGTTTTTGGGATGGTCACGGAGCTACGATAAACGTACGGGAAGGCAACAGCTATGAACCGTTCAACCGCAAAAATGATCATGATACAAACACTCGCGCGCACGGTTATCTGCGAAACGATCTTGGCCTGAAGCATGACTTTTTCCATTGCCATTCCTTCCAGAATATGTGCTATTCCAACGTCTACGGCGGTTACACATCCCGTTAGAAAGTCTGCTATGCTCAGAGAGACCACAAGAACTGCGGTGGCGTTGCGAAATTTCTTCAGCGGATCTTTATAGATCATGAACAGGAGGATGCCATTGGAGATCGATATCAACAACGCGAAAAAGAGTAGTATGCCTCCGTTGATAATGAAGACATGAGATTTGAAGTCTTCATTGCCTTGATTAAGGCTGGCGGTCATCTTAACCAAAGTAGCAGAAGAAAAGATTGACGACCTTTCTGTTTAGCGACAAGCGACAACTGGCGTTAAATGCGGAAATTCAATGTATACTAATTGCTTGTGGTTTTCACGAGCCGTTTCGTTCGTTCAAATGATAATCATTAAGTTACTATTACCATAGTACACCTGCCTACTTTAACAAAGGACAAGTGATTGTTATTTTTGTTTCCTCGTATTCGCCCGGCTGAAACCTGATTGGGAATCAGCCTCTTTGGTAGAGGGTCAATGAATTTTAAATTATTACTGAATCACCGACTCCTTTTTAAAGGAACGCTTTCTTGAAAACTCTGGTTAACCTTGACGCACTTCAGTTAGCGCTGTTGATGATGCTCATTTTAAATTATTGACTTGTACATCATGAAATTTCCCCTATAATATTTATGTCTTTAAGGTTAAGACCTTAATATGGACACACATAAATAAGTGCTTTGTGATTAGCTCTGACAAGCCATCTAGTTTTCCTCGCGCCCCATGAAGAACTCGACCCGATTGGAGATCAATATCAGATCATTGCAAAACAAGTTGGTGAAAGGAGTTTGTTTCCTTTAATACAAATTTATTTTCGAATTGTTTGTTTTCTGATTTCTGTTGTATAGAAAATGAGATGCTAAAAGATATTTCGGACTCCCATTCCCGTAAGTGAAGTGAAGTGAAGTGAAATTCGGCTGGAATAAATTAAAGGTTAAATTCCCTTATGGTGCAAAAAGAACAGCTTTGGTGGAATTTTCAAAGCAGGAAAACACTGGTTTAACTTGCACATACCAATCTAATCTAAAGCTTAAATGACCACATTTAGTTTTCAGGTCAGGCGCAATTCCAAGAATTGATGATCTTTTCCGGCTCTTCTTTTATCTACGATTATTTCGTGGATAGAAGAAATGATTTGCTTTACTACATAAATCACGAAAAGTATTGGAAGTTAGCCGTTGAGAACAATATAGTGATAAACTTAGTAAACACTAAAATATCTTTATCGTTTCAACGCTATTTCAAACACGATCTTAGCCAGGAGCAATGAACTTAGACATATTTGCATCCTTATTTAAAATAGGAACAGTAAATCATTGAAGAATTCGTCAGCATGATTTGCAATTCGTACTCTCTTCTTCTCCTATTGCACAACAATTTTACTGAAATATTTACCGAATAAAGACACAGAGAAAAAGTGCCTCTCTTGTTTCTGGTTTTTTCTCCTCAACTCCCTTCAATCCTACTGGCACGTTAACATTTTCCGATTTTCATCGAAGATTCGAATCATCTGTAAATAAATGCAGCAAACAGATTCTGTCACGAGAGGTTTAAAAGTTGGAAGTCATTTGATGTTCCTCGTACTCAGTCTACCTCTGTCCTAATTAAATTTTAATGAAGCCCGCAGTGAACTATGGGAACGTATCTACGAAAAAAAATTAAAAAACAAATATTGTGGTCTCCCAGAAAGATGACGTAATTATATGAATGATACCAAGAAAGTTACACTACTAACTAACTACGTTCTTGAATCGACATTTAAGGTGAGTTTGATCCGAAGATGTAATATAGCCTCATTATGGAACACTTAAAAAGGAATTGTGTCAAGTTAGGGCTTTTCCTTTGGCGCTGTTTGTGGTAAAATTAGCTCGAATATCTCAAAACATACTTAACGTTGAATATTATACTTGGAATAGTTAATTAGAGCCGTTCTTCAGCGATCTCAACGCTCACTGTATATACTTGGAATAGTTACTTAGAGCTGTTATTCAGCGTTCTCAACGCTCATTGTATTTAACATCAAATTGGAACTTAGAAATCATTTTATTTCATCGTATGAATAAAGTAACGACTGACTGGATACGGAATTTTGTCTACTTCAATGCATAAACACCAAACTAATTTACTGTTCGTTCATTTGGAACCTGATGTACAAACAAATTCCTGGATGAACATTCTATCAGGTTGCGTTAAATAAGGAAGACAGATTAATAACCATGAAGTTGGTTGTTAGGACAAACAATGATTTTAACTTTTTAGTGACTTCACATTCTGCGGTGAAATCGACCGAGCGACTGTTGATGCCGACATTGTCAATTTTTCTCAGCCGGTAATATTTACGAGTAAGCCGTGAAAACATACTTGATTATCGAACTTGATGCATGAACCAGCTACTATGTCGCTTTGTAGCGTACCTCTACCCGTTGTTACGTCTTTTTTTCAATTATTTTTTACCTATTGCTAGATGTTTGAAGGTAGCACTGCCAAGGACACATTTGAAGCAAAATCGAAACCGGAAGTTGAAAAAACAATTGGCTACGCTCAGACAAAAACTATTTATGTCCAAGGCCAAACCTTTTCAAATAATTCAGAGCTTAGCCGCCACTTTAGTTTTTGTTAAGGTTAAGAAAAAGTTGATATCAATAAAAGCTTTAAGAAGTGATATGTAATCGATCAATTCCGATTAATTCGGAAAGGTGTGAACTTCAATATGAGACCTAAATATGTGGAACGATATGTTCGATAACTCCTTTTGAGTACGGCCATCATGGCGAACCCTCACCAAGATTCCTTTTCCGGGAATAATTGCTTATCAGATTAATTTAAAAAGAATTCGCCGAACACCATGCTTTTAAGTTGAACCATAACACGCTTATGAAAACTTCTGGAGAGCCCCAGAATAACCGACCTTACGATTCGCAATTACGACGTCTCAATAATGTTTTGTTTTGTCTTTACTGCAGTCCTCGAGGTTTTGATGGTTTTCAATAAAGGCATTAAAAATTTTCGTAGAAACAATTAGCTAAAGCTCATTGCGTGTATTTTGTCATCTAAAATTATCTTCAAGTTTTAAACTCAACAAAGACAGCTTTGTATCATCGTCACACAATTGGCAACTCAGTGGTAGGTTAAGTGCGGGGATTCCCCGAATTCAAAACAGAAGATGATGCAAAATAATTTCCTTCATAGAGCTTCTAACTTTAATTGCTCCAGCCACAACTTTCTTAACCGCATTGGATTAACACTGATTACTTTGTTTAGAGGTCGAAGATAAAACTGTAACGACAACATAAAATAAAGGATGAACCTTTTATCTGCTACTCCCATGTAGTCCGGCGTATTGAATAACAAACAATACTTAATATGCAAATCAATTATCGTCCATTCGCAAGCACTTGTTTATATTGAATCAAGACGACAAGATACCACAGTTTTCTAATTCGCTTCGTATCAATTATTTCTGTTCTTTCATTGAAGTAATGCCCTCCCCAAGTGCTCCTGGGACGATCGGACAACTAACAAAGCCGGAGTACAGAAACTGGCTTGCTCTCGGTCATGCGTTAACAACGGAGCTGCGTCACGGTCTTCGCCCTTTCGTTACCCGTGAGATGGAGTCATTTTATAGAAATGTGTCTGCAAGAGTTGCTGGACCCTGCACATGTGTCCATATCCCGAGAAGAAAACCAAACGAATACCACGATATGAAGACCTGTCAGTGGGCTAACATCCTTCAGGCACATCATGACAAAAACAGGCCAAATTGGAAACAAAGTGATGGTAGTAAGTGGATGGATCCAATCCTGGGTCCTTGGGAAATAGCCAAGCTCTTCCTCCCTGATCAGGGAGGCCATGCAGATATCAAGAGCGCAGATGACATGGACATCGCTGGTATTCTAAATCTGATGTCCTGGTGCAGCCACTTCACTGTTTCACTGCCCTTGATCAAAGCCGTCCGTGACATTCGAAATGACAAGTGGGTGCATGTGCCACAGCTAGAGTTAAGCGATGCCGACAAGAGAGTCGCCTTTGACACGATTGAAAATCTGCTTCAGGATCCCAATATAGTTCACGATCCAGACGCTCAGCAAGCCTTGAGAGAAGTTAACAACCTTAGGCATGTTTCAGACCTGCAGAGTATGGAGGCACAAGTGTTAGCCGACTTAAAAGAAGTTTTGACAAAAGAGATTTCTAGCATTAATGACAATTTGACAATGTTGATGGAGGAGTCCGCCAAGAACAAAGAGCAGCAAAATCAGCTCCAAGAACAACACGAGATCCTAAGAAACCAACTTAATGATTTAAATTGGACAAGATTACCTGAAGAAAGTCAAACCTGGCCTAATACATTTGGAAACCTGATAGGAAACCTATTAGGAAACCTGATAAGAAATATCAAGCCCGTGAGAAAAATCCACCTCATATCGTGGTTCATGTTTATGCTCCTATGTAACCTCTGTATCGTTTTAGAGGATTCTTACGACGGAGATGGTGAGTAGATAAAACTTTAAATCGCAAATAGGGATACGTGAGGATGCTTGATAGTTAGATTATCTATTCACAGTTTGGAATTTTATCACGATTTACCAGCTCTAGATCTGAAGTGGTGATCAAAAATCCCAAACGTTTGTACATACACCGTATTCAAATTTTCAACAATTTGTGAATCTTGTTCCTGCAGGATGTACGCTCCAAGATTATAATGATCAGTGGGAGTTGAAGAATTTCGACTTCAGCGATTTCATCAATTCATCGAGAGCAGAATTCATCGGCCGGCAGTGGCTGTACCAAGAAATGGAAACTGTTTTGGAGCACACTGAAAAGCGTGGTGTTTTAATAACTGGAAATCCAGGCTCTGGTAAGTCTGCTTTCCTTAGTTATTTGCTTTGTTCCAGAACATCAAGCCCACTTATTCACAGCAGAATCCTTGGGTATCCTTTTTGCATGCACTTCGACAAAGGAACGCAGAATGGAGCCAAGTTCGTTCGAAATCTTGCCAACATGATCGCTTCGAAACTGGAGAAGTACGGCGAAGTCCTTGAGACTGATCCCTTTGTTCGAAGAGTATTACACAAGGATTGTCCTCAAGACTCAGAGTGGTGTTTCGAACAAGGAATACTTACCCCCTTGAAAAACCTCGGACTGGAACTTGAAGAACCTTGGTATATTGTCGTTGACGCCTTGGATGAGTGTGCAAATGACAAAGCAGAGGTTCTCAACATTCTTAAATCCAAAGTTCGACGCCTTCCAAAGTGGCTGAAGCGATTTTGAGCTCACGGAATGTAAGCACCATCACTGCAAGTTTCAAAGGGCTGAAAATAGTAGAGTTACGGTCGGACGACACAAAAAACCTAGATGACATTGATACATATTTATCCTTCAAGGTGTTTTCTTGGAAAGATTCCCTCGTGCATAAAATTAAAATGAACCTTGCAATCACAAATAACGAGGCGCCAGCTCAGAAAATTGTTTCAATTTTAACCGAGAAAGGTCGGGGAAACTTTCAGTTTGTTAAAGTTGTGTTGGACTTGTGGATGGAATCAACCCAAAGTGTCAGTTTGGATACGTTTCCTCAAACTCTCGACACCACATATCAGCTATACTTCGAGAGAAAGTATGCCACACCCGAATCTTTTCAACCCTTGCGAGCAATTTTTGAAGTGCTTGTTGCAGCATATACCCCCCTTACTATCCATGAAATGCACTTAGTACTCAAGCTTGGACACCCAGGTCTTGACCTTGAGTACGACCTCATGCCAAAACTTGACCTTGTATCTTTGTTCTTGTGGCATGGATCAGGTGAGGATCTCATTCGGATTCATCATGCATCTTTGTCTGAGTGGCTCACGAGTGATAAAAACAAAGGGAAATTCTATTATATTAAGAAGCAAAATGGTCATAACCGTCTTGCAAAGTACTATCTGAAAAAGGCTGAAGAAAGCAATTTCCCCCTCAAGCCGGATAGAGCTTTTTACCTGGCGAGTCATATTGTTGAAGGGGGTCTGGATGATCCTTTGGTGGAGCAATTTCTGTCCCTGCCCTCAAGCCATATTAATTCAAGTGACCCTTCGACTCAAATGACAGCACTTCACCACAGTTCCGGCTGGTTTAATGCAGATGTTACTAAACTTCTCGTGGGCCACTTTAGCGATGTTGACAGTGTAGACTATAGCCAACGTGCACCAGCGTTTATAGCGGCAACTTCTGGCTACTTGAAAAACTTGAAGATTCTGTTTGGTAGAGGAGCTAACCTTAACCGTAGAGCAGCATACTTGGATTTTGAAAGTGCCTCACACTCCAAAAATCCCATTAAAGAGTGTAGAAGAAAGCTATGCGGATATTCATTATTGCATACAGCCGCTCAAAAAGGTAACAACGATGTTGTAGCCTTTCTTATTCAGCACAAAGTGAACATTTTCAGCACAACTGGAGCTAACAATACTGCTCTACAACTGGCGGCGGCAAACGGTCATCTTGACATTGTCCAGATACTTCAGAGCGCTGGGGGAGAACTGGATGACATATCATTACATCACGCAGCAGCTGGGGGTCACAATGAGGTCGTACAATACCTACTGGGAGAAGGAGTTGCAGATGACTGTGTCCAGAACATCCCGTTTTCTGCTTTTCCTGATGAAGACGGGAGCGAATTGGAGTCTAAAAAATTACGTTTGTATGATAACCATCATCTTCACCTGCGTGAAACAGCCCTTCATGCGGCAGTTGCTCGAGGACACGTGGACGTGATTAAAACTTTGTTGAGCCAAGACCAAAATGCTATTAATTGTCCAAATTCTGCGACAAGACTCCCCTTACACGAGGCTGTGTACACAAATAATTATAACATCTTAGAAACACTGTTGAAGTCTGGAGTTGATGCCAATGTTCATTGTAATGATAGAATGTTATCATCGAGTACTGGCTCCTTTACAGAAGGTACGATGTTTCCAACTCGTTGTCCGTGTGGATTTACTGCTATGCATATCGCTGCTAAGCATGGCTATCATAGTATTGCCGAGTTGCTTATTAAGTACGAAGTAGATCCTGACACGTTTGATTGTAATGGCTCCACGCCACTCCACATCGCCTCCTGCCACAATATGCCATCCCTTGTAACACTTCTGGTCAGCAGTGGAGCAGATATCGATGCACGAAGCCTAAATGGATCAACACCCCTACATAGTGCCGCGTCATGTTTTTCAAAGGACGTTTTCGGGCCTCTGTTTGACCTGGGATGCGATCACCAAGTTACTGATGGCGAGGGAATGACGGCTTTACACTATGTGGTAAAAGACATAACACACGTGGGTTCTGAGTATTTTGCAGACTTATATGTCACCAATCCTAAGGGTTGGATAGAGAAACATTCTGGAGCTTTTCAGACGATCATGAGCGAATTGGATATTCAATATCCTTGGTTAAATACCTTGATCAAGCTTGTTAACCTGGATTCCAAGAGAGGAAAAGCTGATACTCTAGCTATGCAAGACCATAGAAATCGAACGTTCTTCCACATATTAAAAGAGAAAACCAGTACTTTCAACTACCTAACAGGAAGCAGTCGTTTCAGCGAAAGTTCTCTTGTGTTATCCTTGACACCTTTCATTATTTCTTACGATATTTCAGTCTCTGAGAAGCTGAAGGACCGTGTCGTTGCGTTAAATAAGCCATATGAACAAGCCTTGGTTGCAACTTCTTTTACGAGGGTCATATCGCGAGCGTATACAACAACATTTACAAAGTTAAACTGCTCACATCTGCTTGATTATGTGAGACTCCATTTCGTTTATGCCGCCAACACCTTATTACAAGCAGGTGTGGACGTTAACTGTCGAGGTGCCTCGGGGCTAACTCCTCTGCTTGCTTATTTGCGCATCGGCGGCCGTCATATGTCAAAAGTTCTTGTAAAACATAACGTGAAAGTGGACATCGCGTGTGGAGATCCCTTCGAGGATTCAGTCTTTCACTTAGCGTCATATCACAAACTGCATTACCTTCATTACCTTTACGAATATTTAAAGGGAAGTGATAGCTGGCAAAAATATTTGCAAACAGAAAATGCGTTTTTCGACTACTTTCTGGATAAATACGACGAGCACATCGACAAGGGAAATCTGAAAACAATTAAGACTGGCGATGGACCACTGACTTTGGCTATTCTATCTCATCCTGACGGCAGTAACGTTTTAGATGAATGTTTTGATGCAGAGGGCTATAACGCTCTACATAGAGCGGCTCAGGGTGCAAACCTGGCAGCAATTGAAAAATTTCTTTCTTTAGGTGCTAACCTAAGTATAGAAACTCATGACGGGTCCTCCCCTTTATGGCTTTCAGTATTATATGCTGTTAAATACAGACCTTTTCTAAACCTCGAAGTACCCGGTGTACTTACAGCTCTAGAAGTTGAATTTGCCTCACTTTCGGCCTCAACTATTTTAAATCATCTCCTAAAAGATGGGACCTTGAATATTGGCTGTAGTGAAAAGCGTTCCGATCTGACTCTTTACCACGTTGCCGCTACCCGTGGGATGTGGCAATTCATTGCACATTTGCTCTCTAGCAGTGAAATTATTGGCATTGATGTGGACTGCCCCAATAAAGATGGAATTACTCCAATGTACTTAGCGTTATTTATTGGCGGCGACTCGTGTGAGTGGCACAGTCCATGGTGCAAAGTTGTCGACGTAATAAAGAGCTACGGTGGTACTCTTCGATATCCCTCGCTAGAAGCAGAGTACTTCCTCATCTACAATATGTTCTTTGGAATGAATCCTAGCAGGTTGTTTCTAGAGCTTACGGAAGATGAGATACTAACTCTTCAGGAGGGCTGTGGGCGTGATGAATGCCGAAAATATAAGGCTGCAAACGTCAACCTTTTCAAAACATCAGACGAAGTAGATAGAATTCGCGTCGATTACCAGAAGAAGGTGGACAAATGTTCTTCATTCCTAGCAGATTGTCCGGCTGACATAAAAAGAGGTTTACCTCATTTTACAATTGTGGTGATTTTCCTTGACCGCCAACAGGCCGTAAAACTTGACTTTCTAGACACTCGAAATTCTCTTGTTACTTTCCTCGACGATGAAATCGAGCGACTGAAGAAACTTTTATTTGTCGCTTCGAGACCTCATGCACAAATGCGTTGTGCAAAAGCTCCAAAAGATTACAAACCAAAGGAAGAAACCATTGATATGTGTTACCAGTTTCGTGATAAACAGGATCTCGAAACTCTACTTCACAAATTCTATCGCATTTACAAACAGAGCCTCGATTTAGTCCTGGAAAAGTCGGATGAAGTGAGATCGCACATGCCTTTAAATGGTAAACTACCACGTTTTTTATCGAAGATGAATTTTGCATTAGCTGATTACGATACTTCCTTAAATTGTGACTGGCAAGCAATTGCAATCAAGTATGTGCAGCTTAGTTTCCAGGTGCGCAATTTGAACTATTGGATTCAGGCTACCCACAAAACGTCTACAGTGCCAAGCGTATCGGGTTTTCTTTCGAAAAGAATGGAAAATGCTATCCTGCGAGATTCAGAAGAGTCACTTAAACTTGTTCTCAAACTGGCATCCGGACACCCGACTGAAGCTTTTAATTATCTAAGAACTTTGAGATTTACACGGCCACCTATGTGGTATGAGACATTTGGTGAAGGAAACTTTGGGCAGAGAATGGGTCCGTAGGAGATAACAATTTATGTCCACTTTTTTAACTGACCTAATGGAGAGACCTCCAAAACATTCGATTCAACTAAATTTTAATCCACTGATGGATTCATTTTTAATTACTGAGTGACATAATTAATTTGACAAAGTAACAGCTCGAAATAGCTCGTAGAAAGAATTGAATTTTTTATGAGTTAAGGAAACACAGTCCGTGGTTTAAACAGGTTTGAAAGGGCCTCACTTGACAGTCTGTCCACTGGACTCGTTTGCTTGTTGTGTCTAACGAATGCTTTGAGTGGTCCCCTTTTCCCCTGTTTTTTATATCTCTATAAATATATATCTTTCTTGTGAAAAACGATTTTACTCCTATCATATCTAAACTTGAATCGCGGTTAAGGAGGGAGTTTGCTTTCTCGCTGAAAACTCAAATATTAATTTTTGTAGATTTTGATCAGTGAATCGTCAAATCAAGCTGCTAATATTATGTTTATTTTTTTATAATGCCTAGAGAACATCAAAGCGGTTTCTTTTAGTATTTACCTTAAAATACCATAGTCCTCAGTCTCCGAAAAAAAAAGTTAAACTTTTCTTCCTAAAATCTACAGATTTGGGTCGATTATTCAACTGAATAGGAGTTTTGTAAGCTGTTTTAGTTTTAATCTAGCTTGTTCAGTCCAGTGAACAATTAGAACGTAGGAGTAAAATTTGATCGTGTAGTCCGATCGTCCTAGTCAGAGAAGTTCTGAGAAGGACTGCTGTCGGTTGTAGAGACTAATATCTCGATAACCTTAGCGGAAGTCCAGCAAGAGTCTTCTGAGAATGACTTCCGCTCAGGTTACGAAATGTCGGTTACCACTACCCACAGTGGTCCTTCTCAGGACGATCAATTCTCTCACGAACGATGAGCCCAACGCGATCAAGGCGTCAAGCAATTGCAAGAACCCCAAATATGACTTAAATAAATGTAAGTAACTTTCTGAATTAAAAATAACCAAACAGTAAATGGGACGTTAGCAATTTTTCATTCGAGCTCCAGTGAGGCTTTGGCTAAGATTCTGTGACTACAAGGCTGAAATACAGTAGTTATGAGCTACCGTAGAAGAGATTGGTCAGGAATCCGGCAGATTTCTTAAGTAAATATTTTTTTTAGGCCTTTTGGGTTTGGCATTCCAATTATTTTGAGCTGACTGATCGATAGAAACTTCTCATCAACTATCTTCAGTATCAAAGTGTAAAATCAAAAGCAGAGCAGTAGATAGGGCACGGTCAGAGAAATCCCAACGTAAACGGTAACACCGTTGTTTTCACCTGTTCGAATCTTTGCTTTATGCTAGCTTTCCTGACCAGTCAACTCTACCCTGACTACCGTTAGTCCCCAGTAGTAAACGTACCAAATTATGTAAACGTTTTTACTTAGAAATAAAGTATTGTTTTGGAAGTAATTGACTCCTTATTTACTCCTCGAGTTACCGACATATCCAATAGTTTGACAACAAAAAAAAAATCGAACGAAATCCCAGATAGCTTCGCAGCTAGCCTGCCAGGCGCCTTTTAAGGACGAATTTGGGTTTTAAGATTGTTCAAACTCTCGTCATCTTAGCAGCAACTGAGCAAGGAAACCCTTCAAATTTATGGTCATCATCCCTGTAACTGCTTGACTTGTTTAAAGCCGATGAAAGGTATTTTATTGAACTGTGGACAGCTTCAATATAATTCATTTAAAACAAAAAAAACAAAAAAAAAACAGCGAAACATTTCTTTAACTCATCTCTCATATTAACTTAATGTCAAGTTTTGCCGAATAGGCTCAGTTTTCAGGCCAGGCGAGCCTCTAAGAACTTTAAGTGTCTAAAAATATCTCAAAAATTACAGGTCTGACAGAAGCAGTCAACTGAAAACAATTTGCATCCCAACTATTTGAGCGAAGAACTGAAAACTGCTTCAGATCACTTTGCCAACATGATTTACAAGCTGTTCTAAGGAATTTTCTTCCACTATGTATTGTTGAAATTCTCTAACTTCAATTTATAAGACATAACATATGAATTATAGGTTTTATAAATTCTACGCTCGGCTTACTCTTGTGTATATCGACAGCATCCATTGCTATAATCTTTAGCCGTTTTGTTCATGAGTTCGGTCGGATTTCCTTGATAGCTTCCAAGGCCTTTTCCATTTCCTCGCTGTTAAGCCGAGCTAAGCGATCCACGGCATCACAAATCATTTCCTCTTTCTTGATGACCCATCGCAACTCTTCCTCAACGGCTCGCTTTTTCTCGTCGTCAAACCAATCTTTGAAGAGGAAGTCCCCGCTTTGAAAATTCTCAGCGTCAAACTGCTTCCATGTTCTTATCCCCGTGAAAGCAATCAAAAATGATCCCTCGGCAACGGAGCGGAGCTTTTTCATTTCTTCCTCCCAACAGACCACTCGAATGGTTCCACTGCTCTTGTAGCCAAAGCCATGATGAAAAATGCCTCTCCTGTCCAAGAAGCAGACCAGAGTCCTGGACTCGATGTCATCTTGTTTGCAAAGCATAACTCCATGCCCAATATCGTGAACTCTTTTACTCAAAATGTGCAGCAGATGCAAAGTATCCATTGAAAGCAAATGTAAATAAACGATGAAAACGAAGTACGGAGGAAAGTGAAAATAACAGCGCTTTCATTAAAGGACTGGGCTCTAGGTTTCTGTCCTCCCAGGTTTTTTCCAATCCCTACTCGCCCGTAAAAACCCATATTTGAAAATTTTATATTCACCTGGTTTTACTTAAACTCTCTTCATTTTAACGCTAGACGTTTGTCCCTTTGCATTTTCATATTACCTCCTAGGAAAAAGTAGGGCTTGAGTGTGACTCTTAACATCGCACTGGAGGAGAGTAGGTCTAGGTGAATGTAAGTTGCCAACATTTATATAGCAAAACAAAAGTCTATTTCCGCTTCCGCTCTTCGGATGTCATGCAACGCTTAAACGCTTCCTTTCAAAGGAGAAGTGAGTGACATCTCAAACAACAGCTTCGAAGAGGTCTGATGAAATTTAGTCCCTTTTACCTCTTTTTTTAATTGTTAGCTCACACTATCCGAATTCACTTTGAGAAGCATTACCCTCGAGTTAAATGGCAGATATATCAGCTTCGTTTCAGGGATAAACAGTATTTATTTTGTTTTGAATTTTAAAGTACTTGATTCCCAATAATCTTATGCAAAATTGTGTTCCATATCATTGAATTTTAATGTTTGAAACCACTATGAATGACAATTCACGAATATATGTACAAGTACATATCCGGGACATCTAAAATAATAAAATCGGGGCTGTTTTCTCGGAAATCTGACGTCATAGCCCAGCAATACTGAGAAATCGACCAAATCAACAGAAAAACCGGCTGAATAAAATTGTGCTTAGTTCTCATAATATTCAGTGGAAGAGATCGAAGGCATATAAAGCTTGAAGGTGAGTTCTAAAGTCGAGGATTTTCGTAATCATACTGGTGTGTTTCTCAATTTTTTTTCTGAATTATGAGGACGATCTCTCTTTTGCTTTCCCTGGCTGGGTTATCTGAGATTCTGGCTACGTAATTTTCAACTCGTTCTTATTTTAGTCTGTGACGTTTAATGCCATACAATTTTTTTATGGGCCTTTGTAAAACCCTCGGTCGTGAGAAATCCTACTCTAAATTGGCCGATCGATTGTGCGATGAATATACTATGCTCGTTTCTAAGAAATGACATCATCGGTGTAGTTTTCTGAGAATTCTGTCTTGGAGAGAATTAGCTAACGCAATTGTTCATTCAATACTTACGATTCGTGCGCAGTACACAGATTTGACTTCAAGTGCAGTAAAGTAACGATGAAATCATTGGAGATTTTTCGAGCTTCGTTAGTGCCACCGATGTAAGGAGAATAAAAAATTGAAAGTGTTTCCGTATGACATTTCGCACCCCAGGTGCAAACGTTCCTCACATCCGGTTGCCGTTGTCGCAGAATATTTCCGTAATGCTCGAGAGTTTCGTCGACTATCTAATACTGCATCCACTGAAGATCGCAGGTCGAGAAAGATTTAAAATTTCTTGTAACGTGATCATAGTTTATAACAAAAGTTTCAGCCGGCCGGTGGGGTAAAGCCTCATAATTATTCTTAGCGAGCAGTTTGATTGAAGTTCACCGAGCACTGCTTTCATTTTTGTCTTCAAAAGACGAATTTTAATGGTCAGGAGTTACAGTGGACTTATTTTAGTCAGTCTACCAAATTACAACTGTCTGATTTCAATAATTAGTGCTTCTTAAGGTGCCTTATGACTTGGCTTGAGAGCTCGGTATACGTAAGAAACGAAAGTAAACCGAACATTGAGGATTAGTCATACAGCAGGTGTGTACGATGTCACCATCCTGCAAACCTTACACGACTCTCGATTTAAAGCATCGAACATAACTTCCTGTTAGCTTCATTTTAGTCGTACGGGTCAACAAAATTATCTTTGGTATTGCATCAATCGTCGTATTTCCGGCCTGATTTCCCTGAATAATTAGTTAGTTTTGGCGAACATATTGAAGGGCAACGACTGAACATTTTGGAGTTAAAAGCAGCTCATGCTACTGCATATGTGTCTCCTTTCCTTTTTACGTAGTTTCTTTCGTAAATCATTAACTTTGCCTTCGCGGAGACGTGACTATTTTCACTCGGTCTTTCGCCTTGTGTGAAGTGCATATCATGTTTCTTGTTTCACTTTAATTTGCATCAAATTCATGTGGGAATCGCAACTGTGAATCTTTTTTGTTTAAAAAACGGTTTGATCATTCCCATTACAGACATATTCCACTATGTATCGTAGTCGCCACCCTAGGTCGAGCAGAAGTCTTGAGCAGGAGAAAATTATTGCCCAAACGTTTGTTAAGTTTCTGGAGGACAACAATCGTAAGGAAGACATGTTTGTAGACGAATTGAGGCAGATATACCAAGGAGAATTTCGCCGTCTGTACAACACGCTGGGTATGTCATTCTCCAAAATTTTGAACACACTCACGTACCATATAAATGCTTGTCAGCAACTTCAAGATCGTGTTATCTTTGGTGGCGGAGAAGCCGCAGCTCTTCAACTCCTCACTGATGATCATGATGATGATCTTTGTCACCGCTCGCCCTCGAGCTTGAGCCCTTTCTATTGTAATATATGTAAAAGAGATCTTGGAAATGATAGAGCTTACAGCAAACACATCGAAGGGGTGAAACATCGCCAACAGTATATCCTCATAACGATTCGAAAATCACTGAAAAAGTAAGTGTTTTCTTTTGCAAGGTAATTAAAAGATATTGTATTGTTCTGCTTTTTGCTAATATCTATTTCGTTCCTGAAGAGAGTCAGGAAAAACTAGTTACAATACTTACAAGATTACAGAAATAATGATATAATTTATTTCATTATTACCATTAAGCTGCATGATTAAATAATGGTTGCTTTCTTGATAATATTGAAGTTTCGTTTTAGTTTCTAGAATGCTCACATGTAAATTAGAGACAATTTGGACGTGTTCAGACATTATTTTATATTTTTCTTCCACAACTGTTCTTAGTACGGGAAGTAAGTTTCCCCCTACTGCTCTCCCGTCATGACTAACCCCCTTCTCTCTCGTTAGTTAAGTATTTCTATAGATTTATGTGACAAACATTACTGAAATCTGAGGATCAAAATTGAAGATATGTTTCTTGTGTGGTTGTCAAAGTAAGGGGCGATGTTTGTCAAGTAAGGGAAACAGCAGACCTGAAAAAACTTTGAGAAAATTCCTCGGTAACAAGTAATTATTTTCTGTTTTTGTTCATCCAGGCCAGAGCTTGTCTTTGACAAAAATGGGATGAGGGTTACTTCAGATCCCGCTGGAGATGAACATGGTGTGATTGAATTAAAAGTGGAGAGTGGAAAATACGGACAAATTGTGTTAATCATCGAGAACCTCAGTGAGGAGACCATCACCCTTAAGGATATAACCCTACTATGGAGTGTGAACTTTTTTGATTACTCGGAAATATCCAGTATTGGGTCTTATGTGGGTCAGCTCCACCCAGGTAATTTTTTGACCGGCTCACCAGAACACTTACGAAATTTCCATTGTTAAGTTTCTTCCAATTTTCTTTTAATTGTGACATTGATATTAGAGAAATAGATTTATGATGGAGAAAGGAGATATATTTGCAGTAGAAGAGGGAATTTTCCCTTGATTAATATACATATTTTCCCAATAAATCCTGTCTGACAGGGCACTCATAAAGTGGTTGAGATGATTTGCTATGAAAAACATTTGTCTCTGATGGTTTAGGACTGTCCTGAAATCGCTGCCAAAATGCACATCAAAGACACCGATCTCGATACCTACAGACTGACTGTTCTATTTCAGTGTGACTCGACGTTTTTAAGAGTGTGAACTTAATAAAAAGATTCCACGTAAACCGCTTCTAGTTTCTTTTTTTCTTGTAGGTCTAACTGATCATTCGGCGCGAGCAAAAAATATTGCATGTATTGTGTTTAGATTGCGCATATAGTCAACTGCTTTGGACTCAGTCGAACCAGGGCAGTCCATCATCTCGTGAAAACTGCTTTACTACTGAGTTTAAATTGCTTCGTAATGTTATGCATATCTCTACAGTGACGTGAGGAAATGGATTTTTATTTGACAGGTTGTCAGAGGAGGTTCAGGATTGGCTGCAAACGTCGCCGGGAGTTTGGTTATTCGTATGTTCCCGGTGTGCTTACATTTCAGACCGAAGACGGGATGGAGTTTCACATCCTTAGGTTTTTTTCTGTGCGCATCGTGAGTGACTTGTACGATGACTTGAAGCAGACCTCAGAGTATAAACCTCCCCAACGGGCAACAGAAATTCCCAGGGATGTTAAAACATTTGGAGGGATACCCCTTCCACGGTACAGTATGGCATTTTCTGCGTTGTTGACTTTTCAATTATCGGTTTTTGTAATTGTTCTTTTTCATCATCCGTCTGCGTTGGTCCACGGAATACCTGAAGAAGTGTCACTAAATTCTTTAAATTCATTGAAAAAGCTAGTATGAGTTTGAAAAAAAATTCTTTTGAGGCATCAGTACCACTTGCCATAAGCCAACCAACCTACAAGGCTGAATACTAAGACGAAGGAAGTGCACCTTCAGTGTACAGTTTCAGTTTCTAGAGACGCTTATTAAATGCATCTCCAAACAAAAGAGTTTCGGCGACTGGTTATGCAACTAATTATGCTCCAAAATGTGTGTTTCATGGCATTCAAAATTTCCTCCGAGGAATTCTTGTATTAACAAGAGTGACTCTTGTTAATAGAGTGCTTATTATTTTTATTATTTTTTTTTTTGGATGAAAAATACGTCCAAAACTTTTCTGAGACTTTCCTCAAATCGATAAACGTAAGTAACACGTACTCATAAACCAAGATATGGATTCGTACATGATTATTTTTTATTTACTGACTTTCAGGCAGAAAACGAAGTAACTCAGAGGTGATAACTCATATGCTCAGTTATGCAATTCAAATATTGCATAACTGATATTGCAATCACTGATATTTTTTTTTTTGATCTTCCTTTCCTTTTAGTTTACAGAGGAA